TAGTTGTGGTTCAGTAGTCATATGAGTTCTTCTGTTCTGAAACACTTGTGGTTTGTGTGGGTGGAAGGTTCCAGAAGAAGAGGGTTTTCAAACTATCTTGTTTTAAAAAAGTCTCTCCAAGGATTGTCTGTCAGAGATAGTGGCCTGAGTGTTTTGAGGGGGCTTGGAGGTAGGCGGGATTTAACTTACTGATTTAAAGCAGCATCCCATATTTTAGTTCCCTTTTTCTTCATCCTTCATTTCTGATTTTTAAACTTTTTATTTGTGTTTTATAGATGCATTTTCTGTCTTTTTCATGTTCTTTAGTTATAAATATTTCTGTTTCATTGAATATAGAGTTTGTATTTGTTTCTTATTTCCTTATGGTTTTGGGGTGTTTGGGAAAGGATGGGTGGTGGTAAAATGGTTTTATTCTGCACATAATACTGTGAGAGTAACATAAGAGAGGTTTGGAAATAATAAGAAAGTTGAGGAGTGAAAATGAATAGGAGTTGGCCTCAGGAGTTCAAGGTAGAAGGAAAGTCCTGCATGGAAGCTGGGAAACAGGTACATTCTGCCAGGAAGAAGGCCTGTGGGGGGGAAAACTGATGCGAGGCTTGGTTGGAGACATGGGCCCAGACCAGGTCCCCTAAAGAGTCAAGGACTGTCTGCTGAGCAGCCAGAAACCTTTGTTGGACTCTGATAAGTGAAAAGCACTGCCCTGCAGGGTTCGCAGTCTAGTTTAGATGTCCCGTAGGAAGAGTCTGTGTCGTGGGGCATGCTGTGGAGGGAGCTTTGGCTTGCTGTAGGAATCAGGGAGGGTTCCTCTGGAAAGGTTCTTCAGGGAGATTTTGATAGGAGCTTTTCTTCTGCATGAGGATGTGAGTGGGCAGAGCTGTTGGGGGCATGGCCTCATCTGAGTGTAGGTGTGTGGAATACAGGATGTGATAAGGTGCCTGGAGCCCGGGAATCTTCTGTGTGTATGTTGGGGAAATGATGCTGCAGCTGTGTCCCGGGTACCTCTGGTCCTCCTGAGGTCACAGTAAAACTTGTTAAGTGGTCACTCTTCATTTCATTGTAAATAGGAAGAGTCACAGTAATCCAGTACTGTTTATCGTTCCTGATCATCCTCATGCTGTTTTTCTGCTCTCCTAAAATAATTCTACTATTGAGGACCTGATTCTTGAAACTGTTTTCCCCAGTGGGTTCTACTGAATTCTAATAGAATGCTGCTACCATTTATTCTTCAAAACTGAATGGCATGTTTTAGATGTTGAGGAAAGAGTGGATAGTCTTTCAGTGATGGTTGTATAGTGACTTCTGACTGAGAGTTGTCTCAAGAAGCAGAGGTTGAGAGGCTTCCATGATGAGTCTAGTCTGCCTAAAGTTTTAAGTCAGGTCAGCTCTATTCCTTATGTGGAAGGCACATGGGGAGGGGGTGACAGGAAGAATAATGATCACACAGATTGTTGTTTGGTTGCTGGTACTGCCAGCTAAGTCTGAAAAAGAACAATGTCATTACATAGTATGACTGTGTTAGAATGAGCTCTTTGTAATGCACATCCTTTTTTAAAAAGAGCTGGTTAGATGGAATGTTGTTAAAACAGCATTCCAAATATTTCTAATTGTGAAAATTTCAGCAACTTAAATCTTTAGAATTAAATGAAATGATGGTAGTATTTAGATTCGATGTTTGATTTCAATAGTTGACAGCAATTGTTGATTTACATTGCATCATTCTACTGACATTATTTTGTTTTATTCATACGTGGCACTGTGTTTTATTTTTAGACAGTTTTATTTTTTCCATGGTCAGAAACATGAATAACATGTTTCTAAAGATCATCAACTTGTATAAAGTCATCACTAAATTTCTTCTTCATAGTTTGGCATTCTAGAAATTAGGAACGTAATTTGACTTATTTTTATGATGTGGGTTATTATTTGAATGAGAAGTAAGCTCCAGGTTAGGAAAAAGCAATGAGAGAGTAGCTTATTCCCAGGTAACAGCTCCTGTCCAGAATATGCAGCCAGGTCATCTGCTGTGTCCTCTTCCATCAAAGCACATCCTCCAGGTCAGTCCTCCTGTGCTGTTAACATGTTTATCACTCTGATAGGCAGGTATCATCAGGGATAGTTGCCGTTGCAGGTACAAATCCTAAGTGGATGTTAAAAGTTACAGGTGAAAATCTGGTGAGATACTGGTGTTTAGTTACACAGTCTTAAAGTCTTTTCCTACAAGATGTGTATAAATTACAAAGGGAGAAAATGGTTGTGTTACCAGGGGGAGACCTGATAGTCACAGCCCTGACTAAGTGAGGGGAATTAACCTGGTCAGTAATGAGACATGGGTGTCATTTGCTGCTTCATAGGGAGCACTGTGCTGGCCGTACAGTTACTTGTATTGTGCTTGCCAAGGTGCACAGCCTGAATTTAGTCCCAAGGAAGCACTAGACAAACCCAGTCTATGACACTGAGTGAATAATCTATAAAACAAGTGTCTGGTACCTTCAAGTGTCCATAACCCTGACTGGAGGAGAATGGCAACTGCATGCAGTGGGTAATCTTGGACCAGGAAAAAAAAACTCAATAAAATTTATATATAAAAAGAAAAAAGGATATTAATGCAGGTAGTTGGCAAGGCTTGGATAAACGGGGTGTTAATGGTTATCTTCCACATTTCAGTCATTGTAACTGATGATAGAAGACATGACATTTGGGGTGCCTTGGTAAAGGGTGTGCAGGAATTCTTTGCACTATTTTTGGAACTTTTAATCTGAAATATTTCAAAATGAAGTTAAGCAATAACAAAAGTAATTGGGCTCAGCTGAGCGATGAAGGCTGGGGCGCTCACAGTTTGTGACATCTCTTTTATTTGGTCAGGAGCTGGTTTTCTTTGCTTCCTGAATCTCCACAGTGATCAGGATAGCTGAGGTTTCTAAATATGGGATCCTGGGATCAGTGAGGCATGGCAGTATCGAATTGCAACTACACTTTGAAAGGTTTTGTTTAATTGATTAATTTACTTATTTATTTGTACACAGAGCTGTAATTACATCTTTGGGTGTCCCATGGCTTTCTGGGTTATTTGAGCTTTACTGTTGTAGCTACCAGAATCCTACTTGGAAACTTAGCTCTGTAATTAATTTACGTGTTATGCTGTCCTGAATTCAGGTTAGTCCCATTGATTTTTTGCAGTGTGTCTCATATTGTTGAATTCCGTAGTTGTCTCTTGTATTTTAGGGAGAGCTATTTTTTAAAATATTAAAATGTTTGATTTAAGCTTGAAATATACTAAATATCTTCTTTAGTTCTCAGAAAAGTCAGTGTGGCGTTTTCATACACTATAGTGAGTAGCAAATGCACACTGGCACCAGTACCAAGTGACAGCCTTGTATTGGGTAATAATTAAAATGAAGGAAATTAATATGCTGAGAAATGTTTCTGATAGCAGGAGCAGTTGTTAATGTGTGACTCAGGTTCTCAAGTCCAGGTTGTCTTGACCAGTGTGGGCAGGGTAAGACCATGGACTTGGGCGTCAGAGACCTTGTTTTGCACCAGATCCATGGCTGCTCATTAGTGTGCTGGGCCTAAAGTTTGTCAACTGTAACACTGGACTCACAGTGACACCTTGCCCAGTCCTGAGGACTGAATGAATCTGTGAGTCAGCACGCGCAGGCCCACCCTGGTGTTCCAGATCTGGGGCTCTCTTCTTACCTGCGGCTGGGTTTTAGGCTGCCTACAGTGGAAGAGGAACTGCTTTGCTTATAAGATGTGTACAGAGATGATAGAACGTGTCAGTAACCTCTACTCATATTTCATAACTCTTTTTGTCAGGAAGCTTCTCTGTATCTCTTTCCAGAGAAATTATTTTCTTTTATATGTCAGCCACATTGGATATCACTCCCAGATCTGTCAAACGCATGTCACTTTTGTTTGCTAGTCTTGCTGTGTGATGTTTTAGTGTTCTTACCGGAATCATGGGTACAAATAATTTTGGAAGGAAATCTTATGAGACAGAGGGACAAGGAGGTGTGCAGACTGTTGGAAGGAGACATTTAAGCATGTGCAGTTTGCTTTCAGGTTTCAAAGTTTTGATCCTCTGCATAGGACAAATTATTACTATTCCTATCATACTCTAGTATCAAAAATACTTTGCTTTATTCCTAAATTGTCTAAAGATTTGAGTATTGGGCTAGGATTAAGTAAGTGGCCATTGCTTTTAGGAATCGCACACTGAAGTGTTTAGGGCTGAAGGTCATGTCTGCAACTTCCTGTCAAGTGGTTCAGAAATAAAACGTGTGCATGTGTGTTTTTATCTCTTTGGAGGGAGGGGAAGGATGAGTGGTGTCCTCGCAGCCTCAGCAGGAGGCAAATTTGGGTGAGGAGTCCATGGAAGTTCTCTCTCCTTTCTCACAAGTTTTCTCAGTTTGAAACTGTCTCCTAATTTATTGGATTTACACACTGTACCTTGGGGAGATGTAAGCCAGGGGCAGTTTCAGAGGGAGGGAGAGAAGGGAGAGTAGAACTGTCTAGGACTAAAAAGGAGTAAGTAGTGTGGAATTCCGCAAAAGTAACTCACAGGCAAGAAATTAGTAACCTTTAACCTTCTTTCCTTAGCCAGAACAGAACTCATTTTTTGTAGAAGGACCTGAAAGTTGAGAGAGTAAACTTGTGCTTTGCCAAAGTAGAGAAAATAATGAAGTTTTAAAAAGAAATACACAACAGGATAAGCAGAAATGCAAAAGATGAGTGCTTTTGAATTATCCGGTGTTGAGATAGTCTTTCTTCCCCAAGCTAATCTTCCGAATTAGCATCCCTCCTAAATAGCTAATTGACACTCATTTACCTTCACGTTATTGTTTGGTTTCAAAGGTAATATTTTGTTTTCTTATTGCAAATTTATATCATGTTTGTTATTATTTTACCTTCCAAAAAAAGTTTTGTAAGCTAATTTTTTTTAAACACTTCTCCCTTTTTTTTTTTTCCATGTCAACGGTGGTGTTTCTTTGGGGAACTAGGAGCCAGCCAAAGGTAAGACATTTGGCTCATTGTGTGATGCTTATGGGGATAGTCTTGAAATACTGCAGGTTTTCTTCTCAAACTGAAAACATGGGCCTTTTCGGTTTATAGAAGCAGTACAGGCCACGGGCCTCTCACAGCCTGAAGCCTTATTGGTGTGTGGCGGTGGTGGGGGTTGTGAAAGGTGTTTGAACCCTGACAGCCACCCAGTCTCATCATAGCTGCCACACAGGTTCCTTGTGTGTCACAGATTGGCGAGAATGGATAGTTCCAAACCTTGGTCATGCAGTGCTGAGCCAACTCATCCCCCTGGCATCTAAACCAGCTGGGAAGGCATTGCCAGGCCAGCAGAAACCCCCGGGTCCCCAGCTTCCTCAAGGGCACGGCTCAGATCCTGGATCTTAGCTTGGATTCTAAGGCACTCTTGCTGTGTGTGTATGTGTGTTTCATGTCATCCAGGGGACTTAGAGATGTGCTGAGGTGGCACAAGTACTATGTTTTTAAGTTGACCATCCTCTGAAGTTACTTGAAACTTCCAGGAAATTCAGTCTGATCTACATTCTTGGGATTTGTTGTTGTTTTAGAGCCTGTGGTTGAACTCTAATTCCATTCTGTTATGGTTGCTAAAATATGTATAGACATGTTGTTTGAAACTCCAGATGACTTAAATAAATAGTTGAACCTGGCCCTGGTTGTATGCTTGTAAAGCCCTACTCATCTTTCCTATGTAGAGGGTGCTGAGTTATTTTTGTTTTATTTTTTGTTGGAGCAGAGACTGGAGATTGTAGTAAATGTGAGGAATACGTTTCATGACTATTTAAAAACTGTCCATATTTTATTTAATTCATCTGTGTCTCAGTGTTTATGAAAATGTGTGGGCTAAAAAAACCCACATTGTCAACACAGCATTTATTTCTAGAGGAGGTATACTTGGCAAATGGGGAGACCTTTATTTTTTACTTTATGTTTCAGTGTTATTTGAACTTATTACTGAGAATGTTTATTTCTTCTCTATTAATTGAAAAAAAAATTTTTAATTTTAAAGAATAATGTTTGTTTAGAAAGAGAAGGACTTGTCTGTTTTATGGAAGATAGCCATAATTACAAAATTACTAAAATTTAAAAGGATTGTTTAGTGTTGTTAATAAATAAGAACTTGGTGCTTATTGGTCCCCAACTTTGTGCGAGCTGTGGCCCTTCCATAACAGTAGTCCCCACTGGTATGCAGTTTTTCTTTCTGTGATTTCAGTTACCCCAGGCAAACTCTGGCAGATTGAAGTAGATGTTTAGAGAGAAGAGAAACAGAGACACCCCATTCATATAACTTTGATTGCAATATATTGTCATAGTAGTTTTATTTTATTATTAATCACTGTTCATCTCTTCTGTGTCTACTTTATAAGTTAAACTTTATTTAGGTCTGTCTGTTCATGAAAAGCATAGTGTGTCTAGAGTTGGATACTTCCTGAAGCTCAGGCCTACCTGGGTGGTGTGGAGCCTGTCCCTGGCAGGTCAGGGGCGACCCTAGGCTAGCCTGGTGGTGCGAGGTAGGGACTTTTGAGCCAGTCTACTGGCAGCTACAGCTTGCCTCCTTTGTCCTTGTTTGCTTTGAACAGGGCCTGCACACGGTCTCAGGTATTGCTGTGGGGACCTTAGTGGTGGCTTCTCTATTGGAATTGGGAGTAAGAAATGAAGTGGTTAAAGAAATCTCTAACCACAAGAATGAGAAGTTATACTCCATGTATGTATAATATGTCAAAGTACATTCAACTGTCATGTATAACTAAAAAGAGAAAAAAAATAAAAATAAAAATAAAACAAGAAATCTGTAATCAAAAAGTAAGGGAGACACCCAATAATGATGGGTTCAGAGGGGAGTGCCCTGGAGGATCTGAGCCCTGGTAAATGTACATGGGACTTCTGAAGAGAGAGCTAAGCTTGCAATAACAGAATTAAAATTGCAAGGGATGAGAGTTGAAAGCAAGAACAGAAGAAAGTTAATTTGAGCATCACACTGTATTTAATCGTACCTCTGTGATGATTCTCATTGTGGATGACAAATGGAGTTTGACAGGCAGCCCCCACTGGACCTTTTGATGCACAGTCCCTTGGGACTGTCTTCCTCTTGCTCCTCTTCTGTTTCAGGATAGCTAACATAGATACAACCACGAGAAGGACATCTGCTTAGCCTTAGGAAAAGGGCAGAGTTGGCAACAGGTGCCGTGACACTGAGGCCAGGTGGGGATCTTCCAGGCACCAACTTTCCTGCCTCTTCTTGGGGTTTGTCAGCCATGTTTCTTCGCTCTGCCTCTCTGGAATCCCCAGCCACCTCTGCCCACCTAGTAGGCACACGCCTCACCTGCCTGCTATCGCGCAAAGACCTGGGTGTTCTGATCCCTGCTTGTTCAGTGGTGTTTAATCTGTCACTCTCTTGAGTGATGCTACTATCTCTCCTACCATTTTGTTTGGACCCCTGGGTCTTCGCAGAACTGCCCATGTCTTTGGTGGCATCTCCCTCTGTTGCATTTTCTTTTTGAACCTGGTTTCCTGGTGGCCTCATCCCCACCCTCACCCTGACAGTCTCATGGCATTTTCCCCGCTCCCCATTTCTGATCCAGGCACAAGCATCGGTCTGGCTTTCCAAACCTTGGACTCCTTTTCTCATTTTTCTCCCTTTGGGCCCTTTCCCCCATTCCCTCCCTGTTTATTTTGAGTTGATTTTAGGTTGTAGTGGGGCAGGATATTGGCAGGCATACTCAATTTTTAGTATTAATCTAACTTCTTTTCTTAAAAAATTTGACTTTTAGGTATCTGGTCCACATAGCCTTGTGAGGTTACACAGAAAGTCTGTTCCTGCCAACTCTAAAATGTGTAGCAGGAACAGATAAAATATTTAAAAATATTAGAATTGTGTCATCAGACTCACAAACAGCACATGTAATTTCAAGAACTAGCAGTAAGCTGGAGCCAAGGCAGTGTTCTGGGCTTTGGAATCACACAGGCCCTCACCTGACTGAAGTCAGTGCTTGCCAATCAGTGGGGCACTGACGTGTGGTGGAGGACGGAGTCAAGTTCACTGTGCAAATACTGATTTGGGAGAGGCTCCTCTGTGATTGAAGGCTTAAAAAAGCTGAGAAAGTGCCGGCCATCAACATTGAGCCAATGCCCATGTTGATAGGAGGGAGTGGAGACATCTGGTCTTGGGAGGACCGAAGTCTGAGCTTCCATAGCAGAAATGGTGACATGAACTGGCCACGGGAAGGGACCTTTAGTAGAGGAAAAAGACAGCAGCATGTAAACTGTAACAGACACTCCCAGTGAGGGCACACCTGAAACTAACAGGTAGAGGCACAGGAGAAAGGCCACTCCGGGGACTCACAGCAGCACTCCAAACGGAGGAGTTTGAGAGGTGAACCAAGGCGAATCTTAAAATCCTTAAACAGGCTAGGTTATGAAACACAAATGAATGGACATAAAACCATTAGAAATCCAAAAAATGAAAGACAAAATTAGTGAAACAAAACTTGTAAAAGAACTATGTGTATGTTTTAGAAAGCAATGATAAGGCAAAATATCAAAATGGAAATTATTTTATCAAACCAAATAGCATTTTAATATGTATTATTCCTACTCTTTATGCATAAAGGTTTTTATACAAATATGAAATAATATTCCAGATGTCCATAACTTTTTCAGTAATATGATCACTTTCTTGTAAATAACCCTTCTGTACCTTTAAATCTATGTAATATTGAACATGGGTGCATTATAATTTATTTAAACAATCTTCTATTGTATAACTATTTTGTACTTGCTATGTGAGCATCTTTAAATTTTATTATCTTAAAAAAATCTTTATTTTCTCTCATAAAAATACAAATCAGGAAAACTTATAAAAGCATAAGAAGAAAACAAAAATCACTAATCTCATTATGAAGAAGTAAACTTTATATTTGTAACCATACATATTTGTATGATAGCCATCATGTTATGCATATTGTTCTGTAAACTTGTTTTTTTCATTTAACATTGTGAATTGTTTTCCATGTGAAATATGGAGCTAGATGACCCGTGGGTGTGTAGTTGTCATTGTAAGACTGTATATAAATAACTAATCCTGTTGTGTAATAGTAAGTTGTTTTTGTTGTATAAAAACAGTGAGCAATTCCATTGAAATTAGGACATTATTGTAACATCATAGTGTCAAAGTTTTGGTCTTAATACACACATTATGTTCACTTTTCAACAGGTGTTTGCTTATGATCATTGTTTCTGGTCCATGGATGAATCTGTCCGAGAAAAGTATGCAGGTAACAGAATACAGCATCGTGTCCACTACTGCTGATGCAGAAAAGGGGTTTCAGTACATTCTCCAGATACTATTGTAGTGTAATTGTGTGTGACTTTAAAACTATTATCTTAAAAAATATTCCTTTTCTCTCATTATAAAAGTACAAATAAGGAAAACTTATAAAAGCATAAGAAGAAAACAAAAATCTCTAATCTCATTATGAAGAAGTAAACAGACAGCTTCTTCCAGTATTTGCTATGAGAGGTTGTATGTTTATTGGAAAATTGAGAGATTTACCGTCTGCTGTCCTTGGTTTGAGATGATGGTATCCAGTGGAGGTTGACTCACGTATGTCCCCAGGTCTCATGTGGGACCAGGAACACACAGTAGATGTATCCCTGAGATGTCAGTGATGTTGTCTAGAGAGGCTGCTGGTGGGAGGAAAGAAGCACGCTGGTGACCAGCATCCAGGGTCTGCTCCTCTGCACCCCTGTGACGTTCAGTAAATCACGGCACCTTTGGAGCCTGTTTTCTCTCTGTAGTGGAGAGGAATGTGCCACATTCCTCCACATTTTATTTTTGACCTGAAAGTCTATTTTATCACTCTCCTAAATTACTATCTCATCATTTGCCACAAGATGAAGGCTACAGTGATAGCCTTTTAAAAATTCCTTGTATTCTTCAGTCACATCAATGTTTATAGCAGTACAATTCACAATAGCTAAACTGTGGAGCCATCCTAGATGCCCTTCAGGGATGAATGGATAAAAAAAAATGTGGCATATATACACAATGGAATTTTATTCAGCATTAAAAGAGAATAAAATCATGGCATTTGCAGGTAAATGGATGGCATTGGAGAAGATAATGCTAAGTGAAGTTAGCCAATCCCAAAAAAAACAATGCCAAATGTTTTCTCTAATATAATGAGACTGACTCATAGTCGGGTAGGGAGGAATAGATGAATTCTAGATAGGGCTGAGGGGTGGGAAGCAAAGGGAGGAGGCAGGGGATTAGCAAGGGCAGGGGAATGTGATGGACATCATTATCCAAAGTACATGTATGAAGACTTGCATTTGGTGTCAACATACTTTATATATAAACAGATATGAAAAATTTTGGTATATCTGTGTAATAAGAATTATAATGCAAATGCAAAAAAAACAAAGTACATGTATAAAGGCATGAACTGGTGTGAACATACTCTATATACAAAGATATGAAAAATTGTACTCTATGTGTAATAAGAATTGTAACGCATTCTGCTGTCGTGTATTTAAAAAAATAAAATCAATAAAATTAAAAAAAAATTCCATGTATTCCTAACTGCTCTGTCCCCTGTTTCCAAGCAGTATCTTTTAATTTATATTTTACTTTTTTGGGACAGTCTTTTTTGTTTTATAAATTGGCTTTGAACTCCTGGGTTCAAGTGATCCTCCAGTCTCAGTCTCCTGGGTAACTGGGGCCACAGCATGCACTGCCATACTTCGTTTCCCTTTTAAATGTTGAACATCACATTTTATTTGTTTCTACTATGGACGTTTTAAAAGTTGAAGTATGTTTGGTCTTCCGGCCCAATGACAACTTTAGGATCACCTCAAATTCAAGCTAGGATAATTAACTGGCAGATGAACTAGGAAGTGGGCGTAATGGAATCATGGAATGCCTTTGCCCAACAGCAGCATCCAGTTCTCCCTCTTATATTTGAGACTCAGTGAGGTGGATGGCTTGTAAGGTTCATATTTGATTATTGGCACATCTCTTTTGGCCTGTGGTAGAGAACTTGACTCAATATATTACTTAAGTCTATAATTGAAAGCTGAAGAAAATTTCCAGGGTCTTCCTTCTTGTTCTAATTGTTGTGAACTGTAGATCCTATAATTAGAAATTATCATTGAGGAAAAAGAGAGGAGAACGGCACATGGAATTTTTCTGAATTCCCTAACCCATTGTATAAAAGCTCTGACTGAGTACTACATAGTTAATACAGGTATTCCTAGGTCCTGGATATAAATTGCAGGTATTCCTGATCATTGATTGTAAAATAAGTGGCTCATTGGCTCTTTGCACTGAGGGGGCTCCTTGGTGTTTTTTCCTTTTTAATTCAAGTATGTATTATAGGAAATGCTATACTAATTTCCCCTCATGTGCTAACTACAAATAACTTGACAGGCATAAGCCTTTGGAAGCATTTATCAAGTTTAAAGCTCATGTTTGGAGATAAATAAGCTGATGGTGTATTTTGAGATTTTTGTTTGTGTTTTGATTTGGCTTAAAACACCACTTCTCGCCCTGTCTCAGGTCAAGATGATGTTTTCAAGTGCCTTGGAGAAAATATCCTTCAGAATGCTTTTGATGGCTACAATGCATGCATCTTTGCCTATGGACAGACAGGTAATGTTAAATACTATTGAGATCACATGAGCAAATTTCTTTCAATGGAAGAGAAAATAGAACCATGTTTACTGAGTAATATACTGTTGATTTATTTTTTGTTGTTTTTCTTTTTAGGAAGTACTATAGATGCTAAAATCAAATATAGTTTTTAAAAATGCATATAATAAAATTAGGATTAGTATCCTTTTCCTTTACTAATCTTGTCACATGGCACTGGTCCAGTTTGTTTCCAATGAATTACAGAATTATGACTATTATACATATTACTAGCCATATATTGTAGGCTCTAAGGATAATTATAGAGAAAATACTAAAAAGAACATACTGGTTAATACGTTAATATGGTTATAATTGATAAGGAACTTTTTGACTTCTCTGCCTTTGTGTGCAAGGAAACAAAATCTACTTAAAGTAAACCAGTTACTTTTATAAGATATATCATATAACTTGTCATTATTATTGTCCAACTGGAAACTCTTCTTCCAAGTGTGTGGAATGGTTCATAGAGCAGAGACTCCAAGCCAGGCTGTGCCAGCTCCATTTTTCCCCCTGCTGCCTGCCCACTGGGACTCTTGGCTCTACAGTTTCCTTATCTGTAAAATGTTGATAATGATAGAACTTTATTGTAGGGTTGTCGTGATGAATTAATTACCATACACACACTTTAAAAATTTTTTTAGTTATAGATGGACATAATATCTTTATTTTGTTTATTTTTATGTGGTGCTGAAGATTGAACCCAGTGCCTCACATGTGTGAGGCAAGCGCTCTGCTACTGAGCCACCACCCCAGCCCCACCATATGCACACTTTAAAAGAGACCTGGTATGTAGGAAGTGGTACCTTAGTTTTAGATATTATGAAAGGATGGGGTCTCAAGTGGACAGCAGCAGTACCCATGCATGGTTGGAGAGCCTGTGTGCAGGGCTGGAGGAGCACTTGCCTAGGAGGTGTGAGGCCCTGGATTCCATTCCCAGCACTGCAAAAACAAAGCAAACAAAAAGTTTGTTTGCAAAATCACTGCTACTATAAAAGAGGAAGGAGTTACACTTGAGTGTTATTACTGTTTGGGGATGATGAGACTATAGTGATTTATTTTTTTTTTCCTTTCTATTTTCCCGTGTTTTCTGAATTTTCTTTAATGAACATGCATTTCTATTATAGTAGAGAAAATACTTTTGTATTAGAAAAGGATTTTTCTTTGGTTCATGCACTATTATCAGAGGGTAGTAAGTTAATTTGTTCTGGGGTCCATGTGGAGAACCTATATTTTTAGTGCTATGATTTGTGGCTGGGAGCAGGCATAATAGTATTAATCATGTGGCTTATCCCAGTTTATTTGAGGAAACTTTTCAGTCCTCGCTGTTTTTTAATTGTTCTAGGTATTTTTTTTTTAATGTGAAGATGAGGAAAATAGGCTTTTTTTTTTCTTTCTAAAGCATGTTTCCTTTTGACTGTAACATTTGCAATGGGAAAGCTTCTGTATTTTTAAAATTTTTATTATATTTGGATACATTTCTTCCTGTATTTTGGGCATTTTACTAAGTGCTGGCAGTTTATCATGAGCAAAGTAAAGAGGGTTATTATGTGTTTAAACTTCTCAGAGACAGTAGTAACTCTGATTTTCCTTTTGCAGGATCTGGAAAATCTTACACTATGATGGGCACAGTGGACCAGCCTGGATTAATTCCAAGACTCTGCAGTGGACTCTTTGAACGAACCCAGAAAGAGGAAAATGAGGAGCAGAGTTTTAAAGTAGAAGTGTCCTACATGGAAATTTATAATGAAAAAGTTCGAGACCTTCTTGATCCCAAAGGGTAAAAGACTTTGAGACTTTAGTGTTCTAGCATTCTGGACTAAAACAGACTTAAGAAATTGGCTTGAGAGAAGTTTGTACACTGAATTCTAGTAGAGAATCATCTAGTTGTGGTCTTTGTGATTTATTTTTAGTTACCTGGAGTAGTTTCCTGCAGCCAGTTCTGGGTTTTTGAACTTGGGAGAGGGCATTTAGAGCAGGGAAGAGTGATTGAGCAGGCATGTACTTGTCATACACCAACCTCAGAAGCACCCAAAGCCACAAAGAATATGTAGTGAAAAACAGTCAGTTGGCAGCATAATCATAGCCTCAAACAGTTTTTGGTTTTATTTTGCCAGTTCATTTCAGGTGGAATTCAGCAGTTGGCTTGTGGACTGTTAGAGAAGCATAATCAGGGATATGAAACCTGATCTTCAGGATTGTTAATTTTAAACCTTCTCAGAAAAAATAAGTGTGCCCATGATTTCATGGCATTGACTTTGAAAGAGAAGTGTCTCAGAAGTGCCTTCATAAGTGCTCTGACCTCGAGGCCATTACTGAGTTTAACGAGGAGAACAGAAGGTATCTGAGGAAATGTGTTCTTTGCGCAGAGTTCCCATGTTGAGACTTTAAGGAAGTGCAGCAGTGGCGAGGAGGAGACAGATAATGACTGGAGCCTGTGGCTTGCTGGTGTAAGAACAGAGCTAGGAAGGTCAGAGGGCCATCTGGGCTGAGGTTTACAGAAAGTGCAGAGGACAATGAAAGGGACAGTTAGTTATGTGTAGATGAGGAAAATGATCGAGGAGAGATGAGCTGACAGGCGGTGAATCGTAGTGTGCTCAACCAAGAGAAAACAGCCCCGCAGCTCCTCACTGCCATCTGCTTCTTTGACAGAGATAATCATCTTTAGGCCTTCACTGGGAGATTGGATTGGCAATTCTGTAAACCTTACTTAAGTATCGATTGAGCAATCAGTATGTACCAGGCACCATGAAAGTCAGAGGAAGGACTCATGCTGCGGGCAGAATGAGTTTTGTACAGAAATAATTATAACACAGTGTAGTTTGCTTTTGACTTATGGGGGGGGGCGTTTCATACAAAATAGCAAAGAGGGAATAACTGGCTACGTGCACTGGTGCATACCTGTAACACCAGAGACTTGGGAGAGCGAGGCAGAGGATCGCAAGTTTAAGACCAGCCTGGGCAACCTAATAAGACCCTGTCTCAAAAAATGGAAAGAGCTTGGGATGTAGCTCAGTGATAGGATGGCCCTGGGTTCAGTCTCCAGTACCGCAAAAAAGAAAGGAATTACTGCCCAGAGCAGAGGAAAGTGCCCACAGGTTATTTGATGAATTTTGTGCTGAGTACTTTGTCCATTGAGAAGTTAGGTGAGAACCATTTGTGTGTAGGACACAGCCCTGTGCCACACTGCAGTAGTGTAAAGAGATCACCTGTTTGAAGAATGATCAGCAGGTGGTTAGAGAAAGTTAAAATAGGACAGGCCGACCAGAGGTGGGTGGCACCCGTGTTTTGCATAATACTGTATTCCTGTACACTTGCTCAGTCAGCCTGCACTACTTTCCTTGCACTTTGACCTCCTTGAAGATCATTAGTTTCTCTGAGATCCAGCTCACACCTACTCTTTCCAGATATTTTCAACTGTCTGACTTCATACCCCTTCATTCCCTTGTTTTATATTCCATAGTACTTAGGTGGAATAGCTTGAACTTTACTGGCTGAATGTGTCTGTAGTCGTAGGTTTGGTCCTGTGTGTGGCTTAGTATGTAACAGTGTGGGCTTTGGAATCCTGCAGCTCTGGATCCAGGTTCTCTGCTTGTTACTTATTGAACAAGGTCCTTGTGCTTTCTAGGCCTAGCTTGTGCATGGGGAACAGGTTATCACACAATTTGATGTTTGATGGTAGGCCTGAGGCCTCAGGACTTTCCTGGCATCCAAAAAGCGCTCAGTACATGGTAGCTGCTGCTGCTGCTGCTCTTATGAAAGTTTCTTGAGGATTTTTTTTTTTTTTAGTGTTTCTGAAGAGTCAAAGTTAATGGATTAAAGTTTTAAAGGTGATCTTGTTCCCAACAAAGACTATTTGAGAGAACTTTTTTTTTTAAACAAAATAATGCCTTGCTTACTTTTTTTTTAAAGAGAGAGAGAGTGAGAGAGAATTTTTTAATATTTATTTTTTAGTTTTTGGCGGACACAACATCTTTGTTTGTATGTGGTGCTGAGGATCGAACCCAGGCCGCACGCATGCCAGGCGAGCGCGCTACTGCTTGAGCCACATCCCCAGCCCAAGAGAGAGAACTTTTTTATTCAAGTATTGGCTTCAGTTTCCGTGCTAGTTGCTCATTGTATGAAGTCTTCACCACCATTCCTTCCCTTCTCCTGCCTATTCAAATACTTTTTTATTCAAGTACTAATTTTGTGAATTCACCATCTAGATATGTAATTATGTTGCTGTACTCAGGACATAATACAGTCTACATTATCTCTAAGGGAAAAGGTGGGAGAGGGAGGTGGGGAGGGAAGGGGGAAGTACTGGGAACTGCAGTGGAGCAAATCATATTCCATGCTTGTATGAGTATGTCAAAATGAACCCCAATATTATGTACAACTATCATGCACTAATGAAAACAGAAAAAAGGGAAAAATGAAAGGAAAAAAATTAATAATAGCATATAACCTGGGGTAAGAGGTGAGAATTAAATTTTGTGACTATCTGACTTCATCTATGGTTATGTAGCAATAAGTGACCTTGTATATTGATCCTAGGGTACTAAAAGATTTCAAATCATTAGGAAATTCTAAATTATAGATGGTATACTAGAGGACAATAACATTTTAGATTTAAGTCATTTCCCCATTCCTTAAGTCTGCTGCTTACATAAAAGATAAGTCTCTAGCTGCTAATTATCTTACCCTGAATACCTCTGCTTGCTTGCTTTCTCCTGGGTACTAGTGGTTGGGTGTGGCTTCAGTTTCTGTGCTAGTTGCTCATTGTATGAAGTCTTCACCACCATTCCTTCCCCTCTTCTCTGTTTTTGTTGCTAGCCTTCTTTCCACATCATGTAAGCCAACACGTTGGAGTCTTTCTTATTGCCTGATTCTCATATCACTTTGTTAGCCAGGTTTATTCCCTGAGTGACTCTTATGTGTCAGAAATTGTGCTAGGAACTGCAGACCCCAAAACTAATAAAACGCCATTTTTACTCTTCTGGAGCCCCAAGGTCTGTCAAAGCATAGAAACTCGTGAATTCCAGCCCACACCAAGGATTAGGAGATTTGAGACAAAGGAAGAGGCAAGGGCAGACTGTAAAGGAGTACGGATGTCAAGCCAAGTGCCGACCTTAGAGAACCACCACAGAAGTTTAAGCATTCCAGTTCATTATTTATTTTAAAAAATTTTGTAGTCAAAATGAATACACATGCATAATAGGAAGTACAGATAAACTAAAGAACATAAGAAATCTTATCATCAACAAATGTTCTTTTGAAGAAAATTAATTTTTAATTAATAAATAATAATTATATCTGTTTGTGGGTTGAAATGTGCTGTTTTGATATATGTATATATTATAGAACAATGAAATCAAGCCAATATGTCCATCACCTTATATATCTTTATAGGGTGAACATCTAAAGATCACTCTTAACAATTTTTAAATACGTTACATTTTTATTGACTGTTGTCACCATGCTGTGCAACAGATCTCTGGAATCTCCTAAATGAAACTTTTTATACCCTTTGACTAACATCTCAACAAAAATTTTTGGCTTATAACCTTAAGCGTGCTACATATATTCTTCATTTTTGGCAGATGCCAAATGGGTTTATCAGTTTCTTGTTTGCAAACCCATTTACTGGGTTTATCAGTTTCTTGTTTGCAAACTGGCTTGTTTTTAAAGAAAATTATGAACAAGTATTTAATTTTCATTTTATTTTATTTTATTTTTTTTTAATATTTTATTTACATTTTAGTTTTCGGCGGACACAACATCTTTGTTTGTATGTGGTGCTGAGGATCGAACCCGGGCCGCACGCATGCCAGGCAAGCGCGCTACTGCTTGAGCCGCATCCCCAGCCCATAATTTTCATTTTATTAAATCCTTTTTCCTACACTTACTGGAGGGATCATACTCCCCACTCTCCCTTCAGTCAGTCGGTGTGATGAAATGCATTGACCCCCACCCCATGTTAAAACAACCTTGCTGCCCTGGGATAAGCCCAGGGTTGTGTTTTTAGGTCATTATTAGACTCATTTCATTGTCTTTGTTTCTTTGTCTTTATTCATGATTGAGCTGGGTCTGTAGTTTTCTTTTTCTTGCACAGTTAACATTTGTGCCACATTCTGTGATATGACAAGGGGATTGTTTCATTTATTTGACTCTGCATTCTTTGCAGTAGTAAATAGACGTCCTACAGTGTACCCTTTTGAGTAATGTGGTATTTTACCACATTATGAAGTTTTTCTTTGGAGTGGAGATTTTAGAGTTTGGTTTAAATTCTTCGGGGGATCAGGCCAGTTTGGGTTTTTATTTGGGGTCTTTCTTGAATGAAACATATTTCTGTAAAGTACAATTGAGTCCTTTTAAAAACAAATTGTTCTTTGTCATGAACAGAAGTCGTCAGACCTTGAAAGTCAGAGAACATAGTGTATTGGGACCCTATGTGGATGGACTTTCTAAACTGGCTGTAACAAGCTATAAGGTAACAGCATTCTTTATATGAACTACTTACATTTAGTGTATTTTTTGTTTGTTTTAAAAATTAAATTTACAATAGCATCATTTAATAATCACTTTTTAGAAAAAAGTTGTAAAAAGGAGTCAGTGGATTATGAGACCAGAGAATAAATGTAGGCTAAATATGATGAGATCTTAAAATTAAGCCCTAGGGTTTTCAGGCTTAACAGAGCTAAAATGGGTTTGGTGGTGAAGTTTACCTTTTGTTGTTGTTTTTCTATTCTGGTACCATTTTATACTTCTTTTGCAGTTAATGTTTTTACTTTGAGGCTTTTTCTCTATCATGTTGAATTTTTCCTTAAACATTATTCTTTTTTACTTAATATGCATAAACAGAATCTTATATGATTTGCAAAGTTTTCCACACATGTGTGTCAGTTTAGGATAATATTCAATTGCAGGTAACATAAAAAATGTAACGAGGCTAGGGTTCAGTGGTAGAGCTCTTGCCTAGCACATGTGAGGCCCTAGGTTTAATCGTCAGCACCACATAACGATAAATAATAAAATATAGGTATTATGTCCATCTGCAACTAAAAAAAATAAAAACATGACAGGATTTAATATTTTAAAAATATTTTTTAGTTGTTGATGGACCTTTATTTTTTATTTATTTATATGTGATGCTGAGGTTCGAACCTAGTGCCTCACACGTGCTAGGCAAGCACTCTACCACTAAGCCACAACCGCAGCCCAGGATTTAATATTTTGAAGTGTGGGTTATTATCTGTTTTATTCATTATTTATCCTCAGTGTCCAGAAAGTACCTGGCTTAAGGTAGATGCTCTCAGTATACATCAGAGTGGAGGAACGAATGGTTATTTAAATAACGTTTTCATGTAAAAGAAGTCTGGAGGTAGAGGCTGGTTTGGTGGCTCCAAGGTGTTATTAGGGACCTGGATTCTTCCCCACCCCACATAGAGAGATGTAACGGCCATGTTCTCATAGTTGAAGACAAATCTTAGAACCAGGATATGATGGCAAGCCACTCCTTTTAAGGAGAGTGGCCCAGATAGTCTCTATTATACTTTACATCTTATTTGCCAAAGTGTAGTCATGGGGCCAGACTGAGGTGCAAGGGCATCTGGGAAATGTGATCTCCCAGCTCTGCTGCTTGCACTTAGCTAGAGTTCCTTTACTGGGTTCATAGTAGGCAAGTAGACAGCTCTTTCAGATGTACCATCTTTTTTGTTCCTCATGAAAATTCTTGTAAAGTAGATGATTTAGTTTTATTTATTTATTTTCTGTGCTATGGATTGAACCCAGGGCCTTGTGTATATTAAACAGGAGTTCTACCACTGAGCCACTTGCTTAGCTAAGTAGATGGTTTTATAACTCTTTGTTGTAATTAATGAAATTAAAGTTTCAGATTTTTCAGATTGGTCAAATAACCCTTTTAGAGCTTATAACATTTTTTTTAAAATGAAAATTCCATGATCTTGGGCTGGGGTTGTAGCTCAGTGGTAGAGTGCTTGCCTCGCATGGGTGAGGCCCTGGGTTTGATCCTTAGCACCACATAAAAATAAACATCTACAACTAAACCAATTTATTTTTTAAATCTCACCTTTCTTTCTGTTATACTGTCTCTCTTTGAGTGGTAATAGCAACAAAGTAGCAAATCTCTACAGATACTAGTTTCTTGATATTCTCGTTTTTAAGAACAGGTCCAATAAGACATGTGCCCAGTATGTGGGAAATAATATGCATGGGTAAAGAGCTTACAAGTAAATTATTTTTATTTGATTTTTGCTTATTTATATTATCTAATTTATTTTAAAATATATTTATTTACTTTTTTTTTAAACAGTAGTGGGCTTCATGCATGCTAAGCAAGTGCTCTACCACTGAGCTACATCCTCATCCCTTTTAAGATATCTATTTTTCTATTTATGCAATACTGGGAATTGAACCCAGGGGTGTTCTACTACCAAGCTACATCCCCAGCTGTTTTACTTTTCATTTTTAGACAGGGCCTTGCTGTTTCTGAGACTCCTTGAACTTGTGATCCTCCTGCCTTAGTCTTCTGGGTTGTTGGGATTACAGGCATGTACCTCTGCACCCAGCATTTTGATTTTATTTTTGAAGATAGGGTCTTGCCAGTTTGCCTAGGCTGGCCTGGAACTTGGCTATCCTCCTACCTCAGCTGCTCAGCTAGGTAGGATTATAGGTGTGTAATGCTTTTATAATGAAAGAAATTCTGCTTTTATAATGAAAGAAACTAAGTTTTTCAACTTTCTCAAGTAGATGGGTGTGGGCATGGCATAATTGTCATGGAGCATTTGTTGTGGTATATTTGTAGCTTCTAAACTTTTCTGAGTCAAAGCTGCCACTCTCTTTTGGAAAGAAAGTGTAGAAAAAATGTAGTTTAGTTGGGTTTCAGAGACAGTACTGGCTTTTGTATTCTGTGAGTCTTAATATTAATTGCAAAACACAATGTGAACTCCAAATGTTGTTCACATAGCAGTTACACTTGTAATGCGCTCTGTAGTATAGCAGGTTTTAATGTTTATTATACAGATAACAAGATGTGTGACTGAATTGTTTTCACTTAGGATATTGAGTCTTTGATGTCTGAGGGAAACAAATCTCGGACAGTTGCTGCAACCAACATGAATGAGGAGAGTAGCCGATCCCATGCAGTCTTCAAAATCACCCTCACACATACTCTGTATGATGTGAAATCTGGGGTAAGTGTTCAGATGCATGGCCTTTTTTTAGTACCTTTAAGTTATCATCATTTACCTTTTCTCTTCAGATGTTAGATGAATTAAAGACCTAGCCAGACTTACTATCAACCAGGACTTATTGTCTAGACAAGAAGCAGAAGCCTCTTCAGGTAGACACAAAGGGGTTTAGTGTAGAGAATTAGGTGACTGCAGAGTTGTTGGAATACCTGAGAAGCATTGGATTCTAGGCGGAATCTCTAGGAATAATTCCATGAACCACTTGGATATGGTCTGTTAGGATGGTGCCATCTTTGAGGATACCCTTTGAGCTTTGGGTTCAAGGCACATCCCACAGGGGTGATCAGGAAGCAGGAATAAGGAAATCGCTTCTGTCAAAGCAGTTGCCTCTTAGCATCCTAGAAGCCGAATGTGCTAGATTATGTTTCCATGATCCTGTCTGCCATCAGAAAAAGCCAAAAGGGGCATTTTACTTCTGCTTTCCAGATCTTTAACAAGGAGATCTGATTGACAGAATTTGCGCCACATTCTGAATCCTGGCTGCAAGGGAGTCTTAGAGATGGAGGCCTTAGCTCCCACGCTGTCCAGCTATGGGAAGGTGGAACCCATCCCACAGCCCTGTCACAGCAGTGTTAGAACCCTTAGCTGCTGGCTGCCTGTGTGAGCAGATGTTAATGCTCCACTTCATCAGTAGAGGTTCTTTTGCAGTGTTACCTTCTGCCAAACACCAGGGTCAGGATTCGCTTCCCTCTGGGAATGGCACTACAAAGCTGCTAGATTTTGTAGAGTATTTTTTGATTATTTAGTTTGGAACCTTGTGATGAGTAGACTGAGTCAGATATGTAAATGTTTCTGCCACATTAAGAACTTATCTGTCGACTCATATATTTTCTTTCTCTTTGTGTGAATTTTTATATATTTTATTGTGATGCCCGTTCCTCAGAGCATCACTTTCATATACCAGAATCTAAAGTAATCACCCTGGCAAAGTGCTTTATTTTGGCAGGATTTTTATTTGCTGAAAGCATATTTTTCTTTTCTTTTTTTTTTTAACCATAACAGCAAGATTAGTGTAGCAACAAAAAGTTCTTTGTTTCCTATTTCCTTTTCAGCATAAAACAAAAAACATACTGAAGACTTTTTTTTTTTTAAACTAAAAGTATTTTGATTTGGGAAGCTAAATATCCTTTTGTTAGCAATATATTTATTTTATGGAAATACATATAAATGTATGTTAAAGGAAAGTTTTTCAAATGATCCAGTCTGTAGATTTTTGGCACTGGTTTCTTACATTTCTTCTTTTTTTTTTCTTTTCTTTTTTTTTGCTGCTGAAGTATAAAATATCTGTTTTACATATGCAACTTGAGAAAGGAAAATATCACTATATAAAAAATATCTTTTTTTTTTTTGTACCCAGGGGTGCTTTACTACTGAGCCACAACCCAGCTCTTTTTCATATTTTATTTGAGGCAGATCTTGCTAATTTGCTGAGGGTTTTGCTAAGTTGTTGAGGCTGACCTCTAACTTGTGATCCTACTGTCCCAGCCTCCCAAGTCACTGGGATTACAAACACGTACATCTACACCCAGCTATTAAAAATATTTTAGGGGTTGGGGTTGTGGCTCAGTGGCAGAGCGCTTGCCTTGCACATATGAGGCACTGAGCTCGATCCTTAGCACCACATAAAAATAAACAAAATAAAGATATTGTGTCCATCTATACTAAAAAATTAAAAAAATATATATTTTAAAATATATTAACTATAAAAAATAAAAATGAAATTATATATGCATTAGATGAAATTTTGTTTTGAGGATTCTTCTGTTGGATAAGTCAGATTAATATTTTTTACATTAGTAAGAATGTATTTTGTCTAAAGATTTTGGTAAACATGAAGTTTTAAGCGCAGTTGCAAATCATAATAAAATTTGCATCTTCTAAGTCTTTTGTATACTGCTCTGAAAATTTTATTGGACTCCTTTCAAAACCTCCCATTTGGGGGGGCACTGTTTTTCTGAGCTAATTACTCAGTTTATATGGATTAGTAGAGGTCTGTAAATTTTGTGTGCCTCCACTGCTGGATTGTACAGTTTTCTTACAGTGTTTTTAGGGGCACAAAATGATTTTGAAATAACAACAAATGACTTTAATAAAAGATTTAGATAATAAATCCAGTTGGTTGAGACAGCCTGGTTTCTGCCATTTTAACTGTTCCTTCGTATGTGTCAATTTACTTTGTAGACATCTGGGGAGAAAGTGGGCAAACTGAGCTTGGTTGATTTAGCTGGCAGCGAACGAGCAACGAAAACCGGAGCTGCTGGTGACCGGCTAAAGGAGGGCAGCAACATTAACAAGTAAGCCTCTCAGAAGCAACTTCCTATTGCTTTCCCCAATTACAGCCAAATGGAGAACATCGTGGTCCTTAAATGATTAGATGATTCTGGGACAATTAAGGTTTTTTCTGGTATTTTCAATGTCATGGGCTCATCTTATGTTCCATGGAGATGTCTGATGGGGCTGAGGAGTCCAGCCTCTGTCAGACAGCCCTAGTGGCATTTCTGGGTGACTCTCTGTCCTGAGGGTTGGGGGTCCTGGCCTCCAGGGCAGCATCCTTGGTATCTGTCCACTAGAGGGCAGTGTAGTTGTGATTACTCAGACTCTGGATGTGGCTTGGTTTCCCTGTGGCGGCATAGTCACCATGTAGTTGAGAACCACTGATCTGAATTATAGAAGAGAACATGATAATTGGTCTCAGTCTGGTTGATTGTGACCCGTGTGCTACTGTCTGGACATCTGCCAGGGGCCCTAGCCACACTGGGCTTGCCCTCTTAAGCCTGCTATCTAGTCCAAGCCAAGACTTTATGAAATCATGTTTTGTCAACAGTTCCTCCATACTCCCTCAGGCTCCTTGTGGTTTGGAGTCTCTTTGTCCTTAGGACTCCCACAGGGACATACAGTGAATCATTAGTGACCAACTATAACTATAGTTATAACCCCAACTATAACTGGGATTATAAGGCACCGTCATCCAGAGGTTGGGCTGTTATTGAATCTTATAGATTTAATTTTTGCCTTGTTCTGTGTGTTAATTACTATTTTGTGTTTATGACTTCTGTCTGTTAGATATGTAGTGTTTGTGTTCACCTTGACCTAATGTTTTACCACTCACATTTTTATCTACAAAAATGCAAAAAAGGGGAGGAGCTAAGCAAAAGGGACAGTGGCTCTTTAGAATTGCTGTGTTTTAAAACAGTAACAAAATGCTGACCACAGTGCTGCTCACATGCAGGTAGAGAGCATCTTGGTGTTGATCTCTGGCTAAAGGTGACATTTGACATACTCCATTTTTCCTATTTGTTCTGGTTGTTGCACCATGCAGGTCCCTTACAACTCTCGGTCTGGTAATCTCGGCTCTAGCAGATCAGAGTGCTGGCAAAAACAAAAATAAATTTGTTCCGTATCGGGACTCAGTTCTCACGTGGCTGCTCAAAGTAAGTATTTTCCCTCTCTTTCTTGGCAAATGTTTGATAGTTTACAAAAAGGAAAAGACTGTTAATCTCTTCCAGTGATCATTCCCTCCATCGGTGTTCAGATCTATAATTAATGAAGGGGTCTGGCAACTGTGATTTCCATGGGCTGAGTGAGCCCAGGTTTCTTCTAGTAATTGGCAGCCTCTTCCTCCAGAGTCTGCATGCCTGGGTTGTGGGGCTCACACTAAACCACACAGTTGTTCATGGAGATTTGGAGGTAGAAGAAGGGCCTGGTGCTGATGTGACAGTAGGAGTCACAGGAAAGGACACCCTCTGCTGGGCTGCCCCATCTTCTCAGACTCCTTTGATAGTTGGGACCTTGTTTTCTGTTTGGCTTCACTGATGATCGTTTAATGTGCTTTCACCTTCTTGGAGAAGTTGCTGAAGGGTACCGGGGAGAGCATGGCTGCTTGCTGGTGAATTCAGTTCAGCTGGAAAGAGGGACAGGGAGGAAGGGAGATCTGTATGAAGTGTGGGAGCAGGGTATGGACAGGGCAGTGGAGCCAATCGGCCCCCCCAGTGGCGTAGGTCTATAGGTAGGAAGGCAAGGTGCTCACACACAGTAGAACATGAGCTTATGGGGGGCTCTGTGGCCGAAGTAGGTGACAGAGAGACTATATCCAGATTCCCCAGAGCCTCGGGCTTCATAGAGATGCTGTGATAATAGATATTGGTCTGGGTCTTAGAGGATGTAAATTCTAGGGTGGTAGAATTACTAACAGGGTGTCAACCTTGAACAAATCTTTCATCTAATACTTTTTTTTTAATGAAGAAATAAGTTTATATGCCTGGTTTAGTTTTGTGGGGCTCATTTCTCATTGGTGGGAGAAAACACTGTGTTTGAGAATATATAGGGAGTGGAGCGCAGGCCAGGAGCTGGGGGAGATTTGGAGGTAGAAGAAGGGCCTGGTGCTGATATGAGCAGCCCTTGTCGAGGGAGGCAGAGTTTTCTCCTGGCCTCCACATGCTCCCAGAGTTTATTCCTAGTGTTCATCTTTGAACCTGAAACTGTACACCACTTGGATGTGCTTTGTTGCACCCTTTATATACATGTCCCTGGGTTCTGCTTCTGTGTAATGCTGACAGTGGAGGAATTTGACACAGAATTACTTCCTTTGGCCAAAAGGCAATATAATTAGAAATTTAAAACAAAAAGATAAATAGATGTTGACCATTAAAAACCACTTGGAAATGGGTATCACAGTCATTTTACTACCAGGAATGTGTAATTAACCCTGATAACCTCCTGGTTTTCCAGAAATCGTCTACATAGGACATTTATTCTTCCAACTTTCACAGAAGCATTCCTGATCACACATGACTGTTCTCTGGATGTACCTGAATTAAAAGGCTTAAAAGAATTAAAGGAGTTGTGATACATGCCTATAATCCCAGTGGCTCAGAGGCTGAGGCAGGAGGATGATGAGTTCAAAGCCAGCCTCAGGAACTTAGCGAGACCCTAAGCAATTTAGTGTGATCCTGTCTCATAAAAAATAAAAAGGGCTGGGGAGGTGGCTTAGTGGAGGTGGCCTAGTACCAAAAATAAATATATAAGCAAGTAACTAAAAGAATAGTTTTACTGTCCTTGTCATTTCAGTGTTACTGCTTCAGATTATTTAAAATGCTGACAGTAGTTAAAATGGCCTAGAAATAATTGAGTGTCCATTGCATAAGCTGGAGACCAGGGGAACCTGTTTCAGGACAGTCAGGTGCTTTCCAGGGCATCTCAGTCACTTTTCGTAGGTAACAGCAGTGTTCTATTTGCCAGAGGAGGAAGAGGGCACAGAACTCACCAAGACAGGGTTGGGCCTGGGGCCTGGCTGAGTGCCCCACGCATCTGTGTTTGTGGAGGCTGTGTTCTAGTGGCAGGGTTCATCAGGAGGGGACTTGCTTGACTTCACCAATCTTTGGTAGGATATAATGAGAAAACTGTTCATAATACTTGAAGAACTTAGGTTGTAATTGCAGCTGTAAACTAATTCTTAGGTTGAGAAATAAATTGAATGTATACTTGACTTTGTCATTTTTTCCCCGTTAAAAATCTGTAAGAGGGGCTGGGGTTGTGGCTCAGTGGCAGAGCTCTTCTCACATGTGAGACGCTCAGCACCACATAAAAATAAGTAAACAAAATAAAGATATTGTGTCTATCTATAATTAAAACAACAACAAAGAAACTCATAAGACCTTTTTTCTATCACTTCTGACTTTTGCACCAAGATCATTTCTTAAGAAATGCCCCTACTTATGATACATCGGAATTATACATTGGGATTTTTTTTTAAGAAATTCCGATGTATAATTTTGATGTATAATTATGATGTGTCAATAAAAGGGGGAAATGTATTCCAGAACGTAAATAGTTTCCCCAAGGCCTCTCCAGATCTGTGGATTCCCCAGATCCTTTTCCTTCTTTGATTCTTTTTCTAATTCTTCCTGATCCTCATTCAACACAGGTGTGAATCTCATGTTCCTAACATTGCTTCCAGTGAGCTCATAAAATTGCTGGTCTTTTATAAGATTTTCCATTTCTCTTTAGAGATCTTTTTGCATTGTGTTTACGTAAGAATTGTGCTGTGTTCTTGATGTTTGTAACCTTCTAAATGTGGATCTCTTAGATAATGCTTAGATAATGAATAGCTTTCGAATTAACCCTTCTTATTCTTGCTGAGACTTCTCTGATGAAGCCTGCTCCAGTGTCTTGCCTAGATGACAGACACTTCCCTTGAGATTTCTTGGTCCAATCCCTTCTCCATAGTACATTGCAACTTCTTTCTAAATTAATTACTTCATCTCTTCAGAAACTGCCCTTAGGCCTGTGGGATCAAGTCCAGATTCTTTCCTGAGTGTCACTTACAAGTCCCTGCTTAGCCTGTCGCCTCCTAACCCCTGACTGCTTGCCTGCTGTCTCCGGGTGTCATCACCCCTAGCCTAGTGCAGAGTGCTGGTGCTCTCTTACTTCTGGGGCTTCAGGCTCCCTCTGTGGGGAGTGGTCTTCCCCTTCCTCAGTTTCCCGGCCCTGCTCCTTCACCTGCAGGTCTCCAGTGTCGCCTTCCAGGCATCCTCCTGACCTGTCAGGACTTGCCCTTCTGCCCAGCTGGGCTTCTGCCCTCTCCGACCACAGTTGTGGGCATCGGGCTTCAGTGCTAGCACAGCGCTGGCTCCACCAGGACTCCAGTGCTCCCAGCTAGCATCTGACCTGGAGAAGTTTATCGGTCTTCCTGGCTCTCCATTCTCATCTGGAAGACAAGTAATTTGATGACTTCAGAGTTCTTTCAGCTTTAAAAAATTATGACTTCCAAATTAAATCTCTTTCCAGTGTCCATTTAATTTGCAGTCGCAAAATTTGAAACAAAGCTTGTCTGATTTGCCTAATTGTACAATTAAAGAGTAAACAAGAAACTTTATACTTTCTCCTTGAATGAGCGCCAGTTCTTTGGTTGCTATTTCCTTTTTCCTAATGGCATGAGGCCATTTTTAAATATAAGCATATTGTTCCACAATCAAGGGTTTTAAAATACCAAGCGTTTGTCATTTGCCAGGTTTCCTTTTCTCACATACATCGAAGCACAATGCATGCACTTCTCTCCTTTGGTAGTTGCTGTTACAAATCTCCCACTTGGGTTTGCTGTTTGTGTGGGCCAGCAGCAGGCAGTAGTCTTTGAAGGGCTGCACAGTGCTACTGGTGTTGAACTGAATTGCAGAGTGACATTTTTATATCACATCTGAATCTGTCTAAGGCCTCATGGAACTCTTTGTGACAATTTTCTGGAAGTTGCCAAATCCAGGGCACCAACAATGTGAGATCAGTGACTAGAAGTGAAGAATGAAATAAGCAGTTATGACTTTCACTTCCTGAAGTCCAGATTGGTTCTGTTTCCTGCCTTTTCAAATATCAAAATGTATCTTCTTCAATATGATTTTATCTTTGTTTTCTTTGGAAAACCAAATTTGTCAGTAATGGATGAAGAAGCAGACACTAGAGCAAAATAATTTGGAGAAGTGTCAAGTCATCTGACTTAGTTCTCAGGTCTGAGCTTCCTCTGTATTACCAAGTATGTATCGGGAGCTGTGAAGGAGCGGAAATCCTATTGCAATTGATAGCAGAATATAACCGGGTTAGAGTATTGTTCAACTTACTGGCTCTGAATATTTCAGGTAGGATATTTAACCTCCTTTATCAGAACAAACCTCTGTCTTCTCATTGATAAAATGGGATTACTAAGAGTTTCACAGAAGGCTAAGAAATAAGTTTATACACAGAGATTATGCTAATAACTTTTACATTTATTGAAGTTGGAAAACTTCATGTCTTCAAAAGTAAGAATTTTCTAGCTGGGCTAGTGGCACATGCCTGTCATCTCGGTGACTTGGGATGCTGAGGTAGGAGAATCACAAGTTCAAAGCCAGCCTTAGCAACTTAGCAAGGCCTTATTTCAAAATAAAAAATAAAAAGAGTGGGGATTTGGCTTAGTGGTTAAGCACCCCTGGGTTCAATCCCTGGTACCCTCCCAAAGTAAGACTTTAGGTTAGTGCTACCCCAACACAGCTTTCTTGTGATCTGATGAATTCCCTATTACTATCCAGATGGAATATTTTTTCTTAATTTTGAGACTCTATCATGCAGTGATTTTTTCTTTCTTTTTTTCTCTTCAGTGCTAGGGGTTGAAGCCAGGGCCTTGCTCATGCCAGGCAAATGCTATATCACTGAGCCACATCCCCAACCTTCATTTAATGATATTCTGTTACTGAAAGAGGGTATTGAATCTTCCCCCCCTTCTTCCTTTCTTCCCTTTTCCCCTCCCTTCTTCACAGCCTGGGGTGTTAAGTTGCCTAGGCTGGTCTGGGATGGTAGGAGTGGTTACCTGTTGTGCTGGAACAGATCAACCTGCCCCCAAACTTGAACAACAGTTGTTTATCACCCTGCAGTTTCTATAGGTCAGGATTCTGGGAGCCCTAAACTGGTTCTGACTGGGTCTCTCATGGCTGCAGTCCAGGTGTCAGCTGGGGCTATGGTCATCTGAAGGCCTGACCCCGGGGGGGGGGCAGGGCTGGGGTCTGATCACTTGTATGGTACTTTACTGAGCTACGTTCCTCATCCCTAGCCCCTTGAATCTTTTTTTTTTTTTTTTTAATTTTGAGAAAGGTTCTCACTAAGATGCCTAGGTTGGCCTAGAACTTGCCATCCTCCTGCAGCTCTCCTGGATTGCGGGCATTTGCCACACTGGCCCTATTCACTCTTTTCCCTCCCTGTAGGACAGCCTTGGGGGTAATAGCAAGACAGCCATGGTGGCTACGGTGAGCCCAGCCGCAGACAACTACGATGAAACCCTCTCAACATTGAGATACGCGGATCGAGCCAAGCACATTGTCAATCATGCTGTAGTGAACGAAGATCCCAACGCTCGTATCATCCGGGACCTCCGGGAAGAAGTTGAGAAGCTCCGTGAACAGCTGACCAAGGCAGAGGTATGAGGCTCAGCTTGGCTGTGCTCAGCTTGGTCTAAGATGAGCTAGCACTTGAATTCCTCCCCTTGGCTGTAGGCAAGAATTACTCTTTTTTTTTTTTTTTTTTTAAGAATTTTTGTGTTTCCTATGGGAAGAGAAATTTGAGCTGAGTAATAAATGAAGGAATTTTTTCATATTGGAAATTTTGAGAGATTTATACAGATGTTAACAAGAATTGGATAGAAGAGATTTTTAAAAAAATGAGAAAATGTTTCTTTTCATTTCTATTCAGGCAGCAGATGTGAGGAAAAACGTTAATAGGATAAAGGGGAGGAGGAGAGAGACAATGAGAAGAAAGTGTGTATAACTGGATTTTCATTTAGAAAATGAGAGTGGGCATGGACTAATTGGAAGAGAAATCAAACATGTGGTGATGTTTGGTCTCTCATTTGTTAACTGATAGAAACCAGAATGGAGGTCTCATTCACCTTAATAATCCAGTTTTTCTATATTGTAGTTTGTGTCATAGGAAAAAGAAAACTATGACTGAAGTAGCTGTGGTCTATTTCAGCTGTCTTCTCTGTATCCCACACAAGTCTATCCTGTAACCAAGTGGTACTCCTTTTGTAGGACAGCCTTGGGGGTAACAGCCTTGAGTGATGGTGTGTGGTTTCAGATTCAGGATTGCCCTGCGGCTAGCTTTTCTGCCCAGTCCCTTAGCTGTCTGGGATTCTTTTGGGAGCGGGCCCCACAGCCCTGTTCCCCATACCCTGTTTCACCTGTTTTCTGGTAGTAAGTTGAATGCATGGGCAGGATGGCTATTTTGACCATGTTTTTGCCTGTTGAATTTTAGCCTGTATTTACAGAAGTAATTTTATAGATTTAAAGGTCCTCTATTTTGGTCTTTTCTTCCTGGTATTAATAACAGCTTCCAGTTTTCAGCATGAACACATTTCGTCTGTGTGTTCTTGAATAAATTCCAAACGTCAGAAGTGGAAACCAGACTGACTCTCTTGCATGAGTCTAGGTAAAAACCTTTTGGAACTTAGAATTAATAAGCCCTTCTTAACTAGCCTCATGTGTTTATCTCCTTAAGAGAGTGAGCTCTTTACAGTAGGTTGAGGAAGGGTCAGGTGAGTCTTCCTTGGATGACTCTGTTGTGGTCTTCTTAGTGTGTAGGTGCTGATGTCACTGGGGACCTGCTGGTTGATGTGTTGTGGGTAGGTGGACAACGTGGCACTGTGCACTGGGGAGAGGCCGACAGTCACTTTTGTCCTTTTAGCTTTGGCTGATTCTTTTTCCAGGGCACTGTCCAGACAGTTTCATGAAGTGAACGTTTTGCTTGTAGGCAATGAAATCTCCAGAGCTAAAAGACCGGCTAGAAGAATCAGAGAAGCTAATCCAGGAAATGACGGTGACCTGGGAGGAGAAATTGAGGAAAACCGAGGAGATTGCACAGGTTTGTTTCCCAACTGATCAGGAGAGCAAAGTTCTTGGCCATCTGCACAGTGGGGTTCAGGTGACGCTCCTGGTCCCCTTTTGAGTTTTTCCTTTGCTGTTGGCAAATCTAGCACCTGTGGAAATTCAGATCCATGAGCTGCACTTTACAAAATCAGTCTGAAGGATACAGAAGGTATAATTTCCAGTGATTTACTATGGAAGGGATAGTTAATTTTTTAGTGCCAGTAATCTTAAAAAATATTAAAAACAAATAATTTGTAGTCTCTGATGTGAACACCTCATTCTGTTACATGTTTGTAAAACTGAGGAACTTAGTAGTGAAATTACAATATCACTGGTATAGATATTAGGTTATGAGCATCTCGCTTCCAAATGACAACTCAGTAAAAGTAACATAAAACACTGAAATGTGAGGCAACTTTTTCTCATTGCTAGAAAATAATAATATAGAGTTGTGAGAGCATAGGGTGGAAACATGAGCCTAGCCTAAGAAGCTCTAGTTAAGTTTAGCATTGGGGGAAAATGTCAGAAAAATCTGTCTTTAGTGAAAGACCTCCTCTATAGTTTTTCTGTTACTGTTTGTGTCCATGTGAAGTAGTGCTCCAGCACAGTGCTTAGGCAAGTTTTTTTTTTTTCCTTTTTTTTTTTAATGAATTCACTGATGATTTGAGTGCTCAGTGTGTGTCCTGCACTGTGCTAAGTGGTAGGAACACAGTCATGAGTAAGGCCGGATCCATGTCTGCATAGCCATGGTCTGTGTGAGGGGAGTGGTCAAGTAAACTGATGGTCACCTAGTGTGAGCAGATGCCAGTGTCTGCTCTGCACAGAAGGCAGAGGTGTGAAACCCCTGGGTGGAAAGGCACAGACACCCTTGATGACACTTTGAGGGGCCTGGAACCTGTTCCATGGAGTTGAGGGCAGGGTTTGAAAGTAGGTGTGACAAGATGTGCAAATGGAGAGGACATGGGCCAGGAGGAAGGGCCCCATGGACTTCATTGAACAACTTTGCCCTGTGTCCTGAGGAGTCACTGAAAATGTCAAGCAGGAGAGGATATTGAAAACTTTGCTTTTAAGAAAGACCACAGCTGAGTAAAATACACTCACATTTGCTCACATATATAGAATTAAATGAGATGAACTGAAGAAATTTGATATTTTTAAAGAAGAAAATTGAGCTGGGTGATGTTGCATATCTGCAACCCCAGCAACTCTGAAGGCTGAGGCAGGAGGACTGCAAGTTTGAGGCTAGCCTGGGCAAATTAGACATATCTCAATTGTTACAGTCCCGTCCCCTCTCCCCCATAGTAGGGATTGAATCCAGAGTACTTTACCACCTTTATATTTTGAGACAGAGTTTCATTGAATTGCAGAGGCTTGTCTCAAATTTGTCATACTCCTGCCTTAGCTTCCCAAGTAGGTGAGATTACAGGTACAGACCACCATCCCTGATGGGGATTTATTTTTTAAATAAATTAATTGACAAATTAAAATAGTTTTGAGCTGGGTGGGGTGACACATGCCTATTATCCCATCTATTGTTTGGAAGCTGAGACCAGAGGATCCCAAGTTTAAGGCTAGTCTTGGCAATTTACCAAGACCCTCAGCAACATAGTGAGATGCTGTCTCAAAATAAAAAGTGCTTGGGATGTGTCTCAGTGGATCCAAACCCCAGTACCATGAAACAGAGAAAGTTGTACATAGTTGAGAATAAAGAACAAAGAGCAGTAATCCAAATGCCATATTTGAAGAATAATATTTGAATTATAAAGGTAATCAATAGTTATTCAAATATTGTAGGGCCTTCCATATCTCACTGCCTTGGTGGCTGAGGAATAACTCTTCTCTAATACTTTTACAGGAACGACAGAAACAGCTAGAGAGCCTGGGAATCTCTCTGCAGTCTTCAGGAATCAAAGTTGGGGATGACAAGTGTTTCCTTGTTAATTTGAATGCTGATCCTGCTCTGAATGAACTCCTGGTGTATTATCTAAAGGTGAAGTAACATGCCCACACAGAGTACAGTAAAGTGCTTCTTTAAACTTGGGGAGCCATGCTTTCTCAAAACAGGGCTGAGGATTTAGCTCAGTGCTGAGCACTTGCCTAGCTTGTGCAAGGCCCTGGGTTCCATCCCCAGCACCTCAAAACAGCAACAATAGCAGCAGAACGGTTAGAAAATTATTTTTATTTGAATAAGCTGAACAGTTTTGGGTTTTATGATCAGTTTCCCTTTTAATTCTTTGAGTGATGTCATCTGGCCTAGTCTCATAAAAAATGATATTCTAGTATTTCCAGCAAGTTAAATCACTAACCTACCATTATTTAGTATGATTTATGATAGAGAATAATGTTAAAGGACCACTTGATAGGAAATTTATATTTCCAGTAATTCTTAGGAAAATTAAAAAATTATGAATTATTAACCTGTTTTATTTTTTACTTATTTATTTTTTAGTTGTAGTTGGACACAATACCTTTATTTAGTTTATTTATTTTTATGTGGTGCTGAGGATCAAGCCCAGGGCCTTGGCACATGCTAGGCAAGCACTCTACCGCTGAGCCACAACCTCAGCCCCTAACCTGTTTTTTTTTTTTTTTTTAAAAAGAGTCAGTCACTTAGAAACTAAGAAAGTCAGAGAATGGAACAGAAAAAGACAAAATATTGGTACACATTGAAATTTGTAAATCATGGGATATATTAAGACAAGAGACAACTTGAATTGGATGTGGTGGTGTACACATGTGATAATGTGTACATTAGCTATTTGGGAGCTTGAGGCAGGAGGATCTCAAGTTTGAGGGCAGCTTGGGCAATTTAGTGAGACCCTGTCTCCAAAAAAAAAAAAAGATGCAGCTTTGGTAAGAGCCTAAACCCCAGAGGATGTGGCTCAGTGGTAGTAAGTGCCTACCTAGAAAGAGCATCAACCTGAGACCACATAATGTGAGGAGTACTCCAAATAGTTTTTGTCAGGATCACAGCGCAAATTAATTATATCATGGACTGCATAATTCTAGGGTTAGTACATACATCAGGATGTGGTTCCCCCCCCATATATCTGGGATTAACTAGCACGACTAGGAAAATAAAGCAGATGAACTGATTAAGTTGGAAACAACTTTAAGATTAGAAAATTGTGTGCTTGCATTTCTAAAGACTCACATTGGCTAATTTTTCAGTTTTTATCAGAGGTATACTGTATGAATTGCTTTGTGCCATTTTGTTAAGGTCCCTTTGTTAATAAGTATCCTGTGCTGTGTTTGGCTATCTGGTGAGTTAACTTGGGTCTTTGACACACACCATAATGCGTGCACCTCTTAAGTATTATAGTCAGTGGGAGCAGTGCTGCAGGAAGAGGGAGGAGGCTTGCGTTCTGCAGGTTCTTCTGTGCAGATAGATAGAAGCCACCTCTGGCAGGTTCATGTGGCGTTAGATATATAGATGCACTTTACAGATACTATACACTTTTATTTCATGTTCCAGTTTCTCATTTGATACTCTTCTTTTCCAGTACATGTGTAATAACCTTGCCTATTAAAAAATGATGTGGGCATGGTGGTGCATGCCTGTAATCCCAGCTACTTGGGAGGCTGAGGCAGGAGAGTGGCACGTTCAATACTAGCCTCAGCTACTTAGTGAGACTCTATTTCAAAATCAAAGTGCTAGAGCTGGAGATGTGGCTCAATGGTAGAGCACTTGCTTGGCATGTGTAAGGCCCTGGGTTTGACCCTCAGCACTGCATATAAAGAAAGAAATAGAAGATCCATTGAAAACAAACAAAATTTTAAAAATATTTTTTAAATTTATTAGTTGTACATAGTACCTTTATTTTATTTATTTTTATGTGGTGCTTAGGATCGAACCCAGGGCCTCGCAAGTGCAAGGCAAGTGCTCTACCACTGAGCCACAACCTCAGCCCCTTTAAAAATATTAAAAAAACAAAAAACAAAACAAAGTGCTAGGGATGTAGTTCAGTGATAAAGTGTCCCTGGATTTGATTCCCAGAAGCAATAACAAATGATGTTCCCTAACCGTGCTTCGGAATGACGTTGGCAGCATTTTCAGTTGGAGCATCAGCCACAGATAACCACATGTTTTAGGGGAGATGCTGTGTTAGGGTGGGACTTACAATAGGCAGCCATTTTTGCTCCTCAGAACTAAGAATTCTTTTCCTTTCTGGTGTGATAGAGTTAAAATTGGAACATGCAGATGCACATCCTAAGAAACCCCTGATTCATATCTGTTCTTTAACTAAAAAGTTAAACAAAGAAAGTGTTTGAAGAGAGGTTTGTGGGGAGGAGCTGGCATCTCTGATTGTCTGCACGGAGGTGTTCCACTGGGTTTCAGACTGTGGTCAGCTGTTTGGGTGGTCAGAAGCAGCGATACTGTGTTGGCTGCCAAGCCAGTCCCAAGACAAGACATACTCATGACAAAGCACATTCAAAAGGGTAACTCAGCCAAGAACAGTTTTCACTGTAGGAAAGTGACACCGGGATGTGGGCTGGAGGAATTTGGAGACTGAGTGTTTTTTCTTTGTTTGCCTTTAACTTCTCAGCCTGTTCCAGTGCTAGGCCTTTGACTTCAGAGGTGATGACTTTAGCCACCCAGCTATAAGTGGAGGCGCTGGATTAAAAATCTCAAGTTCTTCCTAACTCTAGGATTTGGTGGTCTCACTCTTCTCAGCACAGCCTCACCTGTGTGCTCTGCACATGGAGTCACACACACTCTCCTGCTCCCACAGACTTCGTCTCCTCTTGCTCCCCAGCACCCCCAGCTGTAGGAGCTCCTCAAGAGCCTCCTGGAGCCTCCTTTTCCTCATTATTTTTTGCTGCATTGCAAAATATGAGGCACAATATGAGGAGCTTATAGACTTAGTTAACGTCAAACAGTGTGGCTTTGGCAGAATTGAGCTTTTTGAATTCAGTATTTGAGATTCCAGGGTATCATCAGCTACATCACAAGAGATTTTTAACCTCACATGAGACATCTAAGTTGTCATTCCTAACGTAAGGTCTGTAATTAGGAGTTTATCTATTTTTTATATGCCTAAGTGGTTCAGTGCCCAGCTCATGTTGGGTGCTCAGTATAATTGTTGATAAAAGGAAATTTTTCTTCTGGAACTTGGATTAGATCTTTGCCTGTTGGAGTTCATGTCTTCTGCTCCTGGTAATACGCACTTTTTGTTTGGCACCCAGTGCATGTTGTGTACGATGCTGGTTGTACTGGTGTACAAGTCCTCCATAGGTTGTTCTCCAAATAAGGGGAAGTAGCAAGTCTCAGTACCTACTGAGTGTTAGGTGCAATCAGGGTTTGGTAAAAGGGAAACCCTTCAGTGGAAGAAGAGGGAGAGGTAGGTGTGGGAGATGCTCTGTATGGAGAGGGAGGGAGGAGTATTGCAGGCAGAGCAGCAGAGCCAGAGTAGGGGTGGGAGGAACCTGGGAGTGGAGTTTTGGTTCCACCTGTCTAGTGGCCATCACGAGGCTTTCTCCATTCCCACCCCACTCCTGAGGACAGGAAGGACCTCTAGGGCACAGCTAGGATTCGGCACTAGGCTCATTCATGGGAGGGGAGGGAATCTATGTAGAACTGGCTCAGGGATGTTTCTTCCTTCTGTGGGTAGTCTTGGATGCTTCTTGCTGGCCCCTGCTTTTCCTTTAACATCACCTTGCTGGTGGTGATGACAGTCGTGGGGCACGCAGAGCAGGGAGGGAGGCAGTGCAGTCCGTTCTTCAGCCTGCCTTGGAGAGTCCTTGCAGTTGTGGGACTGGCCTGGAAGCCCCGGCTGATGTGAGGAGGGAGAGGTGCTGGGATGTCCTCTGCACTCCCTGGGGGCTCTGATGGGCACCATAGATAGCTGGGAAAATCCTGCAGAGGAAGAGCATTTTGTGAGGCTGAAGTCCCAAAAGAGGGGGAGCAGGGTGTTTACGTTGAAGGGTGACCTGCTAGAGGAGGAGAGGATCGCTGCCTTTGGACCTAAGGAATGTGGGGGTGTTCATTTGTTTTCCATGTTTGTGTAATGTCTAACTGTGCCAGGCCTGCGTTAAGTGTGTGGAATACCGTGGGGAGCAGGAGGCTGGTCTCTGCCCCAGGGAGTCTGAGACTAGGGTGTGGTTGTGGAGGTGAGAAAAATAAGCTGAGTTTTGGTGTTTTGAGGTCAAATCTAAGGATTTCCTGATTGACACTGGTGGGCTGGTAAGGGAAAGAGGGAGGATTCCGTAGTATCTGAGCTTTTTGGTTGATGGTCTGGGTGTTGGTATTGCCATTAGTATTGGGGAGGGGAATGGACTTTCCTTGGGTCAGGAGGAGGGGAGCAAGTTCTTTGGCTTTGCTGACTTTTCAGTGTCTTCAGACATCCCAGTTGCGTCGAGTAGGCTAAGTAGGCAAATGCTGATGGTGGAGGTGGGAGAAGGTGGACCTGAAGTCTGTGTTCTGGTCGGTGATAGAGACTTAGCTTACACTTGGCAGTATTTAAAGCCATGGGTGGGGATGGGTCCTGAGTCACAAGTCAACTGACCGCTTCCCACAGGTCACATCTAGTGCCCTTTCTGGTTTTGTATGGCTCAAGAACTAAGAATAGTCTTTACATTTTTTAAATGGTTGAACAGTAATATTTTGGACATGTGAAAGTTTTGTGAAAGGGACTGGGGCTGTGGTTCAGCTGTAGCGCACTTGCCTGGCATGTGTGAGGCACTGGATTCGCTTCTCAGCACCGCCTATAAATAAATAAAGGTCTATCAACAACTAAAAAAATACATATATATTAAAAAAAAGAAAATGTTAAACTATAAAAAAAGAAAGTTATGTGAAATTCAAAATTCAGTGTTCTTAAGTGACATTTTATTGGGACACGTTCCCATCTATTTATTTCTGTTTTGTTTGCTTCTGCATGACAAGGGCAGAGTTGAGTGGTGGCATGTGCCCCAGAAAGCCTCATACATTTCATATCTGACCCCTGGTTCAGGTGTGTAGACAGGGGCCTGGGAACACAGCCCAGTTCCCATCAAACCTTAATCACATACGAGCAGTCAACAGTTGTGCATAAGAAGAGGCCCAGTTTTTAGAGGTCATTTTTCTCCATTCAGATTAGGTGAGTCACCTTCCAAAAAGTGGGGGTAGAGTCATTGGGGCCCCAGGTAAGAACTTATCTGTAAGATCTTGTTTATGAGGTTTGAGGAGACCATGAAACTCATAGAATAATTTTAGTCTTTTTGTACTCTCATATTTGAATAGCTTTTGTCTTTGTAATTGGTTTATTTTGATTAAGACCAGGCAAGTGATGTCTAGCTTGAGGAACTGTGGTTTCTACACATGGTTTTGCTCTTTGCGGGGGAGCATGGGCAGAGATTGAACCTGTGTCACTTAACCAATGAGCCACACACCCAGCCCTTTTCATTTTGTATTTTGAGACAGGGTCTCACTAAGTTGCTTAGGGTCTCACTAAGTTACTGAGGCTGGCTTTGAACTTGGCGCCTCCTGCATCAGCCTCCCAGGCTATTGGGATCACAGGCGTACACACCGTGCCTGGCTTCCACACCCTGCTTTTGGTACATCTGTGACACATGGCTTATGATCTGAGAGTATTAGAGTTCAGACTGTGATGAAAAATATGAATATGTTAGGAATATGGATATAAAGTTATAGTTTTAGTTGTAGATGGACACAATGCCTTTATTGATTTTTATGTGGTGCTGAGGATAGAACCCAGTGTCTCACACGTGCTAGGCAAGAGCTTTATCACTGAGCTACAACTGTAGCCTTAAAGTTATAATTTTAAGTTTAAAAAGTATTACTCAGCTGAGTGTGTTATTTCTTATAAAGAAACTTGTAAGAAGAATTTTACTGAGTAGCTACGGAGGCTGAGGCAGGGGGATTTCAGTGAGACCAACTCAGTGAGACCCTGTCTCTAAATGTAATATAAAATAGGGCAGGGTAGGTGGCTTAGTGACTGAGAGCTCTGGGGTTCAACCCCTGGTACCAAAAAAAAAAAAAAAAAAAATCAGAGAGCTGGGCATGGTAGCATATGCCTGTAATCGCAGCTACTCAGGAGGCTGAGCAGGAGGATCATGAGTTCAAAGCCAGCCTCAGCAACAAAGCAACACCCTAAGCAACTCAGTGAGACCTGTCTCTAAATAAAATATAAAAAAGGGTTGGGGATTTGGCTCAGTGGTTGAGTAGGTTCAATCCCTGTTACCCTTCCTCACAAAAAAAAAAAAAGGAATTTCAGAGTAAATTTCTGCTCTATTTGCTTTGAAAATCTTATTATCTAAGGTAATAGATCAAAGAGGACTTCAATGCAGGTGATTTTAGTTTATGTACATGCAAGAATACAGTATTGATGAGTAAATTTTGATTTTTTAAGGAACATACATTGATAGGGTCAGCAGATTCCCAGGACATCCAGCTGTGTGGAATGGGGATTCTTCCTGAACACTGCATCATAGACATCACGTCAGAAGGCCAGGTTGTGCTCACTCCTCACAAGAACACTAGGTAACGTACTCGAATGAGTGTTAACATCACAGTGATTTTTAAAGGGAAGAATATACACTAGTGGTGGGCAGTAAGGGACATTTGTCATTACTTTGCCAAATGACATTTAGAACTTTGAAAAATGGAGAATAATAATGTATTATACTTAGTACCAGTAAGCATTTTATATAATCCAGTGAAGTAAATGCAAATACTTAGATTCACCAAGGACAGGTTTTATTTTGGGGAATTAATCATTTTGTTTTCCCTAGTAACTAGACTGTTGTAGTACTGGAAAACGAAGCAGAGGATGGGGTAATCATTACTCATGGTTGACCTTTTCCCCACACAGAACATTTGTAAACGGGTCCTCTGTCTTCAATCCAATACAGCTGCACCATGGAGACAGGATATTATGGGGGAACAACCATTTCTTCAGGTATGACATTGCTCATGGCCCTTCAAGGGGTAGGTTACTGAAGATGATGCTCTGGAGTAGAAGCATACATATTGGAAAGTCAACTTTAATTTATAAAAATCATATGTATAATCTTTGTGTATGCAGATATATGTATATGTGTAAATATAGTATATGTATGTTTTATGTGTTTGTTCACTGCATAAGTGTCTGAACTCTAAGGATATATGATGTACACTCAGGAAAAATGCTGAGTTTACTTATATATTTTTTTCCTTTTATTTCCCATTGAAAGATGATTGTTTTGCCATCTGGTATAAGAATTCATTAATTGTTTTTCTGACATGTTTATCTTTGTGTGTGTATTCACACAGATGTAGTTTTGTATGTATAAGATACATGTGATTTTTTTTTTTCTGAAAAATTGTGGTAGTGGCCTTATCCATAGCATCAGGATGGCATTCCCTTGGGAGAGCTTTTAGCTGTTGGTAACAGCACACTTAACAGTCACTGCTTAAACAGATGATTTATTTCTCTGTTAGAACAAGACATCTGAAGGGACATGGTCGTTAGTGTTGGGCAAGCCTCTCAGAAGTGCCACTGCTGAAGCCCACCCTTGGGTTGGCGCTTTCCTGCCCTCTAAAGATGCCTGTGCCCTGCAGCCTTGAGAGCAGCTCGCTTGCTCCAGGAGGAAGGGAGGGTGAAGGGGACCTTGCGAGCCCCAGTAGTCCTCCTGTCAGACCCTGGCAATCCTTGTCCCCTTTGCTGGAATTTGCTGGGTGCTGGAGGGCAGCGAGAGGAAAGGCTTTCCTGGGCCTGCACACAGTTTCCCAGACAAGCGTGTGCATTAACATCTGGGTCTCCCCTCGTCCTGCCCCTGGCCAGTGACGTTTCATACGGCTAGTAGAGGCCCTTGCTTGTAGGCCCATTAGTATTTTGATGTTTGAGGAAAGAGTAGATGGATACAAATGTTGTAGAAAAAAATTTTCATGTTTTTTCTTCCCAAATTAAAGCAAGTATAAATTGCTTGGCTTAGTCTTCCAGACCCTTCCTGGTCTGGGCTAGGTTGCTCTTCCCAGCGCTCTCCCTCACCTGTGCTTCGTGGAGCTCGTGTGTCCTGTGGTGGCTCACGCATTCTCAGAGCCTGCCAGCACCTGGCTCACGTCTTCCCACACTGCCCTCGTCCTGCTTTCTGCTTCTCCTCTGGGGTGTGGCGGACGATCTCCTGCTCCATCCTTCCTTCCTTAACTTCTCTGCTCTGAAGGGGGTCTGGCTTTTCTTCTCCACCTGGCTGGTAACAGTCGTGTGCCCATGTCACACTCGCTGTTATAATTATTTGCACACACAGAATGGAAAGCTCCGGAACACAGCAGTTTCCTTGTATTTACATGGCATTCCTTTGGCATCTGGCAGATGCCAGTTTTAAGGAATGGAATGACTAACTGCCTATCTTTTGTTTTCTTTCTTTTTTTTTTTTTTTGTAGTTCTAGATGGTCAGAATTCCTTTATTTTATTTGTTTATTTTTTTATGTGGTGCTGAGGATCAAACCCAGTGCCTCACGCTTGCTAGGCAAGTGCTCTGCCATTGAGCTGCAGCCCCAGCCCATAAATGCCTATCTTGACTTTAAAAATGATATTCTTTTATTTTAACCCCAAGACTCAGTTTGCCTAAAAAGAAAAAGAAAGCAGAACGAGAGGAAGAGGAGCAGGACGCCTCCCTGCGGAACGATAACAGTTCTGAGCAGCTGGACGTGGATGGGGACTCCTCTAGTGAGGTGTCCAGTGAGATCAGCTTCAATTTTGAGTATGCACAGATGGAGGTGACCATGAAGGCCCTGGGCAGTAATGGTGAGTGGTCTGCCTGTCTTCTGGAATCTTCTTGGGTTGACAGTCTTAAAAGTATTTACAGTTGAGGGCTTTTCATGTTTTGGCAGAAGGGAAAGTCTGTGTTACTGGTCCCTGAACTCGACTCTTTTGTGCCTTTGACTATAACAACTTACTGTGTCTATGAAACCCTCAGTGCTATCTGGATATGCTGGCAAGTCACTGCACACTTTGTTCCCACTGGTGAAAATTCTCAGGTGTAAGGCTACTGGTGTCATGTTTCTGGAGCACTCTCTGTGTCATGGGCCACGATAGGGCACACAGGAGACTTGCTTGTGTCACACGGAGCATAGTATGGCATAGGAGAGGACAACAGGAGCTGGAAGTACAGAAAGCTGAGTCTATTCCAAACTGTCTTCAGGGGTACTCGGTGCTACTGGTTTGGCCAACAACAGTATAACACAGCGGGGTGACATTTGAAGTGCATTGTCCTTTTGTTCATCCTCTTTTTTTACGAAAACACGTTTAGATCCCATGCAGTCGCTATTGAGCAGCCTGGAACAGCAGCACGCAGAAGAGAAACGCTCCGCTCTAGAACGGCAGAGGCTCATGTACGAACACGAGCTGGAGCAGCTCCGAAGAAGGCTGTCCCCTGAGAAGCAGGGCTCCCGCACAGGAGACCGGCTGTCGTTCCACCCGCCCAGCGCCCAGCAGCGCCTGAGGCAGTGGGCGGAGGAGAGGTAGGCCCTGGCTTCAGTGAACTTGGCACACTGCAAGACAGTGTGAGTCACAGCCAAGAACCACTTCACGTTATTTTCCATTTTTGGAAAACATGGAAGTCTCCAATTTGTATTTCTTTCTTTAAAGCTGCCCTTGTTGGGCTGGGGCTGTGGCTCAGTGGTAGCGCACGTGCCTGGCATGTGTGAGGCACTGGGTTCCATTCTCAGCACCATGTGAAATAAATAAAGGACTATCGACAACTAAAAAACAAACAAACAAACAAAAACCCCCTGCCCTTGTTAGGTGCTGTCTGGTTTTCAGTTTGTACGGCTTTTGGATTTGAATAAAAAAGTATCCTTTATCGTTGTATCATGCTTTAGGTTCTGAAGCTTGGGTAGGTGTTTTTTAAAAAAAGGAAAAAAAGAAAATTGTCTGGACTGATGAGCTCAGGTAGGTGAAGCATGGTGCCACTGAGGTGCAGATTGCAGTTTGACCTCTGTGCAGCTAACTAGCATCTCACTGAAATGCCCTACTCGTGGCTGCATCGGACATCACTAACCTGCTCATCCAAGTCTGGTCTTTGGGCCTGCGGCATCCCTATCAGCTGAGAGTGATAGAAATGCAGACCCTCCTGCCCCACTCAGGCCTGCTGGGTAGAAGTCGAGTCACTCTTGAGTTCCTCAAGATCCCTGGATGATTCCTGTCCACAGTTGTGAAGCGCTGCCCTGTTCTGGGGTCAGCCTGCTGCACAGGTGTGCCACCTGCGGGCAGTGCAGCCCAGATAGAAGTGCGTGCATGGGAGTGTCAGCAGTAGAGTCCTTGTGTGCAGGACTGTCGTAAAGCTCGGCTTGCACTGGCCATCAGCATACTCCGATGTTCTGAGGTCTGCTTTGGGTATTTGTTAGCTCCTACTCACCTTGGCCTTTCCTCTTTGTTTCTCATAAAGAGAAGCAACGTTGAACAACAGCCTGATGAGACTGAGGGAGCAGATCGTTAAGGCCAATCTGTTGGTGAGAGAAGCTAGTTACATCGCAGAGGAGCTGGATAAAAGAACCGAATACAAAGTGACCCTGCAGATTCCTGCCTCCAGCCTGGATGCCAACAGGAAGGTGAGGCCCTTCCTCAGCAAAGACAGATGTCATTGTGTGAGTTGCTGGGCACGGCGCTGGTGGCTTTGTGCCCCGCTGCTTTCCAGACCCACCTACGGAGGCCCTTCAGTTCTTCTCCCTTGAGTAGAATTCACTTCATTTTGCCTTTGTGTGCATGCTTGCATGTGCACACATGTACACACGTGTGTATACGTATGGATGCGTGTGTGTATGTGCGTATATACACACACATTTACATTAAAAAATATGTACATGTGTATATTTATCCATTAGGAGTATACTCTCTACCTCCTCACAGTATATTTCACTCCCTTATTTCAAATATATGTACACATATTTATTTATTCAAACGTGTCAAATATTTTATTTAACTCATTAATTCAGGAATATAACTTCTCATCTGTTCCTCCACGTGTAAATTAGGATTGTGAGATACATTTACACACAGACCCAAGGAAAGTCAGGATTCACAGAGCCGTTGTGAGCTGTATCCTGTGAGATAACATGCATTTCTTTGGAGAGCAATCAATCATTTACATCACTATATGTTTTCTATAACTTCCTAAATTGTAAATGGCTGAAGAAAAGAGACAGGCAAGTAGGATATGCTAGAGGCTAGATAAGACACTCAGCGATCTTTTCTTTTCTTTTTGGCAGGGGGGAGTCCATCTCAAAGTCGTTCACATTTTTTTCTTAGCAATGTGCTCATGTTTTTTTAATATGAACATGTTTTATTTATGCTGAGCGTTGAAGATAGGAGTATTAACAGAAGGAAAAATACACCTGTATTGACCCTATAACTAACTCTTAAATGAGAAAAGTGTCTTATTTTTAATTTTGAAGATGAGTAATGCTCCTTTTTTTGTACTAGGGATTGATCTTAGGGGTGCTGTACCATTGAGCTACAGTCCCAGTCCTTTTTTATTTATTATTTTTTAATTTGTTCCAATTATATATAACAGTAGAGTATACTTTGACACATTGTACACAAATGGAGCACAGCTTTTCATTCCTCTGGCTGTACATGGCTAAGGGTCATTCCACTAGTGTAATCTTCATGTGTATAGGATAATAACGTTGGTCTCATTCTACTGTCCTCCTCATCCCCATAGCCCCACTCTTTCCCTCACACCCCTCTGCACAATCCAAAGCTCCTTCATTTTCCCCAACCTGCCTCCCCACTATGGATCAGCATCTGCTGTTCAGAGAAAACATTTGGCCTTTGGTTTTTTAGGATTGGCTTATTTCAGTTAGCATGATATTCTAGTTCCATCTATATACCTGCAAATGTCATAATTTCATTCTTTAAGGCTGAGTAATATTCCATTGTATATATGAACCACATTTTCTTTATCCATTTCTCCACTGAAGGATATCTAGGTTGGTTCCATAGTTTAGCTATTGTGAATTGAGCTGCTGTGAGCATTGATGTGGCTGCGTCACTGTAGTATGCTGATTTTAAATAAACCGAGGAGTGGGATAGCTGAATCAAATGGTCAAATATATTTAAATTATTTCTGAGAACTCTGTTATTATCAATCCTCCCACAGTACCTTTTTCCTTTATTACCATTCCATGGCCCTTCCCAAGTCAGGTATTCACTTTATGTATATCATGTTGTCTTTATTTGCTAATAGATTGCTCTATAAAGCTATTCATTAGTTGTTTCCTATATATATTTAAGACAACCAATCTCTTTTTTGAGTAAATAATGAGTTTAATAGTATTTTGTGGGAGATTCCTACTCAAATATCCTATTCTGACCTATACTCATTGTCATCCTCATCCCCCCCCCCCCCCCCGTGCTCCTCCTCCTGAACCTTCTCTAGCTCTGATTGTGTGTGTGTGAATCTTAATGGATTGGAAGGACTTTTCTCTTCATACGTACTTCTGCTGAGTCTGCGTGGTCTCTTTCTCCTGCACTACCTAACACACGTCTCCATCAGTTTGTTTCCATGTTCTGTGGGAATCTGACAGCAGGGATAGCTGCTGTTTCCCTATGATCTCTCAGAATCAAGCTCACCATTTTGCACAGTCGATGTTTAGCAAATACGACTCAATCTTTTGAGTAATAAAGGTACCGCAAACCTGATCATTACTGTGTAGATCCTTGTCTCTTGATGGATACTCTGTGTGCAGTTGGAAAGATTTTACCTAAACTTCATTCTGCTTCTTAGTTGTAGGGCAAAATCTGAGTACAGTGGGACTCAAAGACATAGTCAAAAGAGGAGGCCAATCATGGGCAGAAGTTATAGGGCTTAACTTTTTCTAGAAGATGGAGCAATATAAAATCTTCTCTCACCCTGTGGTGTCTGAGAACTGAACATTTTACCCGTAAGCACAATGATAGCGCTTTTCTCTGTATCCTATTTTTGAGCTTTATTTGGAAGGAGCTCTACTGCTTTGGGGCAGCCAGGTCAGCCCCTCGTGCCTCATGTCCCCTCTGGTCTCTCTCCTCCCATCCACCGTGTGCTCTCTGGGGCTATGCATTGCTGACGGAGGTGCGGTAGCAGCTATTTGTTCATGATGTAGGTAGATTCCTGGACATTTAGTCCCAGGCCCAGCATTCTGCCCCTGGAAAGTCAGTAGCCACAGATCACTAATGGGATTTTTGTTTTTTTCACTAGCTGGCTGAAGATGAGGTGGAAGGGCCTAAAGCACATGAATTTTCAACTTTAAGAATTATTAAATCTCCAGCTGTGTTTTGAATTCAGTGACAAAATGCTTGTCTAGCATGCACCCAGCCCTGAATTTGATCCTCAGCACTGCCAAAAAGAAGAATTATCAAATTTTTATTTCATTATGCAAATTTTATTTCTTTGGAAATGATCATATGCAAGATGTTAATGAAACATTATTGTATTTCATGGTTCACTTAAGTTCTAAGTAGACATATCAGAGTAGTTAATAAATTAAGCCACTACATTTAAATTGATAGATGATGGATAGATACATCGTTTGGGGGAGATGTAGAAGGATGTTTTTATTTTCTACTTTGTGGTTTTAAAATGTTCTAAAAGTTTTTCTACATTAAAAACACATTCCTGTGGCTGGGATTGTGGCTTAGTGACACAATGCTTGCCTAGCATGTGTGAGGCACTGGGTTCAAGTCTCAGCACTGCATATAAATAAATAAAATAAAAGTCCATCAACAACTAAAAAAAAAATATTTTTTTTAAAAAAACCTCATGGCTTAGTTGTAGATGTGGCTCAGTGGTAGAGTGCTTGCCTGACCTGCTTGAGGCCCAGGGTTCAATCCCCAGCACCACAAATACAACAACCGAAAACCACATCATTACCCAAGTTTGGTAGGTTGTGCCTGTAATCCCACCTACTCAGGAAGCTGAGGCAGGAGGATCACAAGTTTGAGGCCAGCCTGGACAACTTCGTGAGATCCTGTCTCAAAATAAAAAGGTCTGGAATAATGAATCTCACTATTATGATAATTGTAATGTACTAATAAAAAAATTTAGAAGAAGAATGGCCTGGAGATATAACTCAATGGTTGAGCCCCTGCCTAGTATGTGTGAGGTACTGAGAAAAACACAGATTGCTTTTATAAGCTGGAAATACTTCATCAAATACTGTTTTTCTAGCAAAATTTACATAACACCACATTGCTATTCTAAAGTAAGTAATTCACAGGCATTTAGTACATTCACAGTGTTGTGCAACCACCAACTGTCTAGTTCTCTACTAATTTAATAATAAATTCAAACTGTATATTCGGAATCTAGTATCATTTATTGCTTCCAAATGGGACAATTTTCATAGTTTAATCTTTTAAGCAGTTTATAGTAACTTTTCTAAGAATTTACTTTTTTTAGCATTAAGATCCTACCCATTCAAAAAAACTGAAAGTTCACACTTCTGAAAGTATAAAAACACTTCTTTACCATGCATCTCAGCAGACTTCCCTTTGCCCTCCTGTGTGTGTGACTCTTTCTCCCCGTTGATGTTCTATGGTCATATGACAGTCTGAATAAAAACATTCTGAATAAAATATTTTTAGTTGTAGATGGACACAATACCTTTATTTTATTTATTTGACTTTATGTGGTGCTGAAGATCAAACCCAGTGCCTCACACGTGCTAGTGTTAAGTGCTCTGCCACTGAGCCACAACCCCAGCCCCTGAACAAAGCATTCTTATTTCAGCTTCCCATTGAGCATAATCTAGGATTTGGGGTTTTCAATTTGAATTTATATCCCATTACAGTAGAAGTCTAAATGTAAAGTTATACCTAAACCTGTTCATACTGAAATTTATAGTTTTGACTGTAGCTGGTTGGAAAGGCTTTGTAACCATCAGCTTGGTGTGATGACCTGGCCAGTGGGTGTGGGCACTCAGCGCTGGCCGCATGGTGGCCTGGTGGCATTTCACACCCCCTCTGCTGTCTTTGCAGCGAGGCTCTCTCCTCAGTGAGCCTGCAATCCAAGTGAGACGAAGAGGAAAAGGAAAGCAGATTTGGTCTTTGGAAAAACTGGACAACAGGCTGCTGGATATGAGGGATCTTTATCAGGAGTGGAAAGAGTGTGACGAGGACACCCCGGTAAGCACCGAGGGAAGGGACCCGGCTACAGTGGGATGCCCATGGGGAAATCCTTTGTGTTCCCAAAATGGTTGTCCTGGTTCTATAGCAAAAGTTATTTTAATCCTTTACATTATTTAGTTAATTAAGAATTTTAGAAACCTATCCCTCAGGTGTCCCCTTTTTCTTCTCCTTGCTCTTCTCTGCATTTCTAACAGAGTTCCCACTTTGGATTCTGCTTTCTCTTGGCAGGGGTGTGTCTGTCCCCTGTGCTGCTCTGGGGCTCTCCGTAGGTCAGAGGCCAGGCCTTATCAGCTTTCTTCTGTTTCTCAATAAACTAAACCTTATGAAATGTGTTTTTTAAATTTAATTCAGCAGCACCTTAGTATTTACACTATTAGGAACCTTTTTTGAAGAAGCTTTGATTGTGATGTGGTTCTGTAAACCTCTGTACTGGTACTTGCTGCTTGATTTGCAGGTTCTCTCATTGAGTTCAGCCATGTACTTGTACGTGTATAAAATAGAATATATAATAAAATAGAATAATGCATATAATGTATCTTCAATACTGCTGGTCCCATTTCTACATATAGTTGTTTACTACCTTAACTTCATATTTTGTAAAAATGTTTATTTTTCAAAATTGATATTGTAAAACCGACTTTTTATAGTTAGATGACATTTTTGCTTCACATTAAAAAAAATCTTTTTTGTTCCTCTCCTATTTCAACTGAAAAGTAAAATAACAATATTAATACAAAAAAATCTGCTCCCTCTGAGTGTCACTTCTTATTTGTAGTAGTGTCTAATGAGTCATAAGAGATGGGGTGACCCTATTCCATAACAGAAAAATGGAGAATATTAGTGCACTCCATTTCTTTTGTAGTCAGTATACTTAGTTTATTTATTTTTGCAGGAAGATTTCTATGTAAAGGAGAAGAAATGATAAAAGTAATGGCCTACTATTGGGAAAATTGTCCTTTGTGGGTGAAGGACACTGACCTCCATTCTAAGTGGGAATGAGGGAATGTGTGTATGAGAATAATACAGTGCTGTGCTTTGGCAAGAACTTACTTTGCAGTAAAGAATACTAGTGATGAAAGTTTACTTTAATGACTTAAATTAAGAGTATCAAAAATCAGTAGGTTGAATGCATTTATTTTATGTGATTTTTGAGAAGTTTTGTGCTCCAATTCTCTTTTAGGTTATCCGATCGTACTTCAAGCGTGCTGACCCATTCTATGACGAGCAGGAAAATCACAGTCTCATTGGGGTGGCCAATGTCTTCCTGGAGTCCCTGTTCTATGATGTGAAGTTACAGTACGCTGTCCCGATCATCAATCAGAAGGGAGAGGTTGGCTTGCTCATGCCTCGGTTTCTGCAAAGTACAGTGCAAGGAACAGTAGGGTGGCAGTGGGATCTTGCTGCTGCCTTTTTTAACATCAGTAATGACAAATGCTATGGATGTATGTGGTAAATACTTTGTTTCCACAGACTTTATGGTGGTTAGTCCAGATACTTTGAGAGCAGAACTACTGTCAGAAAGGAGCCTTCTGCATTCTGATACCGTTGACCTGATAGCATGGCTAATGCAGAGGAGAGGGCCTCTCAGGGATCTGGAAGCCAGTGTCTGCTTTGCCCCATTGCTCTAGGTGGCTGGTCGGCTGCATGTAGAGGTGATGCGAATCAGTGGTGCCATTGGGGAGAGAATCGCAGGAGGTGACGATGCTACGGAGGGCTCCTTTGAGAAGGAGGCCCAGGAGAGCAGACTGGTGTGCATGGTAAGTCCCAGGTTTGTCTGGGAAGTAGTCTAAGCGGGACTGTTTTTGAGGCTTGTATTTAGATGATGAATCTGTGTTCTTTTTTTTGGATTTTGAAAACATCTGTCACCAAGTAAACTTTGTTGTGTTTGGTGTTCTTGGGACACAGATCCTGAAGTATGGGTTCAGCATTTCTAGAGCTATGGACAAGTCACCTCTTTTCTCTGGACCACTTAATTCCAAAATCATAGGAGTCTTTGTTTATCTGCACCTCTCTGCAGAGAAGCCCTTGTCTCCCACTGTTTGCTCCTCTGTTGGGGCTTTTGCTTCTTGCTGAAAATAGGTGTTTACCCCAGCTCTGGTGTTGTCCCTGAGCTGCAGCCCTAGCCACCCTTCCCAGCCTCTCTGCACGACCTTTGCTCTTCCTCCCCCCAGTGCCTTTGCCGTGCTGTGCTTGCACACCCTAGTCTCAGCCCTCTGCTGCCTGCTCTTCCCTGGTGTGCTGTTCATCACACTTTTGTTGGGTGTTACTGGTCAGGCCTCATGTCAGATCCCAGCAACATGAAGATGAGCTGGGAGAGGTTCCTGCTTTTCAGTGGCTAGGGCCTGCTTGGTCTTCTTGTTGGTGTACAGAAGACTCCAGTGTTGTGTGTGATCCAGGGGCTTGATAGAGTAGGCACCAGCAGTCCTGAGACACAGAGGAGAGAAGGTGATTCAGACAGCAGGGTCTGGGGATGATTTCTGGGCAAATGGGACAGGCTAAACCTGAAGGAGTTGGGGTGTTGGGTTAAAAGGTCTCCACAGGTGCTCTTGGTGTTTCTGAGTATAATGGCTAGGTAGAGGGTAGTTGGTCATTACAGTTGTCGGTTCCTGCCCTCTTAGATTGGGGAGAGTCACCTCCCCTACTTGTCATGGCATTGCGAATGTCCTTTCCCACATCTCAAAACACCCTCTAGTAGGCCAGCAATACCATTGGTTGAGAACCTTTGCAGGATCCAGGGAAAAAGTTTTCAGTGACAAGAAATCAGCACAGTGGCCTGTGCTGTTTACAAAGCAGCCAGTAGCTGGGAATGGCCATGCACACCTGGAATCCCAGAGACTAAGTGGGCTGAGACAGGAGGATCTCAGGTTCAAGGCTAGCCTCGGCAACTTAGCACGATCCTGTTTCAAAATAATAAGTAAAAAAAGGATTGAGGTTGTGCCTAAGTGTCCCTTTGCCATGCTGTGCTTGTACACCCTGGGGTCAGTCCCCAGTACTGAAAAAGGAAAAATGAAGAGAGGCCAGTAAAAGGTCAGGGAAAGAAGCTACACCTCTTTTTTTTTTTTTTTTCTTGGTGGTGGTGCTGGGAATTGAACCTAGGGCTTTGTGTGTGTGAGGCAAGCACTCTAGCAAATGAGCTATATCCCCAGTCCTAGACCTGACTCTTAATTCATAACCCATCCTGGGTCTTCCTCAGCAAACATTTCTTAGAATTTCAGGAGTAAGTTATATGTTTGCCTCAAGTAGGAGAAGCTAATGCTGTTACAGGGAGGGCCACTTTCTGCAGGTCGCAGCATGTGCTAAGCAGGTCTGCCGTGTTCCATGGCTCCAACCACTTCAGAATAAGGGGAAAACACCGTTATCCCCTAGAAGGTTCATCTTTATTGCATTGATCTCAGAATCTGTCCCTTGAGGTATTGCAATTCTCAGGGGTGGAGACAAGCTTGATGACTCCGTGTGGCCCAGTCAAGCTGGTGGACTAGAAAGTGCAACTCTGAAAGATGAGCTTTTACCATTGCAGTAAAACAACATTCCAGGAAATTATCATCTTCACTGAAAAAAAAGTAGTGCGTCCAGTAACCTTTTTTTAATGATGGGGCTTTAAAAAATGCTGGTACAATACAATATATCTTAAGATTTTTTAAATGGAAGGAATTAAGCCCATGAAAGCAGTGGGAATAGTCTAGTTGACCCTCTTTACCACCAGCTGACAGCAGCTGCCCGAGGCCAGGCTCCTCTCATTCCTACCCCCACCTGCTTCTGTGCTGTCCCCTGTAAGCACCCCACATATCCTGTTTTACCTGTGAGCAGTTTAGTGTGGCTCCCCAAAACAGTGAGTACTTACAACAAAAGTCAACATAGCCATAGCTTCATTATCCCAAATTCATAACTTGAGAGAGTTCTCTCTCTCTCTCTCTCTCTTTCACACACACACACACACACACACACACACACACACACACCCTGCAACTTGCTGTAGAGACCGGGTTGTTGCACAGGAGTTTTTCACAGTCCGGCATTCGATGACTATCACTGCTGAATGTGTCACATGTGTCAGGTGCAAGCTGGTGGCTGGGGGTGCAGGTGCTGTGTGGTAGGGAGGGAGGTCAAGGTTCTTTGTGGATGGGGCTATTATTATGTCTGGTTGTTTCTCTTTGGGGGTGTTAGAGACATGGATGGTCATCACCTAAATGCACTATTTTGTTAGAAGTTACAAAAGAGGGCTATTGTGAGTCTTTCGTTTTGATTGTTAGCTGAAGTGCTTCTAAAGAGAGAATGGTTCTGCCACCAGCTAGTTTGCCATTCCGAGGTGGAGCTTGTATAGAGAAGACAGGGTAAGTGTTCCATTCTCTCCCTTTATTTAACTGGTTTTCAGAATAATGATGCTTTACCAGTGAGATTTTCTCTGTCTTACTGTTATCATGGTCTCTTGGACTTAAGCACACTTGGGTTTTGGTCCATTGCACTCATTACGTGTACTGAAGCTGTAAGGTCCCTGTCTTTGGCTGGTGGCAGTCACCTCAGCTGGCTGTGTTGGTGTGGCCCTGACCCTCGAAGACTTAGTGGCTTTCTGTATGATGGATGTTCTGTGCATCCCGTACGTTCCCTATCCCAGTGTAGCCAGCAGAGAGCCTGCTCCCTGTCATGGGAGGTTCTTTTTAGAGCCCAGGTTCTAGCATGCAGTAGCCTTTTGTGTAGAGAGGTCAAGGACAAATACACTTCAACAGTAAAGGAAGTGAGGGAGGGAAAATGAGACCAGCCCCGGGACAGCTAAAATGTCACGGGAGCCGAGAGTCACTGGCCCAGGGAAGAAGTCTGAGCTTATTTTCCTTAATGAAAAATGTACACACATTAACATTTCCAGTGATACTGAGTCCATTAAAAAACCCCAGACAACAGTGATGCTGGCTGATGTCATTTTGTCCCTCTGTCTTGGACAGCTGCAAGCTGAAGTCTGTGGTATTCTGACACCTTGTGGTGATTTTCATTTTTGTATGTAAAAACTTAAACCCAATAAAACCCCAGACAACCCATGTTCTAGATCCTGAGTCTCAGTCCTGAGAAGTTGCTTGCAGAGGATGGGTCAGTGTATGACACCTTATTTCTTATTCTTAAACTTAGATGAATTTCTATAGGGAAAACGTGGCTTTCAGACAGAATTCAGTCACAGAGAAGTATGTATTGACTAGCTTGTCAGTTGCTTCCATTCGTTTCCTTTCCTTCATTGGCGTGGTGTCACCCGGGACAGTAGGGTGGCCGTTAACATTCACATATCTCCCAGGAGAAAGCTGAGCCTAAGAAAACTAAATATTGTATTTTTTAATTAAATTTTTTTTATTCATTTTAGTTATACACAACAGCAGACTGCATTCCAACATATCATACATACATGGAGTGTAACTTCCCATTCTTGTGGTTATACATTATGCGGAGTTACACTGGTCATGTACTCATATGAGCATAGGAAAGTTATGTCCGATTCATTCTACTGTCTTTCCCATTCCCATTCCCCTTTCCCTTCCCTTCCCCCTACACCCCCTGTCTAATCAGGGAACAGCCACCCCCCCACCCCACCTGTTGTGAGGCAGAATTTGCAAATCAGAGATAACATCTGCCCTTTGGAGTTTTGAGATTGGCTTATGTCACTTAGCGTGATATTTTATTCCTCTTTATTTCTGAGTAATATTCCATTGTATATATGTACCATATTTTCTTTATCCATTCATCTGTTGAAGGACACCTAGATTGGTTCCACAATTTAACTATTGTGAATTGAGTTACTATAAACATTGATGTGGATGCATCACTATAGTATGCTGATTAAGTCCTTTGGGTATACACCAAGGAGTGGGATAACTGGGTCAAATGGTTGTTTCATTCCAAGTTTTCTGAGGAAATCTCCACACTACTTTCCAGCGTGGTTACACCAATTTGCAGACCCACCAGCAAGGTATGAGTATACCTTTTCCCCCATATCCTCACCAACATTTATTGCTTACTTGTATTCTTGATACTTGCCATTCTGAGTGGAGTGAGATGGAATCTCAGTGTAGTCTTAATTTGCCTTTCTCTAATTGCTGTTGATATTGAACATTTTTTCATATATTTGTTGACTGATTATATTTCTTCTTCCGTGAAGTATCTGTTCAGTTCCTTAGCCCATTTATTGATTTGGTTATTAATTTTTTTGGTGTTAAGTTTTTTGAGTTCTTTATATATCCTGGGGATTAATGCTCTGAGGTGCAGGTGGCAAAGATTTTCTCCCCTTCTGTAGGCTCTCTGTTTATGGTCTTGTTTTCTTTGCTGTGAAGAAGCTTCTTAGTTTGATATTATCCTGTTTATTGATTCTTTTTTTTATGTTCCTTTAATATTTATAGTCCGTGTGTGTGTGTGTGTGTGTGTGTTGTAGATGGACACAATACTTTTATTTGTGATGCTGAGGCTTGAACCCAGTGCCTCACACATGCTAGGCAACCACTCTACCACTGAGCTACAGCCCCAGCCCCCATTCATTGATTCTTCATTTTACTTCTTGCACTTTAGGAGTCTGGTTGAGGAATTTGGTTCTGAAGCTGACAAGGTAGAGATTTGGGCCTCCTTTTTCTTCTAGTAGGTGCAGGGTCTCTGTTTTAATGCTTATGTCCTTGATCTACTTGGAATTGAGTTTTGTGCAGAGTGAGAGATAGGAGTCTAATTTCATTGTGTTACATATGGATTTCCAGTTTTCCTGGCACCATTTTTTGAAGAGGCCATCTTTTCTCCAATGTATGGTGCCTTTGTCTAATATGAGAAACTGAATGTATGTGGGTTTGTCTCTGTGTCTTCTCTTCTGTACCATTGGTCTTCATGTTTGTTTTGATGCCAGTGCCATTGTGAGAAAACTAAAAATTGAAGTAATTTGCACCCGAACACAAGCTAATAAGTGAAAGATTTTGTTTAGATTTATGTAACCTCAAAATCTTGTGCCTCACTGTAAAGACTATTATGATAAGAAAATGTTTTTATAAAAATTGGTGTAAACAATAGTTTTTTTTTTTTTTAATTATAAAAAGTTACAGAACATTGATTGCTCAGGTGGTATGGAGATATGAACTGTGCTGGCCAGTCTTCTGTAGCCTAGGAGGAAAACTGCTGTCTTTCAGACTCGTTAGCATCACAGGGAAAAATGAATTACTATGGAGTTCCCATTTGATGTGACCCCGTCTGCCTCTTATGGAGGAGATCCACTTTCTGTGGTTTCCCCATCCTTATTAATGCTTCCAAAATGTGAAGGTTGTATTTGTGGTTGCTGAACTTACATGAATTTATGCCATATATTCTACTTTATTTTCATTAAATTTATTATTAGAGGTAGAGGGGATTGTACAACATGCAGGGAGTGATCCGGTGAAGAACAAAGTTTCTGATTATTACTCAATAGTGTGAAGACTGGCTCAGTCAGTTGTAAAATCAGAACCTAATTTAACTTGCTGAGGCATGCGTTTCCACCCAACTTCGTCATCACAGAACTCTGCAGTCCTCTAGTCCAGCCCTTAGCCCTGGCGCCTCTCCCCACTAAGTCTGTGCAGGGAAGGCATCTGGTCAGCATTGGTACCTACAGCGCAAAATGTCGCCTTCTGCGCTTCCCTCCGTTCCCCCCCAGAGGTTTAACGCCACATTCTCAGTGCCTTTAAAATTCTCCAAAAAATGATTTGGTAGCATGTAACCTTTCTACTTGAGAACCTTGTTATGCTTCATACTTCAAAATATCAAGACAGGTGTGGTGGTGCCCATATGTAATCCCAGCGACTCAGGAGGTGCAGGCAGGAAGATTTGAAGTTCAAAGCCAGCCTCAGCAACTTGGCCAGGCCCTAAGCAACTTAGTGAGACCCTGTCTCAAAAAATAAAAGAGGACTGGGGCTTCAGCCTCAGTGGTAGAGCCCGAATGTTTAATTCCTAGTACCAAAAAAAATTGTTTTGAATAAATATTTTGCCCTTCCTCAAACATTTATTGCTTATTGGCACATATACTGATTTTTTTTTTAATTCATTGTACCTGGCTCTTTTTTTTTTTTTAGGAGATATTCATAGTTAGCCAGATTCATATAACTGAATGTTGTTGATGTTCAAGAACTTTCTTCTTCTGAATTGATGACTGTTATATTCTTATGTTCTAAAAAACTGGAATTTAAATTCTCCTCATCAGCCTCTAAATACTTCAGTATACCCACCTTTATCATCAAGTCCTTGTCACCCTATATCAGGCCTCTTACTAAATAGGACAGTTGTGGGTACCATTTCAGATGCAGAAATACTCCAGAGCGAATAGGATGTGGTCAGGACAGGAACCCATACCTCTAACTCAGAGTACCACCTGGAATCTTCTCGTTAAAACACCAACAGAGCCCTCTTTTCCTTTCAGGTGAAAATACTTCAAGCCACGGGGTTGCCACAGCACTTGGCCCACTTTGTGTTCTGCAAATACGACTTCTGGGATCAGCAGGAACCAGTGATAGTCGTGCCTGAGGTGGATACCTCCTCCTCCCCTGTCAGCAAGGAGCCTCAGTGCATGGTCGTCTTTGATCACTGCAGCGTGAGTTGATTTTGTAGTCTACTCATGTGTAACCAAAAATCAAAAAATAATCCTTATTTCTTTGAATAATTTTGCCAGTCTATGTCTTGGACCAGAATGTCTTACAATGGGGATGGAGTAAAGAATTAAAGTCAATGCATTTGACTTGTCCACAGTCAAAGGGTAACTTGTACAGCCAGGCACAGTGGCGCACATCTGTAATTCCAGTGGCTTGGGATCACGAGTTCAAAGCCAGCCTCAACAACTTAGTGAGGCCCAAGCAACTCAGTGAGACCCTGTCTCTAAATAAAATAGAAAAAAGGCTGGGGATGTGGTTCAGTAGTTAAGTGGCCCTTGGTTCGATTCCTGGTTTAAAAAAAGGGTAACTTGTGCCAAAAAAAAAAAAAAAAAAAGAGTGTGTGTGTGTGTGCGCACGCGCATGCTCATCTTCTAAGGGAATCCGTGTTTTCTGTTACATTAGTGAAGAAAAGAAATCAGAAACAGGAAGCTAGTGAAAATTAAGGCAACAGACAAGAAATCACTTCATTGGGTCTGAGGTTCTGCTGAGCCCTTTGCCATTCTTTCCTTTTGTCCTTGCCAGTTATATTTCATTGCTGCACTTCTTTTTTCAGCTGAAGGAACCGTTCACAGAAGTTACCTTGTCCACAGTAGTTATCGTCGTGTTTCCTGGGGCTTGTGACCAGCAGAGCCTGCACTGGTCTATCAGTCTTTTTTGTTATTATACCACACTTGATCAACCTCATTTTTTTTGTTTGTTTGTTTGTTTGAGTAAGGTTTTTTCCCCAGTGTGTTTAAATTCCATGACTTTCTTAATACAGCAAAATCCTTATTGCAAAATACTATTCTGTAAAGGAGAAATGGTTGGGCTGGGTGTCTTGGTGCACTTCTGCAATCCCAGCCACCCAGCAGGCTGAGGCAGGAGGATCACAAATTGGAGGCCAGTCGTAGCAATTTATCAAAACCCTGTTTTAAAATAAAAAATAAAAGAAGGTTGCGGATGTAGACCAGTGGTAGCAAGCACCCTTGGGTTTAATCCCCAGTACCCCCTTGCCACACATAAGGACAGGTTGTGAAAATTATTTTTTGTGCTAATAATCATTATTCTTTTATTGTAGATAATGTCCAAAAAACTGGAAAAAGTAATTTTTGCAATATATAGTTACCTTATTGGATGTAGAAATTTATATCAAAATATTATAAATTATTATAACGCTTCATATAGTTAGTTATACATTTAAAAAATAGATTTTGAAAATACAATGCAGTGCTATTCTTACATACTAGACTTTCAAAGTGGAAGGTTTTAAAAAATCAAAGGTTGAATGTTTTCTCTGATATGTAGAGAAAAATACGGTGGGGGGTATAAAAAAAGAATAGAAGAAAAATCAGTGGAGTAGACAAAGGAGAATAAAGGGAAGGGGGGGGGAGTAGATAAGGAAGACAGTGGAATGAGTCTGACCTGACTTTCCTATGCACATATATGAATATACTATGGTGAATCTCACTATCATGTGCATCCACAAGACACTAATTAAAAAAAAAAAAAAACTATAATAGCAGAAAGATCAGTAGAACAGAAGGAAGTGAATGAGGAGGGAGGAGGGGAGCGGGGAGGGGAAGGGGGAAGTCCCTGGGACTGAATAGAACAAATTATATTCCATGTCTTTATGTCAAAATAAATTCTATGTCATGTAGGTCTAAAAAGAACCAATGAAAAAATGGAGTCTAAAAAGAAAAAAAGTGGAAGGTTTTAAAAATTCATAGTTAACTTAAAGGCAAGAACCTTTGGCCACCTGGGCACTCCCAATGTGCTTATGAAATTCTTTGGCACCAGAATTCTTAATTTTTTTTTTTGTTTTTGGTGGTGCTGGTGATCAAACCCAGGTGCTATGACGCTCTGCTCAGTAACGGAAGTATTCTGTTTTCTGTTTCTTTCCTCCCTGATAAAACTTAAGTACATGATTCCTGGTATTAGTAGTTATAAGATTACCAGAAAGTGTTTCTGTTTTGTAATCAGCTGTTATCTTTCAGGAATTTTCTGTTAACATCACGGAAGACTTCATTGAGCATCTATCAGAAGGGGCCTTGGCAATTGAAGTATATGGACATAAAATGAATGACCCCCGGAAAAACCCAGCCCTGTGGGATTTGGGAATCATCCAAGCAAAAACACGAAGTCTTCGGGACAGGTGAATTTTAGATATCCATCTAATTCTGCTTATAATTTTACAACATTGCTGTAGATTGATACTTCCATTTATAAAGCTCACTGTTTCCTAAGCATTACCAGGCCCCAGGGCAGATGGTGTTGTGTCCAGGATGCTTATGTCACAGCTAAACTTCCTAGGACAGTGAACTTGGAAGAATGATGCAAGAAAGCTAATATGTGGTTATTTAAGAAGAAATAGTGAAATTAATGTGGAGAATGATCACTTATCACTGTGAATTATTTCTAATTAGTATCAGAGAAACAAATGGAGGTCTGCATCATTACATTTACTCTTTTTAGTTCTTGCTAGTGGCATCGGTGATGGAAGGAGAGAGCCTTATTGTTGACTTTAAAAGGAAGATTTAAAAGGGAGAGGCTGGGGCTGGGGCTGGTGCTCAGTGGTGAAGCTCTTGCCTCAGATGTGTGGGGCACTGGGTTAGATTTTCAACATCATGAAAAAAGGCAACTAAGTGAAATGAAGGTATTGTGTCTCTCTACAACTAAATAAAATAAAGGGAATCACTGAAATAGAAGATGTTTTTACTTTCATTTAATTATAGACAGGAGCCAGATTTCCTTCCTTCCTTCCTTCCTTCCTTCCTTCCTCCCTTCCTTCCTTCCTTCCTTCCTTCCTCCCTCCCTCCCTCCCTCCCTCCCTTCCTTCCTTCCTCCCTTCCTCCCTCCCTCCCGCCATTTAGAAAGTTTTATCAAATACTTAATTAGAAGGTGAGTTTTTTTTTTTCCTTGACTCTTTTCAAGTCATGGGAGTGGAAAGTGCTACCTTTATTTGTTTATGGGAAGGTAGCCCTGTACTTGTTCTGCACATCTCACTAGAATGCTCTGATTTTTGAGTAGCCACTTTGAAAAGGATTTTATCATCATATCTTTCTGAGCAAAATAAAGGAGCCATTTCTAGTCTTGATAACAAGTTAGTTTAACTTAGCTATTCATTGTATTTGCCAGCATGTATTTGTATGTTTCTAATTCAACCATAGATCAGTTACCCGTTTGGTGGTCATTTTAGTTCCTTAGTCTCATGTGTAGGATCCTAAGCTGCCTGTATTGGAAAAGAAATGTGACTTCCCAAGAACTGCACCTGTTTCCTAGGTGGAGCGAAGTTACCAGGAAATTGGAATTCTGGGTTCAGATCTTGGAACAGAATGAGAATGGTGAATACTGCCCTGTAGAAGTGATTCCCGCCAAGGATGTCCCAACGGGAGGAGTCTTCCAGCTCCGGCAGGTAACAGATCACCAATGTGCTTATGAAATTCTTTGGCACCAGAATACTTAATTTTTTGTTGTTGTTTTTGGTGGTGCTGGGGACCAAACCCAGAGCCTCATGCATGCTGTTCAAGCACTGTATCTCTGAGCTACATGTTGGATTCTTTTTAATAGAAAAGTTGATGCTGCTGCTGATATCTAGACTGGCCAAGTCCATCTTACATTAAAATAATTTCCTACTTCATGTGCATTTTCTTTCCTTGTCATGAGTCTTTCTACTTACAATATTTTGAAACCAGCTTCTGGTGTGTTATTAAAAAGATAAACTTGGAATTATAGGGCATAAAACAAACATCAGGCAGGATTGTCACATTCATGAAAACAAGGAGGAGAAGGATTGTGACATGGCCAAAAGAACATGTGTTCACGGGCCAACATGCTGGATTCAGTGCCATCTCTGCAGTGTCCTTGCTCTGTACCTGTAGGCATGTCCAGTGCCCTCTGCCCTTCACCTGCAGTGTGGAGATGATGGCAACACCAACGTCATGGGACTGGGATGAGGATTAAGAGGGTTGCTGTATGTACAGCACAGTGCTCGGCACAGGGAAGGTGTTAAATAAATGCAGCTGGGTAGATGGGAACACACGCCAGGTCCACATAGCAGAGAAATATGTGACAATAGTCCCTCAACCCTAGGCATGTCGTGATCTGCCAGTCTACTCTGCCAACTGACAGTGGAAGGGAAGTCTTTATGTAATTTGCATAAATGATTTGGAAATACCTTTTTTTTTTTTTTTTGCTGTGCTTTGCATTAATCTATCACTTAGCAGGCTACTGTATCCTGTGAGATTTTTCCATAGTTTAAAATAAAAGAGTAGCTCAAGAAAATGAATGTTAAAAGTATTCAAAGCCAAATATGAGAAAAGGTTAAAAGAAAGAATTTAACTATTTAAGTTTCTAAATGTCTTACAAGAAGGAAGGTGAAAAGCACATCTTTTGGACCCCAGCAATGAATGTGAGCAGGTGCATTCACATACAGGCAAGGAACTAAAAGCAAGAGATTGGTTTAAATTGCAGCATGATATGTATGTACAGTAGAATTCTTGCATGTGTGAAGAACTTCTTTCTCTGGGCATCAGTTAAGATGTATATCTTCCTTGGCTGCCTTAGAAATTCCTTCCTGGAAGCAAGACTGGGTGATTTTTCTACCAATTAGTGTAGTTGGATAGTTGAGTGTTGGTCATACTTCTGACACCCTTTACTAAGAGTGCCTGATGATCACTGGACTTGTCAGGAAGGGGTTTTTTGAAGGATTGTCTCTTTACCTGGTTGCCAAAAAACGTCACATGAGGTCTGGGAAGGTTTCTCTTGTGCAAATGGCAGAATAAAGACCTGAGGCTGGACCTGGGTCTCTTTGCGTACAGTCACGTGCCTGAGGAGCTGGAAGCAGGAGAGGATGGCAGAGGCTCCTGGCAGGCGACTGAGAGGGGCTCAAAGACTGAGCGCACCTGAGTAGGATAAGTTTTAAAATTGGGATATATTCTTCTTGAACAGGACAGTGGCAGAGGACAGCTGATAGGACTTAGCCACATAGAAACTGCTGTACACAACAAATGCTGGGATATCAGCAGCTGCAACAAGTTCAGCCACTAGTTGAAGTGCACTTTGCAAAGCTTTGCTGTGGAGCAGTGAGCCGTTCCCACCCTGCCCTCCTCCCTTCCCTCTCCATACCTAGAATCTTCCCACTGTGTCCATGTTCACTGTTTATGTGTTCCGAACAGATTGCTTTCTGGTTTAAAAGGTAGCAAATTGAAATAATATTAGACTATTAAAATATTTTCTGAGGAATTTTTCCACAGACTAACTGATGCATAGTTCTTAGAAAATATAAACTCAAAAGATGTCTGTATCCTATCCATTCAAACGCAGCTTGATGGGATCAATGCATAAGTAGATTTTCCTCATCATGCACATCTCTTGGGAGCTAAGTGTAGTGGAAGCAGACAAGAGTAATTGATTTGAAACATATTCAGATTCCATTTTCATACTCTGTTTTCTGTCCCTAACATTTATAAACTAAGTTTGAAGTCAGTAATTTGAGGATACTGGGAATTCTTTCTGACCATGTACTTCATGGTAAATATATGGAGTCACATAGGAGTTACTCAGAAAACAGTTTTAAGTAGGAACAGCTTTTTCTGATCAGTTCCTTTTGCTGTTTAGCTTAAAATTAGTTTTTATTCTGGGACTAGGGCAGCGATTCCAAGGTAGTTAGCCTTTCTAGTTTCTAACTCTGATACCTGCGTTTAGATACTTGCGTTTAGAGGCCCGTATGTGTCTCCTGCCCTTGGTTACTTGCTCTTCACCTGGCACACCACACGTTTCCCACAGTAATGGTTTAATGACTACATCGTGTTTCATTACGCAATACCGTGTTTCATTATGCTTATTTGAACAGTTATGGATACTGTACATTTGATTTCTATCTATTTTTTGCTATTCTTCACAGTGCTTTTAGATTATTTATAAAAATGCACGATTATTTACTTAGGACATATCCCTACAAAGTCAACTCTGGGGCATAGGATACTTATATTTTTAAGTCATATTGCCCAACTTAAATTCTTGCCCTACAGTTTTGAAATTATTTTGTAAACCTTGGGTGGTATTGTAAATCGCCTGTTTCACATATAATTGCTAGTGTAACAAGTAGAAATTAAAGTGTGTTGTGGTTATTTTAATTTGTATGTATTTGATTATCAGATAAATTGAACATTGTTTATTAGACAATGGTTCACATTTCCTTTGTTAGAATGTTTTCTTTTAATGTTTCTTTTTATTGATGAAATGTCTTTTTACTTGGTAAAAAGGAACATAAGTTTTCTTGACTGGTTTTGGATTTGTATGTTAGTACTTAAGAGATCTTGTCTCCAAAGTTAAATGTTTTTCTCAGCGTGGACCTGTAGGGGTCTCTCTAAACCAATTTTTTGGAAATAAGAAACTGACTTTTAGACTGAAAATTCTCTGTGGTCCAGGGGCAGTCCCGGCGAGTTCAAGTTGAAGTGAAGTCTGTGCAGGAGTCTGGGACTTTGCCATTGGTGGAAGAGTGTATACTGTCTGTTGGCATTGGATGCCTGAAAGTCAGACCACTCAGGTCCCCCAGAACTCTTGATGCCTTCCAGGTAAGTTTCTGTGACTGTTTTTGGTTTGTTAAAAGACCAACCCAGACCAGAGTCTTTGGGAACAGTGCTCTTGGCATTGCTTTCTTGTGGAATCACCTAGCAGACTCTGCTGGCTTGCCCTGGTCCTGGCAAACAGAGGGTTAAAACTCTTCAGCCTCCGCTGCGCTCCCCAGTGCGTGGTGATTAGCTGCTCTGCACTGCAGCCCCTCTGCAGAAGCCCCCCACTGGCTTGTGAAGCCTACTTGCCAGCAGGGGTTTGATTTCCCCTGGTGAGTGGGACTGTAAGCCCAGCAGGGTGAGTATTGTACTGGCTCCCGAAAAGGTCAAACAGTGCTCTTCACCCCCAACCCCCAGGGGCTCAAGGTTTTCCTCCACTTCCTGACAACTGTAAAGCTCTGACTGAGGGTGCTGTAGGTGGGAGGTGACACCGAGGAACAGAAACTCTGGGGGAAGATTCAGACTGTGTAGCCCGATTCTTGGATAATTATTTTGGTTCTCCATGATGCACTTTTTTCTTTTAGGAGGAAGAGGAGGACATGGACAGCTACCAGGTAATTGAGCGTCGGTTAGCCTGTCAGCTTGATTCAAGTACATAATTACACATTCTAGGAGCTTGTTGTGCTCTTACTTGATAATTAAGTAATTTTGATTCAAATGGTGCATCTTCTTAAAGTAACACAGAGTAGGAGGACGGTATTGTATCATGGGTATCATGGGTCGTGAAGGCAGAACATCACTTTGGACCCTGTCCTTCCCCACACCTGGATCTCTCCATCCAGGCTCCTAAAGAGCAATTTCCCCAGCTGCTCTTCCCTGGCCTCTGCTTGAGTGGAGTCACTGGCCCTGCTCCTGTTCCAGTGTCGCCCTGAGCGTGGTCCAGCCCTTGGTGTTTTTCCTTATTTGAAGCCAGTTCTCCCCGAATGCCCACCCTGCACTCATCCAGGGTTTTTGTGGTATTATTTTTCCCTTTCCTCTCTTTCCCTAATCTGCCATATTTTGTCTGTGTCTGTGAAGTTTCATCCTGTTAGTCATCCTTGAGGACTGTCTCAGCCCTGTGGAGCCTGATGATGTCATCCAGTGCAGTCACTCTCTGGCTTTGCATCATTCTAATTGGATAGAAACGTCTGCTCCTGCAAGTCACTGATAAAACACATTGTATCAGATGGTGTTGCCTTCAGGGTCCTATGGCACAGCAGTAGAGACCTCTTTAAGCTGACGTGATTCCATTACTCACTGCTGTTTGGATGTGGTATTTGAGTCCTCTGCGATCTTACTCAAGTAGATGCATTGCGCATTCCTCCATGTTGTCCACAAGAATGTCATGGGCTATTTGGTTAAGTGCCCTGGTGAAATCCAGATCCATGGCGTCTGCAGCATTCCACTGACCTACCCTGTCTTGTAACCTTATTACAGAGGAAATGAGGGAAGATTGGCGTGCTTGCAGGTGTTGACTGGTAGAGTTATTGGTCTGCTGGTAACGATCCCTGTCCTCTTGTCCTCCCCCATATACAATAAGGGGAGAAGCATTTATGTGGCATGTCTCTAAGAGCCTAGTGCAATGTGGGAAAAGGGGTTGTAGCATTTAAAGCCCCTTCTGATGGTTCTGGGCTATGTAAATCTGAAGATTAGTGAATGGAGTTTGTAAGTTCTTTCCATCAAAGAGGCCTTATAGACCTTCCTTGATTGGAGTTCTGTCCCATAAGCCACTAGAAATAACACTGGCCTGGGTGCCAGAGATATCCCTTTCACAAATAATTCTGCTTTAGAAGAAAATGCTTTAGATTCTGAGAGTTTCTCTTCTAAACTACAGTAAAGGTATCTGGTGGTGCTAATAATGAAGTTTTGTGTGATACATCTTTTAATCATGTTAGAGAAAGGTGGACTAGAGCATCGGTTTCACAGGTACTGTCTTGACATCATGTTGTATGTGGTGAATATGGTTTCCCTTATTTTCTTCCAGGATCGGGATTTAGAGCGATTACGTAGAAAATGGCTGAATGTGTTAACAAAGCGTCAAGAGTATTTGGATCAACAGCTCCAAAAGCTTGTCAGCAAACCTGGTAAGAAGAGCAACTCAATATTCCCTCCCTGAAGTTGGTGCATAGTTAACCCTGTTCATAGTCATGTAAATTAAGAGTCTGTGTCAGCCATGTGGATGGCAAGAGCACATGAGTATGACTCCTGGTTTGTGCCATGTCCCTTCAAGAGAACATTCATCCAGTTGTGATAATATGTTGGTGTGGTCCCCAACCACCAACAGAGGAAGGGATTGCAGTGGGCAGAGCACATACTGGCCATTAGAAACAGCTTCAGGAAAGGCGCTGATGTTCCCAAGTGTTCTGCCTGGGCCAGGTTGCCGTGTGCCCAGGGGCTGAAGGGGCGTCTTTGCAGGAGCCCAGGTGGCCTTTGCTTGGGTTAGCTCTTCTCACTGTGAGCACCCAGTGCCAGCAACTGAAACACGTGATATTTCCAGAGGTAGAAACATCAAGTAGCATTTCTGGATCAGTGTGTGTGTGTGTGTGTGTGTGTGTGTGTGTGTGTGTGTGTGTGGGCGCGCGTGTATTACTGGTGATTGAACCCAGGGGTGCTCTATCACTGAGCTATGCCCCTTGCACTTATTTTTTTTTTATTATTATTTTGAGACAGGTCTTGCTAAATTGCCCAGTCTAGCCCAGAACTTGTGGTCATCCTGCCTTGGCCTTCTGTGTTGTTGGGATTCCTGGTGTGCACCCCACTCCTGGCCTAATCCTCATTCTTTTTTTTTCATATATTTTTTTTTAATTTTTTTAGTTATCGGCGGATACAACATCTTTGTTTGTTCTAATCCTCATTCTTGATGTTCTAGATAAAACAGAGGATGATGCTGACCGTGAGGCCCAGCTCCTGGAGATGCGGTTGACCCTAACTGAGGAAAGGAACGCTGTGATGGTCCCCTCTGCTGGCAGTGGCATTCCAGGGGCCCCTGCAGAGTGGTAGGAACCCCTCAGTTCTTGTGGAGTTCTGAGCATTCTCGAACCCCTGCTTTCCATTTGAGTTCTGGGTGTGCTGCTGTTAATGGAAGAGTCGTGATAGCATGTGACAGAGTTGTGTGAATTAAAGGAACTATTAAATTATTTTCATTACTAGAATAACTGTGGTCTAAGATAGCTGCTTTATTAAATAACATTGTTATTGGCCAAAGTAATTAAGATTTCTGAGAACTTAAATCAATATTTAGTACCACTGTACTTAGCATTAAAAAAAGTAGTTAATGTGTAAATTACTTGGATTATTCGTTCCCTTAGAAGAATGTTCAGTCATAAGAAAATTGCATCTGCACCAGTTTTTGGTTTTGGTACCAGCTTAAACTGTACTGTCAGCAAATGTTCTGTGCCACTTTATAGAAATTAAAAATAGTAAGTTAAGCCACACAGAACCCTGGAGTATGTCCTTTAATAAGAAAGTAAGTTGAAATGGGGCTTTATAGAAACAGATGAATGGTCTTGCAGACCAGTTCTAGTGTCAGCGTAAGAAGTGGCAGTTACAGTTCAGTCTCTGTGGCATTTCTCATGTTAAATTGTAGGAGATCAGTGCCCAGGTGCTGTGGCCGGGACCGTGCTAGCCGTGAGTGTGTGCTGGGGCCATGTCCTCAAGTGTACTAGAGGAGCGTTTGTCTCTGTGTTTCAGGACACCAGTTCCTGGGATGGAAGCCCACATTCCTGTTATATTCCTTGACCTGAATGGTAAGTTCAAGGAGTTTTTGAAGGCTTACCTGGGCAAATCAGGTTAACGCTCAGATACTAACCAAGTGTGTCAGTGGGCAACCTGTCCTCCTGAGGTTAGAGGCAGTTTTTTGTGACTCACACATTCTGATGCTGTTCAAAGACTGAGCTGTTGTAAGTCTTATTTTCCTAACAGCAGTAGACATCTGTTTCATTATGAGGCCTCCTCACATTTCACTGCTGCAACCCTGGTTCTGTGTGCATGCTTCCCCCATCAGGTCAGGATGGTGGTAATGTTTATCTGTATTAAAAATGTTTTCTTCTGGGCTGTGCTCAGCTGCACTTCCCTAGCATGTGTGAGGCACTGGGTTCGATCCTTAGCACTGCATAAAAAAACAAACAAATAAAGGCATGCTGTCCATCTACAACTATAAAAAAAATTAAAAAAAAATGTTTTCTTGGCTGGGTACAGTGGTGCACACCTGTAATCCCAGTGACTTGGGAGGCCAAGGCAGCAGGATTTGCAAGTTTGAGGCCAGCCTCAGCAACTTAGTGAGATCCTGTCTCAAAATAAGAAGTAAAAGGGGCTGAGGATGTGTGGCTTAGTGGTAGGACACCCTGGGTTCAATCCCCAGTATCACACATGCAAAAACTTTTCTCTTTATTCTTTAGGAAAGACTCCTCTCCAGAAGGGACTAATAATACTATGTAGCATGTTTTCTTAACATTATTTAATAATTTTTGTACTTTTTCTGTGAGTCCTTATGCGCTCATTCCTGGATTACCTTTTTTTTTTTTTTTTTTTTTGTAAATAACTGCTGTCTGCTCCCCCCACAATGTACTCTGCCTGTAGGAGGAAAAAATAGGACATGAAAAGGCAAGTAAAGGAGCTAAAACTAAGTTAAATGTCAGCAGTTAAATTCCTACAGCCTTTGAAAAAGAACTGTGTGTGAAGGTTAAGGCCCCTAGGTAGACGAGCTGTGTGTCCTTGGTGGACCCCTTCCTCTGAGCAGAAAGTGGTGTGCCAGGGTTCTGCACCTGTGCCCCTGAGCTTGCTCGCATGGAGGATCCTCACATTTACTCACAGGTAGAGTACTGGGCCCTGCCATGGTATGCGCAGCCACCTGATGGAGGGGAGCTATTTGTTTTTTTAAGTATTGCTACAAGACACAGTCCTGCCTGTTGTTCTCTAGAACCTTGGAGACTGAGGGTGACTCTGGTCTCTTAAGTTAGGCTTCCCAGATAGGTGAGGGCCATGTACGTGTGTTGGGGGGGGGTGGGTTGCATAAGAAAGTGGAGGGGGGAAAAGAGCCCGAGGAAGAAGGCCTGTTAGTCTGGATATTTACAGAGATGATCAGGACTTTGTTGAGTGTTATACATGTTCTTAGTCTACCCAAGCCCACTAGTCCTTTTTTTAAATTTTTAATTTGTTCTTTTCAGTTTTACATTGCAGTATATTTTGACACATTATACATACATACATGGAGTGTAAATTCCCATTCTGTGGTTGCACATGATGTGGAGTTGCCCTGGTCATGTATTCATATATGAGCCTAGGAGAGTGATGTCTGATTCATTCTATTGCCTTTCCTATTCCCATCCCTCCACCCCCACTTGCTTTTGATGCTTGTGCATTAGCTTAAGGTGGATGGGGACTGGGAGAGGGGTGGGCTGGGAACGAAACACCATGATGCATTCCTAAGTAGGGCCTCTGGCTCATGTAGTCAGTCGATCCTTTCGTTGAACTTAACTGTCAAGTAACTGGAATTACTCTCGTTTATTTCTCATTTTTTTCAGTGCATTAAAAGGTGGGGCATTTTGGTTACAATCCTGTCATTACATGGGTGAGCAGACCTTGGGTTACCTCCTAGGTGTCTTGGCTTCCTTTGCCTCCCATGTGAGATTAGATGTAAAGGGAGCATTGAGAGAGAGATGATTTCTTGAGGCAACTTTCCCTCTAAGATCTGTGAACTCTTAAATGGTTCATTGTGTCACGTGAGATTGCATAGCAAAAGCAAATGAAATGTGAAACACAGTTTTAATAATAAGCCCATTGAAATTTAGCTGGTCAGGGTTACCCTTGAGGACCATCTCCAGGTTTAACAGAGCCTCTTTGCCGTCAGCTGATGATTTCAGCTCTCAGGATAATCTTGACGACCCAGAAGCTGGAGGATGGGATGCCACCCTGACTGGGGAAGAGGAGGACGAGTTCTTTGAACTCCAGGTCGTGAAACACCATGATGGAGAGGTGAGTCAAGCAGAGCTCGGGAGGGTCAGATAAAAACTAGTTCCATAGACTTCCCTGGAGCCTCTGGAAGCAGTCACCAAGGTGGTAATTTCAGTGCATATGCTTCTCAACCAAAACCCGTGGAAGCCTTTCCTTCTGACTTCCAAAAAGAGTGAGGCCTGAACATTCCATTCTGCCCATTCACCTTCCTCCTCCCTCTCCGGGTGAAGGTTCGTGTCCGTGTGGCCCATGCAGGCCGGCAGTGGTCAGCAGCTGTCCTCTGTCCTCAGCCCCTGAGGTGGAAGTTGAACTGCTGAAGCACAGGGAGTGTGGATGGCACCACATTTGGGATTTGCTTTAAAATTGTTTCATAAAAACTTTTTGAAAGGAGGAAAACAACGGATGAAGGTAGTGTGTTGAAATCTTGATTTAAATGATTGAAGCTGTGTGATGGGTATATTGGGGGCTTTAGTCCCTACTTTCTAACATGCTTGAAAAATTATATCATGAAGTGTTTCAGGGAGGAAAGCTGATGTGTTTCTAAGACGCAGAGCTGAATTCAACGTGAGGACACACTCGGGCACTCTCTCTGAGCTGCATGCTCTAGGATGGCGGACAGGCAGGCCCTTCCTCGAGGACCGGGGCCTGTTGCAGATAAAGTGGGTGTTGGGATATGGCAGCTAAATGCACTGTATGACCTGGGGCAGGGGAGAGGGAAACATTTGAACACAGACTGTGTAATAAATGACAGTATTGTATCTATGGTGAATCTCCTGAGTGTGGCAGCTCTCTCCCACTCACTCCAAAGTGATTCAGCAAAAATAGTATGTGTGTGTTGGTTGTGACAAAGAGAAGCAAAAGTGACCAAATCCTGACAATAGGTAGGTCTCAAAAGGCATATAGGAGTCCATGGAACTGACTTTTGCTACTTTTCTTGATGTTTGAGCACTTTTTAAAATTAAAAAAAAAAGAAAAAGAAAAATGAAGAGCAAGCAGCCCAGCCAGGAAAGCCCCTGCTCTCTGCTCTCCAGACTCAGGTGCCGGAGACCACATCCTCACAGTCTTGCCTTTTCAGAGCGGTCCTCACAGGAGGACTTTAGCCTAACCTTGGTTTCTTTGGTGGAAAGCACAGTGCATTGTCCTACCTTCTCTGCAGGTGAAAGCAGAGGCCTCCTGGGACTCTGCAGTGCATAGCTGTCCTCAGCTCAGCAAGGGCACGCCCACAGACGAGCGCCTGTTCCTGATTGTGCGTGTGACAGTCCAGCTCAGTCATCCCGCTGACATGCAGCTGGTCTTACGCAAAAGAATTTGTGTGCACGTTCACGGCCGGCAGGTGAGGCCTTACTCCTACTCAACAGCGTTTTCACCACAGCCCACCTGTGGCCAGGGCTGTGGAGTGGTCACTCTGGCTTGAGACATTGTCTAGGTGAGTGACTGTCCCAAGACTGTGCTCGCTCCAGTCCCCAGGCTGCCATTCTGACTTCCTTCTAATAGTACTAGATTGTTACACTGAATCTCTTTAGGGCAGATCCGCTAGTGGCAGCTGTTCTTGGGGTGCCTCGGGCCCTGCCCGGGCAGGTTCGGCAGTGCTTTTGCCTCTTCTTGCTGTTCCCTGGCAGATCAGCTGTTAGTTTATCAGCATGGGCTGCTTATGCTTCTCTTTCTAGGCCTTTCTTTCATAGCAGTCCTTGCCTTTGCGTTAAAAAGGTGAGTAGGAAACAATGTGGGGCTGTATAGGGCAAAAGTCTCCTCACCGAAGCTCCCTGAGCAGCAGCTGCTGTGCTCTATGCTGAGTGCTGGGGTGTGGGCCTCACCATGTGCCAGAGAACAGACTTCAGACAGAGGGAGGGAGGGCTGTGCAGAGGAGCATGCATTGAGCTGGTACCGTACAGATAGAGTGTTTCATGGGGAGGAGGAGAACACTTCTGCAGAGAGCGTGAGGCGGGAGGGCCAGGGCAGCCGGGGAACTTAGGGACTGCAGTGTGGTGAGATGAGCCCATGCCAAGGAGCATGTTTGGGAAGAACCTCATGCCACATGAAGGGTTAGGAGGGAATGTCTAGCTGAGAACTTAAACTCTATGGCTTTTCAAATATAAGGATCTGGGAGGTCGACCCATGGATCCTAATTAATCGTCTCGCTCCCTTCTGTGAGGCATTCTCAAACTGACTGAAACCAGGACAGATGAAAATCAGTCTTGTCATTTAAAAGAGCACAGTCATGGTTGACAGACTCCTAAATGTAATCTCCTCCCCTAAAAATTAATCTTTAGTTCTAAATGTCACACTGGTATCAACCTTTGAAGTGAAGACTGGCCGTAATGCTGTTGAAATGACAGCTCTTTAACTGCCAATCCCACATCAGTAAGACCCCAGCCATAGGGTGAGCATAGATGCCCACGCAAGAATCCATGCACTCGTGACTGGAAGGACTTGAATGAGACACGCTGCTCTTGGGGAATATTTTGAAGAAAGGGTATCCATTCCAAATCACCCATCCTGGTTGGCAGGCCCTGAACCTGCCTGGCAGAGTCACCAGCCCTGCAGCGTCCCCCACAGAGAGGGCACTGTTTGTTTTCTCTGTAGGGACAATGAGTTGCTACTTTTCTTCCTGGTATTTTTAAGACATGCCATTTCCCCTCCAATCTAAGATATTTCATTGCTGTACATTGCTTCTTTATAGCAAGGACAGGAACTTCCACGTGACCCCTTTTGTGCAAGTTAGCACTACTCATTCCATGCAAATAGAAAACAAAAGAGTGTAGTAACAATGGTATTCGCACTGCCCCCACTACCCACCGAGAGGTAGTAGCTCAGTAATAGCTCAGAGCCACCCACTGCCCACATTGTCCCTGACCTTGGCTCTGCGCTGTGAGACCAAAGTCCAGGCATGAAGGATGAAGTCGATGGTCTTTGCATTCTGAGGGGCTCAGATCTTTTAAAAATTGATTAAAAAGATTGAATGGGAAATAAGTTCTTATTAGGTTTGTGAAATTATGCATTTTTGAGACTAAGTGGCTTGATTTTTGTCTTTCCTTTGGGTTTTTTATTTTTTCCAGTCACTGCCTTCCCTTTTGCTTAGGGAAAAGGGCTCCATGCCCGTTTCCTGTTCTCTCTCGTCCTTATCTTTATTCACCAATTGTATTCCGCCCTCATCGCTGCTCTCCTCAACCTCTACAGGATGCTCAGTCTTAGCAGCATCTCCAAATGAGTCATCTCTGCATTAATTCAACAGTTCAATTCTGAACTGTGCAAAGAGCGCAGTCAGCATAAACAATGACCAGGCACTCTTAAATCATTCTTTATAACGATCCTGCTCTGGTCAAGAATTTAATGCCCGAACTTGTCAATATTCATGGTACAAAATGTCCATCGTACTGGGAGGGAGAAGCATAAGCGTCACCGGTCCTTGCTTACATCCTCTTTGGAAGGTCATTTCATTGTGTTTTATTTCTATAGTGTTGAAGCAAAGTTTATCCAGATGCCTGGGGCCAGTTTCCAAGTCTGTCCTCCTGTGCTTGGTATGGGGACCTGTCACTGTAGACTCCTAGTCGTTTGGTTCTGTGCAGGGGAGGAAGTTGAGGAAGCTGTATTTAGTGATGTGAATTTCATTGCCTTATGTTGGAAATGTGCTGTTTCCATTTGATCAGAACGAACACAGTATCCTTCATGCTACCTCTGTGCTAGTGTAAACTCAGTTTTTGAGGCAGAAAACTTTATCTTCTGTTTTGTTTTTCTCTAGGGTTTTGCTCAAAGTCTCCTAAAAAAGATGTCTCATCGAAGCTCTATTCCTGGATGTGGAGTGACCTTTGAAATTGTCTCCAATATTCCAGAGGTGAAGGATCATATGCAATTTGAATTTACTAAAAATAAGAACTTAAAAAGAGATAACTCCCTGAAAACTCACATATGCAAGAAATACATATTAACTGAAAATGTGTACTCAGGGAAATGCTGGAGGTTTCTAGAGGAATTTCCTAATCTTAACTCAGAACACAATGAATTCGTGGCCTTAGCAGTTCTAGATTGTGTTTTGTTAAAGAAGAGCTTTCTTTTGAAAAACACCTCAGCATCTTTTTGCTCACGGCACACCGAAGAAGACAAGAGCATAGTGATGTGGCGTCACCCTCAGGGAGGCAGCCCAACCCGGTGTTGAGATTCGTGCTGGATTTTGGAATCAAACAAGTCTCATTCTTATCTCTTATTAGCAAAGTGACCTTGGGTCAATTACTCTGAATGTAATTTTTTTTTTTTTTCAAATGGGGTTAGTCATACATTCTACGCAGGGTTGTTTTTAAGGGTTAATGAAACAGTGTGTGTAGAATGTAGTCCACATGTCTAGGCAGTAAGTCATGGCTGCTGTGGCCATTGTTATATGAGTATTAATATTTTACTACCACTTTTACTATTTCCCTTTGTGAATTAGTTGAAATATTCTGAGGATTCAGATGATTCTGAGGATTTGGTGATTGAAACATGATGAGCACGTGGCTCATACACACTCCTAGTACTTAAGCCCTGAATTAGCTTCATTTGCTGGGCTGGGCAAGGAAGTGTCCCTCCAGGGACAGAAGTGTGGGTCCTCAGAAGAGGACTCTGAAAACACAAAGGAGTGGTTCCTTCTCCTTCCCTCACTGTCAAAAGGGGAGTGAGAACAGATGGAGTTTCCTGGGGAGTGAAGAGATGGGCACAGGGCACAGCCCCTGCCCTGATCAGCACTGCATCTTGACCTGCATTCCATACCTCAGGAATGTTGATGGATTCTGCTGCCTGTCTGCATTGCAGGTGGGCAGTGTGTGTTCTAAAGCAGGAGCCAGACCCTGAGAAGGAAACAAGTAGACTGGGTTTTGCTTTAGATCTCTTGTATTGCAAGACACTTTTCTTCTCTCCATTAGTGTCCAATGGTTCTTTTCTAGATTTTTAAAGTTAGAGTTAGATAGAAACCATTAACTGCTTAACTGTTTAATTTGGAGCTTTCTGAGCATTTAGAAATTAAGATGTTTGCAGAGTTGAGTCCACTGTGTAATCTTTGGTCTGAAGAAGGATCACTCTCTGTGCTTCATTCATTTGTTTGTAAGATTTTAAACAAGTAAACTTACACATTTTGCTGGAGTCCTAACATTTATTCCTTGTGTTTTGTTTTCTGCTTTTCCTCTCTTGGACCTTCACTTTGTCAAAAGGGGAGTGAAGAGATGGGCACAGGGCACAGCCCCTGCCCCTACCTAGGAACTGTCTTCCTTCTTTCCTTTCCCTCTACAGCTCCCTCTTCTTTCCTTGGAGGTTTCTTATTCTCTTTAAGAGTGTTTTTATTTTTCGGGTGATAGTTTAAAAGAGAAAACATGTGGGGCAGTCAGTTTGGAGACAATACCCTCAGGGGATGAGGTGTTGATAGCTAGCTGAGCAACCGAGTGGTAGACCATTGTTTCTACATTATCAAATCCTGATGATAAAGAAAAAGGAAAAGGGAAACTTAAAGCTTGTGTGAGATTAGTCTTAGACGTAAAATGAGAAGAACCTTTATCAAGCTAGGGTTTCATCATGAAAAAGTCCCATGTGTGCCTTGTGTTGCATGTTCCAAAAGCCATGAGAAAGGAACGGTCTAGCCAGACGGCAGCAAGACAGGTTCTGTCTCTCTCTGGGAAACTGCTCCCTACAGCCTCTCACTAGCTCTTTGTGGACTGGTGAGAGGGGTCCTCAGTGCCTAGGAGTCTAGGCCCAGGGGCTCCTCTTGCCTCTCTGGCTAATCGTGGCTGACTCCTCTCTCCATGGTCATCACAGGCCCAGAGGAGGCAGTGTCTTGGTGAACTTAAGCCAGTTGATGAATCCGCCTGTATTTGATCTGTTCTAAGACTCATTTATAGTCTTAAAAAAAGTCCCTGAAATTAGAATGCCTTATAACTGATGGTATCTTAAAATTAATTGGCAGGTCTTTTTCCTTAGTTGTGTATAAATGTTTGTCTTATGTTGATGGCATTTAAGATGTGATAGCATCTGGATGTGCATCGTGTAGTTTTTGGTATAAGAAACTCACAAGTAAATGTAGTTCCTGATTTTCCCTGAGAAGAATTTGCCATGAAGATGTTCTTCTTGAAACAAGGACTCCATGAATAAGATCACATATTAATAGACTCGTGAGTTTCCCGTTCATGTGCACGGCCAGCTCAGGCCAGCTTGCTCAGAGGCGTAGGATGGCCTCTACTGGAAGCAGGCCAGTGAGAAGTTGCCGCCATTCTTCCTTCTGGCTCTGAGCCTGTGGCCCCTGCAGCCCAGAGTGAGGATGGACACTGCGTTGAAGTTCTGCCACCCATGATGGGCTACTCAGTGACCACTGAAACCCAGCCCTGTCCACCTGCCTCTGCTTCCCGCTGAGTTGTTGGGTCCCTGTGTCTGGCAGGTCATCTTCCCTTCCTCCTGCCCTGAGTTGCCCCAGAGCTGTGTGCCTGCAGTGCTCTTGTCCTAGTGGCCTTATTTCTGGCTGGCCCACAAAGGTGTTTCTGACCAGTGACCTGTTTTCTGCAGTGGACATAGAGTAGGAGCAGGGTTGTCAGAAGGTGCTTCTGCAGCTTTACCCTTCACGTCAGCTGCTGCCCGAGTTGCCACGTCACAGTTTCTGTGGAAAATTCCGAGTTCCAGAAGCCGACATGAATGGGAGTGTTTGAATCTCTTCCCTTTATCAGTTCAGAACACCTGGAGTGGACCGAGAAGCTCTTGGGCACTGGCATCTGCGCCCTGCTTGATTTCAACAAAAGGTGTTCTCTTCTGCAGGAGGCCCAGGGAGTGGAGGAGCGAGAGGCGTTAGCAAGGATGGCTGCCAACGTGGAGAACCCGGCTTCCGCCGACTCAGAGGCGTATATCGAGAAGTACCTGCGGAGTGTGCTGGCCGTGGAAAACCTGCTGACCCTGGATCGCCTGCGCCAGGTCAGCGGTGCCCTTGCTTGGCCTGGTCCTACACCTGTCCAGCGTGATTGCATGTGAATTCTAGTTAACCTTGAATAGCCCAAGTGATGAAATGATGTCATTCTGTCGTGCCAAGTGACAGCCCTCATGTAACCGTGAGGGAAGCCTGCTGCAGACTGGGTTGCTGTGGGCGCACCTGTAACCTGCCTTCCCCGGCCTGTGTTCTGATTCCAGGAAGTGGCCGTGAAGGAGCAGCTGACCGGGAAAGGCAAGCTGAGCAGGAGGAGCATTAGCTCTCCCAATGTGAACAGAGTGAGTAGCTGGCTGGCTCGCGGGGCAGCCAAGACCCTTCTCTCCTCCTTGCTGGGCTAAATGTGGGCGCCTTGAGCCCCCAGGTGACACTCCCTTCCTTTCCTCAAGGACGCCTGGGCCCTTCTTCACTCCACCTCCTGCTGCTGTGGGAGCCCTTTCGTGCCTTCCACACGTTCTCCTGTCTGCCTGCCACCACAGCTAGTGCACCTGTGGGGTCACAGGTGTCTGTGGAGCTAAGCCCAGGGTAGCCGCGTGCCAAGGGCAAGCCAGCTTGGCTCCTCAGCTGGAGTCGATTATTTTTATGTTGAAAAGTCTGGAGTAGGTCACACACCAGTTGCTTGCACACTGGGGTAAATGAGTAAAACAGCTTAGGTTTGTTTATAATGGTGGCTTAAGTCAGTTTATTTTTAAAAAGCATAGCTAGAATTTGTTGGTAAATTATATATAAATTATATTAAATATGGGAAGAATTCTTCAAAAATAAAGATGCTGTGTCTCCCAGATTTCTCTCTTTCCTCATTTTTGATGAAGATGTGGATATGAAAAATACTACTTTGTCCTCACTGCATACCAAGAAAGCTCACATTACAAGTGTGTAGGAAAGAGCAGCTGCCCACAGCCATCCCGTTGGGAGGGGAGTGAGTGACATAGAAGATTTTGCCCTGGAGAGCCCAGGGCCCATGGTGAATGCCGAATGATATCACCATCAATGTCAGACGGAGAACTAGGACCACTCTCAGATATGTAGAAATGCCACTGTAACTCAAGGTCAATGTCTTCTTATTCCTTCAGAAAATGCTGTATTAAAATACACTGGTACATGCAGAGATATGGCATTTTGGGATCCTACAGTTTAAAATAGATAGTTTGTGAATTTCCATTTACTACTAGCACCCAGAGAAAGGGCTCAGGCCACGGTGGGATGCCTCAGTGCACGCCCACATACTGGTCTGTGATAAGCCTCCCACCAGAACACTATCGGTGACCAGCTCAGTGTTTCCATGTTCCAAGGGCACTGGTCTTGATTTGGTTCTTAGATTAGATGTTTCATGGTGTGAAGGATTGATCCCCTGCCTCTGTTTCTTCCCAGTTGTCTGGAAGCCGGCAAGACCTTATCCCCTCGTACAGTCTGGGCATCAACAAGGTAAAGGCAGTCCCTGTTCCTGTCTGTTTCGGTCTGTTTCCATTCAGCCTTCATCTGCTCACCTCTCCCAGGGGAACTTTGCATGCCAGAGTTCTTCCTACTCCTCTGCACTGTGTGACATTTACTGGGAGATGTTTAGAGTTCGTTTCTTCTAATCTGCCACAACACCCTCTTATTACTGGGATTAAAAAACAATTTTTTTTTTTGCTAATATTTCTATCTACACTATTCTCTCATTTCTGCCAGAAAAGGAATTTCATATCAGCTTTTGAATAGTGAAGTATTGGTATAGTGATTCAAAATTTATGAGGAAGAAGAAAATTATATCTGAAAGTTAATAGTGTTTGTTAAAAGGAAGAAAAATCAGGGAACAGAAATTTTATTAGCTAGAATTTACTTATTTTGTTGTTAATACAGCTTTGTCCTGTGACAGAGTTTCCAGCAATAGAAACTCAACACTGTTTACTTGAGGAAGGTTGGTGCTCCTGTACCCATCTTTCTGGAAGCCTGCATGTCATAGTTGGTGCCTGTGTTTTCTGAGGGACCTAGTCAGTGCTGGTGCTGGCCTGTGTCGTGCTCCCTAATAATGCTATGGCCCTGCGTTGGTGGTGATGTTGCTATGTGAGTGCTGTGGCGTGGGCTGCCTCAGAATCACCAGGGGCGAGAGGTCGAAGGGCTTTTCAGTGTCAGTCAGCATGGCCGAGTGGGCTCTTGATGCTCATTCTATATACTACTCTTTCTCTACTTGATAATTTTTCTTTTCTTTTTTTGATAATTTTTCTATACTCCTTTTGCATATTTGACATTTTCCTTATAAAAATTTACAGTGAAAAAGAAGTTAATAATGAAGGACTTATTTTAAGATCTAGATTATTAGTGGTTTGCCTAAACACATACACACAAACACACACACACACACACGTAAACTACTCTTCTTCACTTTACTGATGCACTACATGTGTGTGGGTCTCTTAGTTCTTATTTATGCTAGAACACTGAATTATTCAATTAGTTCAGCTTAGGACCTGAAGAAAACAGAATTCTTGAAAACTTGATTGTATAGTGTGTGTTTTTTTTTTGGGGGGGGGTACCTGAGATTGAAACCAGGGGTGCTTAACCACTGAGCCACAACCCTCCCTGCCCTTTTAAATTTAGAGACAGGGTCTCACTAAGTTGCTTAGGGTCTTGCTAAGCTCCTGAGCCTGGCTTTGAACTTGTGATCCTCCTGCCTCAGCATCCTGAGCCTGTGGGATTTTAGGTGTGTGCCACCACACCTGGTTTGTATAGTGATTTTTAAATGTGAATGAAGAATGTATCTTAAGGAAAATATAATAAAAAGCATGACTTCCTGTGTTTTGGGAAGTATATATGACCCAGATCTTCCTGCTATCTTTCCTGTCTCCCCTCACTTTCCTTGACTCAAAACGGAGACGGTCATAGCATCTGTTTCAGAGAGCATGGCTGTGCTTCATCCACACCCAGTGCACAGACCGAGGGACACAGATGCTGCTCTAGAGGTCGAGACACACACAGTGAGAGCACCTGGGAGGCAGTGCCCGCTTTCCAGGCATCCTGCAGGGACTGGGAGGGGACTCAGAGGCAGGGAGGCTGTGTGACCTAAAGGGCTGTGCGGAGGGGCACACAGGCAGGCGAGGAGTCAGAGCCCCTGTTCCCGGCAGAAGCACCCACGTGAACACAGGCCCGGGAAGATAAGCTTGGCCTGTTCACGACAGCACCTGCTGCCAGTCAGGTAGCGGGAGCTGCGGCGTGTGCCCATAGCGGAGGACTTGCTTATAGGGCTAATCCCACTTGCCAAGGAGTGATGGGGCTGGGAGGCCATGGAGGACTGGAAGACAGGACAGGGATTGGCCTACATTTGAACTGGACAGTTGGCTTGAATGGTCCAGCTGAGCTCTACCTGTTCTGCGCATGCCAGTGTAGTGTGTAAGCTTACACTAGGAAACTATATACAGTGCAAAAGTGAGAAACACTTGTTTGAATTAGAAAGTGGGAGAGCAGCTAGGGGAGGGAGAGAGGAAGAGAGATTGAATGCTATGAGAGATGGACCCCAGAATAGAGAAATGGACTCCAGGAGTCGGTGGACATGAAGGAGGTTGAGGGAGGGAGGATGAGAGTAAGGTCCAGGTTTGGGTGACTGCGAGATCACTGAGAGGTGAACCGCAGGAGGAGCAGGTTTGGGAAGTTCTACTTCTGAGGTAACAAGATTGAAGATGAAGCCAGGGCTGGAGTCAGGTGAGGGAGCCCCAGGGACAGTGGAGACAGTGCAAGGAATTAGGTGTCACTGGGAGCTGTGAGGGAAGGCTGAGAGGTCAGGGTTGGGAGTGCGGGGGAAGTGTTACAAGGAACCCTTCCAGCTCTTGAGAGGGTGCATGAAATGAGGACTGGCAAGACTGCTTGGGACATGGCACGGAGGGTTACTCTGCACCTTTCCAGGGCCATTTCTGCAGGGGGTGGGAGAAGTCAGGGTCTTAGTAGGACATGTAATGTGTTTTTTTGTCAGCTTCGTCATCGCCATGACAAAAAGACCTGGCAAACAGTCAGGTTTCGGAGGTCTCTGTCCATGGTCAACTGACTCCACAGCTCTGGGATCCAGGAGAGGCAGACCATCATGGTGGAAAGGCCTGACAGAGGAAGGCAGCTCAGAGCTCTCTGCTCAACAGGGCCAAATATAATCCCAAAGGAGATCCCCAGTGACCTCCTTCCTCCAGCCACACCCTACCTGCCTACAGCTACCACCCCGTTAATTCATGTTAGTAGATTAATTCATCAACCAAATTACACCCTCATCACCCACTCATTCCACCTCTGAAAATTCTTGCATTTTTTCACACATGAGCTTTTGGGGGACATTCATATCTAGACTATAATATAACTTTAAGTGCATAAAGGGAACATTACACATTTTTGTTGCAGTGCTGGGGCCTTCCTTCCCTTCTTTAGTTCTTGATTTGTTGGGGTGCTTGAGTAACTTGGAAAGAAGAGGAAAGTGTCATTTCCTCTTTTGCTCGTGTTGTGATGCCAGTGTGGGGAGAATGGTCTGGCTCCTCCCTCCCTCTCCATTCCCATAGCTCTCGACTGTAGCAGAAAGGTCCTGCTTGTGTTTGGGGTTTGCACTGTCCTCTCACACCCACCCTGACTGTAGCAGTCCCCCTCTGAGCAGCAGAGAAGTGTTATTGGGAAAATCAGAGGGTGCTACTTGCCAGTCCCAACAGCACACCCATTTCCACGCGGAAGCATCTTTTTGTCTTCTTTAGAAGCTGAAAGGCTACACCTGAGCTGTAGTCAGCCCCTGGTCATTGCCTCATGTCCAGATCAGGAGGTGAAAGGAAGGTTCACAGGTTAAAATGGGAGCATAGTTGCTTTTGCACAGGGACCAGATGAGGGAGAAGTGCTTTTGGACAGATTATTATGGGTAGGGCTGTGCAGGGACTAAGGACATGCGGGGGTGATAGAGTCAGGATTCTAGCCAAAGGGTTTATGCAAGCTTGCTTGAGGAGGGGAACAGAACAGCCCCATTTCCCACTGAAGGTGCCCACAGTCATCTTACCTTCTAAGGTAGAGCATCTTAAGAAGTTCTTAGGGGCTGGGGATGTGGCTCAAGCGGTAGCGCGCTTGCCTGGCATGCGTGCGGCCGGGGTTTGATCCTCAGCACCACATACAAACAAAGATGTTGTGTCCGCCAAAAACTAAAAAGTAAATATTAAAAAAATTCTCTCTCTTTAAAAAAAAAAAAGTTCTTAGGAGGGCACAGTTGTGGCTTAGTGCCAGAGTGCTTGCCTTGCACAGGTGAGCCACTGAGTTCGATCCTCAGCACCACGTAAAAATACATAAAGATTTTGTGTCCATCAACAACTACAATTTTTTTAAAAAAAGGTTATTAGGAAATATAAGTTTTGGGGACTATTATTATTATTTTTTTTTCGAGAGAATTTTTTAATATTTATTTTTTAGTTTTCGGTGGACACAACATCTTTATTTTATTTTTATGTGGTGCTGAGAATCGAACCCAGCGCCCCGCGCATGCCCGGTGAACGCGCTACCATTTGAGCCACATCCCCAGCCCTTGGGAATTTTTTTAATGCCCTTGGGGTTGGAACCCAGGGCCTTATGCATGCCAGGCAAGCACTCTACCACTGGGAGCTTCATCCTGAGCTCAGTTATTAAGTATTTTTTAAGTTATGTCTTCTCACTAGGAATGTGAGGAAAGACATCTTTCCTTCCTGCAGCAGCAAGGAGTAGAAGCAGCTCGCCTGGCTTTTTAAAGGACCCACCATTGCACTGAAATGCGTGTGTCACAAATGCACTAGAAGTTTCCGTTCCTTTCTATTTGGTATTTGAGGGGGTTTCCAGTTGCTTTATTCTCAAAAAATTCATGTTTGTCTCTCTTTTTTTCTTTTGGAGACTATCTGCATTCCTCAGTTTTCAGAGATCCAGGGAAAGGTGGCGAATCCAGTGGGTTTTCCTAATGAGCAGGATAGGATGTGAGCGCTATCCTGCTCTCTCCGCCTTACCATGCTTGCTCTTACTTTCAGTATACAAGTGCATTTTTAAATGTGGATTTTATAGGCTGCCTGGATAGGACACTGTACTAGCACTTAGGCTTTTGTGAAAAATGACTTTGGTAATCAGTGTGTATGATTCCTGGCAAATGTTTTGGCCCCAACTATTTGTAAAAGTATTTATCTGTCAAAAACCAATTTGAAGCAAAATCAAAAACAGGAATTAAGGCATCTTACTGAATGTCGGAGGTTCTGGAATGTAAGAAGTTGGAGTTAATTCATATTAAATAAGTAATGCAAATAATTGGAAGCTGTGGGTAAGGGAAGGGCAGGTGGAACAGAATACTGGCAGAAGTACTCTGAACGTTTGTTTGGCCACAGAATTTTGTGCATCTTGGTTTCCGTGCATGAAAGCACTTAATGTCCAGGAGAGTCAGATCAGAAATACACCTGTTGTATACGTACAGTTGTGGGCTTGTAACTCTGAAGATGTGTTTGAAATCACCCATCATTATATCTCCATTAGTTACATCTGCCCTGCAGTCTTGCACGAGGCTATTTCTGGGTGCTCTGCTTCTGGTCCCTGTGTTACTCCTGATGTGGGTGACAAGTCAGAACTGCAGGTTAGAACCCAAGTGCCGTCTTGCACATCACACCCCCTAATACAAAAGCTATCCAGTTGGTGGACATAGTGTTTAGAGGCAGGAGAGGCCACCAGATAGCTTCTAGTCTCCGCCACCCCCCACCGCCTTAGTCGTCAGTTAATATCATAGCAGAGTCATTGGAGCAAGAGTGACAATAAAAGGGTGATTGGGAGGAGGAGTGGCGGGCTCTGGTCAGTGTGGGCGGTTGGGGTGAGAGGAAGCAGAATGGTCCTACAAACTCACAGTTTTGCCTAATAACACTTTGATGCAGGCCAGCCTGTTTGGCATGCCCTTATTTATTGATGCTCCAAAATATGAAAACTGGAATTTCTTTATGAGCTCCATCAAGATTGAATTAATGAACTGATTAATCTTCAGAAAATAGAATTCAATTATTCCAAATTTTTAATTTACCTATAGTTAAAAGAAATCACCCTTGAGATAAGTCTTTCAATTAAAAATATAAAATATGACCCCTAATTGAACTGATATTGCTGTTTACTGTTACTGGATGTTTCATCATTATTGTGAGGAGATTTTTATAGGCATAATGAAAACTTAGCAGGCTTTTTATGACCATCTACCAATAGATATTTAGTGCAAACTTAATTTCAGCCTGTTGCCTGTCTTTCCACCTCAAAGCTGACTGTGCTTTGAGGTCTTTTGCAATGCAAAGAAAACTATCAACAAAGATATTATTATTTTTAAAGCCAGGTTACAGGAAATTATATTTTTGTAATGTGGTACATTTGTCATCTTCTGATTGGAATTTTTAATGAAATTGAAATTAGTCAATAACTTGGGTGATATTCGGTTAACAAAACTGAGCTGTGTTTTGGCACCGTCACTCCCTGAGACTGTCAATATTCGGCATAGTGCTGTTGAAGGCTGATGCCAGACATGAGTCACTTCCTTCATTGCACTGGAAGATACTTTGGACTTGAAATGTCACTGGGGAGAAGATGGGGACAGGAAACCTGTAGGTGCCCACTAGGACCAAGCCATGTCTACAGGTCTGCTGGGAGCCCCCCTGGCTCTTGCCCTGCTGACTTTGCCTTGAGCACAGTGCCAGCTCCAAATGATTGCCCATTGCCATCTGGAAGGGGATTTTATTTCTTTGAGTTCTGAACAGATAATCCCTGATAGTCATGGAGCTCATCTGGAGATTCAGATGGAGCAGGGTCTTCTCTCTGGTGTCTCCCCATTGTGGCCCATTCTGGAGTTCAGTGGACATGCAGAATGTTAGAAAGACACCAGAGTTTGATCTTGTTAGATTCCAGGTGATGCAGGTACATGCCACTGTGGTAGGAGTAGAAAGATATCACAGTCTTTCACCTTGAGATTTGAGCTGTTCAAGAGACTCGGCAGTTTAGTGTCTTTCAAAGCCCTTTTATTTATAGTGCTGAGTTCATGTCCCTCTGAAGTACATTCAACTGGGTTGCTTTTTTACCTTCCCCTAACATTTCAAGGAAGAGGGGAAAACTGTAGAGCATCTAAGTATAGCAACATTTTTTTAAAAAAATATTTGTTCTTAAGTTCTAGGTGGACACAGTATCTTTATTTTATTTTTATGTGGTGCTGAGGATCGTACCCAGTGCCTCGTTCATGCTAGGTGAGCACTCTACCACTGAGCCACAACCCTAGCCCCTAAGTGTAGCAAATTTGATAGAAAAGTTGTACACCCGCTGCCCCCAGGGGAAAGTATGTGTAGCCACTCCCTGAACACAGATTTCAGGTGTGGCCAGGAAATGGCTAGGTAGTGCAGGAAGGAAGAAGACTGCACAGTGAAGGATTTCAGTGGAGCGTCCCCCCAGAGCGCTGTGGATGTCAGCAGAAGGAGGGAATTGTATCATCAGATTTCCTCTTTCCTGGGAAGCAGAGCTCTTGAAGACCCCTGTCTTCAGGCAGCCTGTCAGATTCCTCCAGACTGTCATGACCGCGAAGGTGGCTGGGCACAAGTGCTGCACGTCTCCCCCTCTCATTGTCCGAGGGCCAGCAATGTGGCTCAGGCAGCATCTAAGCAGCATTTAGCCTTTGAGGTGGTCTCACTTGGAATATTTGGATGTGGGGCAAGAAGAGTTACCGTTTCCATCTGCTGTGGTGTGGCATCTCGTGGGGAGTCCCTGCTGGGCAATGTCCTCAGAAGCTCTCTGAGCCCTGAGTGTGCCTGGTCACTGGACCATCCTACATCAAACAGCCCAGGTGCTGATTCTAATAATTTGCTAATGATACTTAGCTTTCCTAAGGGACAGAGTGTGGCCATGTCAGCTGCCAAATGAGGAAGAAAATGAAAATAAATTTATTTTCAAATTAAGTAAGTTGTCTTCAGAACAACTTGTGTGAACTTGACACTAAACAGAGCATGAGGCTTTTCTTCCTCTGTGAAGCTCTGAAGACTATTGACCTTGGTGTTCAGACACCTGATAGTGGTAGCCCAGGGTACACAAAGCTGCAGCCTCCCAGATAATTTTTTTAAAATATGTTTTTAGTTGTAGTTGGACACAATATCTTTATTTATTTTTTTTTATGTGGTTCTGAGGATCGAACCCAGTGCCTCACACGTGCCAGGCGGGCGTGCTACCGCTGAGCTACAGCCCCAGCCCCCCAGACAGATAATTAAATCTAAATGCAAAAAAACACTAGGAAAGTGTTAAAGTATGTAAATCAGCATATGATCCCTAGTAAGGCAGATGAATTCTCCTGCAGTGCAGGGTTGAGGGTCCACATTCCCCTCCCATGTCCGGCCTCATAGTACGTGCTGAACAACATACCATTTTAAATGCTATCAGTGCTGAGTGAGTTCCTAGGGAACAGTGGCATTCTCGAAGGTAAACGTGATCCATTTCACTTAAGGCTTATTGATTTTATGATCAGTACTTAGGTTGCTGCTAAAAGCAGATAGGTTCCCAATATACATGAGAAACCTGGGAGGCCTGCCCGCTCAGTGGGTCCTGCCATGCTGTTTCTCAGGCATGCTCTGGCCAGCTCAAGCTAACCATTAGGCTCACTCTTCTGTGGAATGCTAGCCTAAAATACATTCAGTACCATAATTAAGCTCTAGTGAAGAAGTCTGGGCAATTATCAGAGGATAAAAGGAATTTAAGATCTGTTAAAAATTTGAGGCTTGGTACTGTGCAGTCCAGAATTTGTACTTGCACGAACTAAATGTGAATAGGTGGAAACACCCAGTCCTGGGGAGGAGGAAGAGCCCCCTTCCAAAAGAGCCTGTTTCTGGGCTTCAGTTTCAAAGTAGAGTGATAAAGGGGGTCTTGAGCAAAAAAGCAAGAATAGCCTTAGAAACAGAACTTAAGGGGGGAGAATTGATTTCAAAAGGATTATTCTAATCTGTCCATCTGTTTTCAGTAGGTAGCAGATGTTAGGGTGGACTCATTGGCAGGCTGTGAACTGGGCCATCCGCCTGTGAGGTGGTATCATCATCTCAGGGGATTTATGGTGTGAGCAGGATGAGGAGTGTGAAGTGCTCTGTGAGCCAGCTTGGGTCCAGCAAAGAGAACATGGCTGTAGTAACATATAACAAGGATTTTTCTTGAGTATCTTTAATTTGTTAATTGATTAATCTGAAACAAAATGACCAATTTTTTCCTTACCAGGGCCGGTGGGAAAGTCAACAGGATGTATCCCAAACAACGGTTTCCAGAGGAATAGCTCCAGTCCCCCCTGCCCTCTCTGCTTGTCCCCAAAATAACCACTCGCCAGATCCAGGTAAGTCATCTTTTCGTCTGTCAATCGCTGATGTGAAATCTGAGCATCTTTCAAGAGTTTCTATCAGAATTTCTTGCTGGATTACCAATGTTCTACCAGCGACCATCTCCAGTGTCCCCTTTCTTGTCTTAACGTGTTGAGCTGAGTGGGCTTTGGAGAGTGGATTCATCCTGTGTTCCTCTCGTGGATACCCCTGGATCCTGGAGTATTGTCCTCTGACTCTATTTGCTATTTTTGTTGGGATTTCTGTGTGTGTGTGCTGTGTGACTATGTACAAGTTTTTATTTTCTTATATTCATATCTTTGTCAGGTTTTTGTATCATGATTGCATTGGCCTCATAAAATGGCTTGGGAGATGCTTCTCATCGTTTTCTGGAAGGGTTTATGTATGATTGGTGTCACTTCTTCCTTAAATATTTGACAGAATTCCCTAGTGACACTGTCTTGGGCCTGGAATTTAGTTTGTGGGAAGATTTCAAATTATGACTTGAATTTCTGTACTACTGACAGTGTTATTTTATTTTTTGTATTCCTTCTGGGTCAGTTTTCACAAGTTAGGTTTTCCAAGGAATTTTGCTATTTCATCCAGATTATTAAGTTTATTTGCATAAAAATCACATCACGTTACTGTTCTTTTAGGATTTGTAGGCTCTCCCATGCAGTTCATTCTTTTTATTCTGTTGATGATTAATTTTTTTCTGTTTCCTAAATACTTTTGCTACAGGTTTATCAGAAGCAATAATTTCACAGAACCAACTTTGGGCTTTAATTTTGTTTATTATTATTTTCTATTTCTTTGGTTTTAAGAATTTCTTTCTGTCATTTACATGTGTAATCGGTGCTTTCATTGTTATTCTACTCAGAATATTTTAAAATTTCTTTGATTCTTTGAAACATGTTACTAGCATGCTAATTCATTTGTGTATATTTGGGAGTATTTTTATTTTCTAATTAAATTCATTTTGATTCTTGAATATTTCAGTCTCCAGATGTTATAAAATGCACTTGGCAATGGTATTCTTTTTGCTTTAAAACAGCCACTTGTTGTTGAAGGAGATTAGGGCATATAGGCAGGTGGCGATCTGCTATGTCCCCATGTCCGTTGCTTGTGGCCCTGTTCAGCCCTTTCTGAAGACCTTGTTTTTGTCCAATTTCACTTTTCTTTAGCCTGAAGAATCTGTAGTACTTCTTAGTGTAGTTCTCCTGAAGAGAAAAGCTCTCTTAAGTGTCTTTATTTCACTGTTTTTTTTTTTCTTTTTCCTTTTAAAAAGGCTATTTTGACCAGATAGAGAATTCTGGGTTGCTGGCTTTTTTCTTTTAGCACTTCAGACCTCTTTTTTCTTTTAGTGCTTCAAGACCTCTTCTCCCAGGCCCCTCCATGCTGAGAATTCAGCTATCATTTGTGTCACTTGCCCACATGTAATACGTCTGTGTTTAGTTGGTTTTTTCAGAATATCTCCGTATCTTTGTCTTTAGCATTGTACTATGAATTGCTTAGTTAGAGTTTTCTTAGTATTTACCTTGCTTGGGTTTCACCAGTGTTCTTGGGTTGATGTTTTTCAATAAGTTTGAGAAAGTTTTAGCTGGTTTTCATTAAAAATTTCTTTCCTGTCCCTTTCTGTCTCCACTCCTCCCAAGATCCTAGGTGAGGGTGGAGCTCACAGTCTCTGGAGGTGTTGTTCCTCCTCCTCCTCCTTCTGCTCTTCTTCTTCCTTTTTTTTTTTTAATGTTTTCATCTCATATCTTCTGGTTGGATAATGTCTTCTGCCATTTCCAGTGTTCTCTTGAGCACATCCAGGGAATTTTTTATTTCTGCTATTGTTCTTTTCCTGTAGAATTTCCATTTACTGTTGATTTTTTTTTTTTTTTTTTGGTTTTGATTTCTCTGCTGATATTCCCTGTCTGTGCATGTGTTAAACCCATCTTTTTAGTGTCCTTGAACTTGATTATAAAAGCTGCTAAATCAGACAAAAGCTCCTATTTCTGCTGACTCCTGTTTCCTCGACTTGGGTCATAGTCGATGAGTTTGACCTGTGTAACTTGCACCCTGCTCAAGATTAGGAATTTGCATGGTTCCAGTCAGCCCCACTCCCCGCAGCCAGCCCCTGTTCTGACTGCTGGAGATTGCTTAGGCAGTTTCACGTAAATAGAGTATGCGCTGTCTATGCGTCTGGCTCTTTTGTTCAGCACATGTGTTTGTCTTACATATTGTTGCTGGCATTAGTAATTAACTTCTATTTCTGAAATATCTCACAGTCACAATTGACTCTATCACAATTTTTTTAATATTTATTTTTTAGTTGTAGTTGGACACAATACCTTTATTTTACTTAATGTATTTTTATGTGGTGCTGAGGATTGAACCCCAGGGTCTTGCAAGTGTGAGGCGAGCGCTCAACCACTAAGCTACAACCCCAGCCCCTTATCACAGTTTTTAATCATTTTTTCCTGCTCACAAACATTTGAGTGTTCCCGGTTTGGGGCTACTAAGAAGAATGCTTATTCTTGTACAAATCTCAATGTGAACATTTTTCTGAAGTAAATACTTAGGAGTGAAGTTGCTGGGTTATGGTGCGCCCTAGGTCTGAATTCCCTAAAGTCGTTGTGCTGTGCTCACAGTTGCAGGCAGGGCTGAATTGATTGACATGTTTGCTGTTGGGCTTTGCTCATCTTTGGTCTCAAGTCCCACTCTGTTCTGGGTTTAGATTCTTCTGTGGTGACACGTATCCATCATTGGTGCTTTTAGCAACTGTCTTTTACTAACAAACCCTTGTTTCTTTTCAATGTTAAAGTTTTTATTTTGGTCTCACTTAGAAACCCTTTTTTTGCAGAAACTATCAAAGGTACACATGTAGAAGAAGTAATGTGATGTGCTGGCAAACACCCACCTCTTGATTTCCATCCACCCATGACCAGTGTGACTTGCCTATGCTCCTACCTCCTTCGCCCCTTATCTCTTGTGAGATGTGCAGCCTTTGATTGGTTCTCAGCCTTTGATTGGTTCTCAGCCTTTGATTGGTTATGGATCATCCTCCCTCTGGAATGTTAGAGCTCAAGATTGTAAATTTTCCCTCAGCCTTGAGATGATTAGTTCTTGTAGCTTTTTATGTATCTTGAACTTACTTTTCTTTTTTTCTCTCCTCTGTTTTTGCCTTCTTGTAAATTATTTGACTTTTCCAAGTTCAACTGTAATGTACCCCCTGGTGCTGGAGCCATCTCTGCTTTACCTTCTTAGAGGTTGCTCTTGTGATTACAGTAGGTCCTGCGCTTTCACAGCTAACATTACACTACTTTGTGTGAACTTTGGAAACTTCACAGCTGTATGAGCCCATTTACCAACCGAATTGCCAGGAAGCCTGGGGCCCTCAAGGTTCGTGTGGAGTGAGGTCTGGGTGCGCTGGGCACCTCTGTTCAGGGAAAACGTCTATTCTTCAAGGTGGCTGCTTGCTCTTTTTAAGCTGTTGTGTGGATATGGTGTTCTAACATTTAGGATTTGGAGTAGATTTTCCTATAAATTAGTAAGGGGAAGGAAATCTTACTACATCACAGGTATCGTCTGCACCTCTCAGCCTAGCCTTTAGTAGCTGACAGCAGGTAAGAAGATAGTTAGTTCAGACCTCTCTCTCTTTTAAAAATAACTGAATACCACCATTCTCCTGAAGGTCAAGTTCATCATCTTTCTTTAGTAAATAGTGATGAGAAACTTGAGTCTGTAGGACTTAGTCATGGACTGAAAGCCTAAAGTCTGTAAGGAGACTTACACCTGTATGCTGGCAGTTACGTCACTGAAAAGCTGAGCCCCCTTTGATTCTAGGGCAGAAGTTATTTGTTGACAAGGACTCAGGTGGATTGTCTTCTGATACTGCATATTAGGAGCACTGCATATTAGAACCTTCTAGAGGCCCCCAGTTACTGCTCTTTTACTGGTAGTGGAAACACCATGTGTTTGAGGATAACTGATGATACTCTCTTTTTGTAATATTAGTCTTTTAAGGATGCTTTTTAAAATTTATTTTGTTAGATTTTCTTACAAATAATATTTGGCAAATTCGCAAGAAAGAAATGTCTGTGTCATTGTTTTGTTTCATCTTGTGCCTTTCAATCTTGTTGACAGGGCTTGGTAGCCTAGCAGCCTCCTACTTGAATCCAGTAAAATCCCTGGTGCCACAGATGCCAAAGCTGCTGAAGTCCCTTTTTCCTGTCCGCGATGACAGAAGGGGCAAACAGCCACCTCCCCTTGCACATCAGGTAAAAAGCGTCGAGAAGGCAGCAGTGTGTTTTCTGATAGGTCGCCGGAGAGTGACTCTGTCGCTAGAGCTAGAGGGAGAGGGACAGCAAAATGGGGCGTTAAGACTGGGCTTTCAAGCCTGGTAAAAGCTTGTGATAATTTCTCTTCCATTCTCTTCAGAGATAACAGAGCTGTTTAAACTTATTGACACGCTCCATCCTTTCTGCTTTTAAAAATGCCAAGTACGCTACTAATGTGATTTATGGTAATATCACTTAGAGCAACAATAGTAAAATTTATGGAGTGCACTTAGTGTTGTTTGTGTATTGCCAAGTAGAAAATGTAATTCTATTTTTAATTCTTGATTTCATTTCTCTTTTCAAACAATTTTATGTCACGACTGTCCTTCCCTTTCAACCTCTGCTTCCTCTACTGTGGATAATCTCTTCTTTTACTTAAAAGTGATCACCTATTTCCTTTTTTTGGCTCTACCTCGCCCTAGAATAAGTGTTGGATAAAATGTTAAAGGGTTTCCAAACATGCAGGAAGCTATTCTTATGCAGTAATGGCGAATGGGAACCCTTGGAAATGCAGTTTCTAGCCTTACATAGGTGTTAGCTCAGCAGAAAGTGATAAACGAGGTTTTACTTACACTCACTTGGAAGCACCAGGACAAGTGCCATCATTGGGGGTGGTTTTGACATCAGCACTTCCATATTATTTAAAAAAATTTTTTTTTTGTAGTGGTAAATGGACAGAATGCCTTTATTTGTCTATTTTTGTGTGGTGCTGAGGATCGAACCCAGTGCCTCATGTGTGCTAGGCAAGCACTCTGCTGCTGAGCCACAGCCCCAGCCCTCCATATTCTTTGGTGCATTCCAGTTGCAGAAATGCAGGTCAGTAGTTGTCTGAGACTCAACTATTTACAAGAATTTTCTAAGTTTATGAAGGCATATTCAAGGAAAGTGGGGTTGGTTGTATAAGGCTGCTGTGAAGATACGTAATTTTTTCAATCTAGCATTATATAAGCATGTACGTAAGAATATACATGGAGTGAATGAAAAGACTTAAACATCGGGATTCTGGAAGTGTTTAAACTGTATTCACTGCAGCACATAAACGGTGCTCGCTAGTTACTGATATGAACTCCGGCCACGGGAGGGGTGGGGCAGGCAAAGGTGACTCTCCCCATAGTTTGTTGTCATGTGTGCTAGTCTCCTCTTAACTTACCGTCACTGTTTCATGAAGTAAGGGTCATGAAGTGTCTGAGTTACCAAAAAAAAAAATGCATTTTCTCAGCTGGGCTCGGTAGCACATGCCTGTAATCCCAGCGGCTCAGGAGGCTGAAGCAGGAGGATTGCTAGTTCAAAGCCAGCCTCAGCAAAAGTGGGGCACTAAGCAACTCAGTGAGACCCTGTCTCTAAATCAAATACCAAATAGGGCTGGGGATGTGGCTCAGTGGTCAAGTGCCCCTGAGTTCAATCCCCAGTCCACTCCACCCTCCAAAAAAAATGCATTTTCTCAGACTGCCCTGGTGACCCACAGCCCACCTGGGGACACTGTCTGATCTGTATTGATGAGCTCTGAGGTGATGCTTATCATGTGGAGTTTAATAGCCACTTTTTTCTGTTGCTGTTCAGTTAAGGTGGTAATCTAAATTGAAGGAAGTTGGAATGCCTTTAAAAGTCATGGGATCAGCCCACTGTGGTCACAATTATTTTTAAACTGTTTTCAGTTTTTGATGTAGCATGTCAGAGCACCTGCCAGTGGGAACTTGTTTGTACACTCACTGTGCTGGCAGGAGGCGACTGGAGACGTGGAGAGCAGCAGCGTGATCAGAAGCAGATCTTTGGTGATGGGAAGAGAACTGCAGTATGTCATGTCCAGGATGAGAAGTTAACTTGAAATGTGTTATTGAAATATTAGCAATTTATGTTCATTTACTCAAGTGTATTTATTTTTTGAGCACATATGAGCAAAGGTATTGAGGGAATGGGCCTTGAGCAAATATTTCATAGTTTATAAATATGTGAAAACATAGCACCGAAGCTGGTCTGAATGAGGATAGATGTCCAGTGGTCAAACTCTTTCCTCTGGTTTGTGAAGATGCCACTCCCTTTTCTTGCCAGCACCAGCCCTGTCTCTGTCCTCATCCCCGACTGCATTAGCATAAAGCTCTCAGCTGACCTGCTGCCCTCTGCCCGTCCTCTCTGGCCTTTCCTGGGTCTGCTTCTTCCATCAAGCCTCTGGTGTTCAGTGGCCATGGCTGTGTGGACATTTTTTTCTTTCTTGGCCTCATTCCGTCCCATGGCTTTACCATAGTGATACAGAGTAGCCAATGGTCTTTCACAGCTTAGGCTGTAAACACATCAGTCCCCAGCTTGAAACCTTCCTTGGAAACAGAATAGAACCTAAGTTCTTCTGTAGTTGGTGCACATCCTCGGTGCCCTGACCTTTAATCGTTATTTCCTTTCTTCTCTTCAGTCACCTTGCTGAATTGTATCTGTGCCTTTTTGTCTCACGAACACAGCAGTCTCACGGGTTCTGGTGCTTGTCTTTCCTTCTGCTGGGAATGCTCTCTCCAGAGTCCTTGCAGGGCCAGGAGAGCGGCAGCCATTTCAAGGAGGCATAGTTTACGGTGGTGTTTCTTCACCACCAACTGAAACAGCCTCCACCAAACACACACACTATATTCTCTTGATTCTTTTTCTTTTTTTAAATTTTATTTTATTTTTTTATGTGGCACTGAGGATCGAACCTAGTACCTTACCCGTGCTAGGCAAGTGCTCTACCACTCAGCTATGGCCCCAGTCCCATCGATTCTACTTCTTACTGGGAGTTATGGTTAGGTTTATATGTTTGTTGAAGCAAACCTTGAGGACAGAGCTTCCTGTGCTGGCTGGGGCCTGACATGTATGACACACAGTATGTATTGGTTGGCTCACCATTGACGTGTATACAGACTGCAATACCAGACTGCACAACAGTGGCATTCAGTGATAGAAGGGACCATGTTTACAATTAGAGGTGAGAGAATCAGTTGAATGGGGGCTTGGGACATCCAGACCTGTTTATTAAATTTCTTCAATAGAAGTGTCACTAAAGAATATTCCTGAAGGCAGCCAGGCATGATGGCACGCAGTCTGTAATCTCAGCAACTTGGGAAGCCAAGGCAGGAGGATCAGAAGGTCAAATCCAGCCTCAGCAACTTAGAGATCCTGTCTCAAAATAAAAGGTAAAGAGGGCTGGGGTGTGGCTCAGTGGTAAATCATCGCTGGGCTCAATATCCAGGACCGTAAAAAGAAAGAATGTTCCTGAAGGAGAGAAAAACTTTAGTTTTTCATTTGGGAATCAGCTGATCAAAGACCCTCATGTTCCCCTCATTTTACTGACAGTCTCTGGTGAAGCTCTGGGAGAAGTCGGTGTCTGTGGAAATGACTTCTCACAGCATCCAGGCCTCTCCTGCCTGGTCATCTTAGAGACTGAGCCGCGAGTGCCGAGGAAAGCACAGGAGCCGTGAGAGCTGGTGGCCTGCTGACACATCCTGCCCTGCTTGTTTCTAGTGATCGTCTCCTTCACTGGGCACTTCTGAGTGGGCACTTTTGATACCTACAGTTTGAGATTCTCACAAAAAAATTCTACTCCCCTCCCCCTTGCTGAACAAGGTCTTCTTCCGGTGTTCAACTCTGAGCTCTCTGCTGAGTCCGGGTGAGGTGGGGCGAGGTGGTCTTTCCTTCTCCTGGGCCTCCTCCAGGCTGGGCAGCTCAAGAGGTCTGTGCTGTTCCAGATAGAAGTGCTCTGTCACCCTGCATCTTGTCAGGGCCTGTGCATGGTGAGGAGCCCAGAAGGGAGCAAGTTATTCTTGGACTTGAAAATAGTGGAACTCTGTCTTTCTCATCTAAATCATATACTTCTACCAAAGTAGCCTATGATTATGCCTTTTTTGTTTGCTTTTTGGAAGAAGCATCAGTTCTTTGTGCTTCTTGTCAGTTAACGATGCTGGAATTTTTTGGCGATTTTTCCTCTCTTCAAGGTAGTTCCTTTTCCCTTTTATTATTATGTTGTCTAACTGAAGTGTACAAATACTAAATGAAGAACTTCAGATTCATTTCTAAAATTTTCATTTTGATTTTTAACATTCCTGGGATATCAGGATCCTTGTGAGTTTTTAAAAGAACATTTTAGCTATCATCTGCACACCTTTTAAAGCTCCCCATCTGCATTCCAGTCACCAATGTTGAACATTATTAGGGACTAAAGCAGAGTCCTGTCATCTGCAAGGAGAGGCCACAGAGTGCCTTCCTCTGCATCAACAATCGAGGACATCTAGAACAAAACAAACGCTGATGACACTTGCTGGATCACCCTGTCCTCTGCCTGGCTCTGTCATTGCCATGTGCAGGCACGTAAGGGTGCAGGCACGTAACGATGCACCTTAGCAGCAGCTTGGAGAGACTCACCAGCACTGGAGGCTTCCTCTCTGTTCTGATAATCTTTTACTTGCTGCTAATGCCTGTTACACCCATTTCAGGGGTCCCTACAAAAGATCTTTAAATTAACATGACCAGACATTTAGATGTTGAGAACAACATCAAGTGCAGATCAGTGGGTGAGTGCAGTGGCGCACACCTGTAATCTTGCACCTTGGGAGGCTGAAGCAGGAGGATTGAAATTTTAAGGCCAGCCTCAGCAACTTAGTGTGACACTGTCTCACAATAAAAAAAAAAAAATACAAAGGGTTGGGAATGTAGCTCAGTGGTAGAGCACCCCTGGGTTGGTTCAAGCCCCATTATTGGGGAGAGGGAATACAAATCAGAGCATATGACTCAAAGAAATTAATTCTATAGTACAGAAGCATATAAATATCATTATTAATATCCATAAGACTTAGAGATAGTAAATAAATAGTAATATTACTTAAGTTTTATAATGTGAAATGGCACAAAAAAACTAAAATCTCCAAACGATTTGGGAATACACAGAGACGGTACATGGTAACCAAACAGATTATGTTCATTAA